CATCTTTCTATAATATCAATATTCATATCTTAATATCTAATAAAGTCCGAAAATTAATCCTATATATAGAGAGAAATGCCTATAACTCACAAACTAATTTTAATAAAATTTATAGAATGAATAATAAGTAAAATTTCAATATCGAATATATAATATACAACGCACAATACGTAATATACCCAATACCACGCAAATAAAAAACCTACAATACGCGCACTACATACAGAGCACAAAATACACAACAATAAATCAACCCAGATAATATACACAATATATACCAATATATCAACCCATACATACAATATCTTCAACGCCCACAACACACACAAAACACCCACAACACACACACACACACAACTAACACAACACACGACAGAACACGCACAACACACAACACGCGACATAAGACACAGCACACAACAAACAACACATAATACCCAGCACGCAACACCCAATACACCCACCACCATGCTTAACCTATCATACAACACGCGCACTACCCATACAATACCGCACACACTCGTCTAGAAGGCTCTAGAAGACTCACCCACTGGTTCGTCCCTATCCATAGACATACCCATGCGGGATAAAGTAATTCTATAAATAAAGCAATGCTATAAAACTATAATTCTTTCGAAAGAGATTTTATGTAGTAAATAAATACTATCTAAAATTTCTACGAGATCTATCTAGTTGATCTACTATGATTCAAAATACTAATGACGAAAATAATATTATAATGGAATCGTTATCCAAGAAATTTTTGAATATCACATATTTGTGATATATCAGTCGGATAGTATCAAATATCCGGAAAAAAGTTATCTACTACCTACGAAATGAAGAGTACCCAATGCTAGGATCATTTCTTATATGTTTAAGTGGTTCGTTTCCAAACTCTAGTGTTCTCAAATCTCGAAAATCCTGAAATCAGAAATATGGGGGCTACGAAAATTAAAGTATAATATAACACTATCTTAGGTGAAGTCCATCTAGCCTGGTGGCGAAGGAATACATAGATTGCCATAAGCTCGATCCAACCCTGTGATAAGAAATGGTTAAGTAGTGCAGGGGTATCCGAAGATTCGAGAATTGGGAAATACTGAAATGTCAAACTAAAACGAAGTTAAGACATGAAGCGTACCCAACGCTGGGAGCTGGCATTTCTTATGCAGCAGATGCACTGTATTTGTTTGACCTAGTGAGGATTTTCGGATTCATAGTCTTGATAGTTCGTCATTGTATATGAAGAAAAGTCTATGACCTAAGTCTAGACTAAACCTTCATGCTTTCTCGATCCATTTTTATAGCCAAGTCGAAAAGCCATACCACTCCCATTCGGGGTGGTGATGTAAACTTGGCTAGGCTGTCATGTGGCGTCAGCTCCCACGAAGTCCAACTTGGCTTGGAACACGTCGGGCGTGTGCTGACACGAGAAGGCTACATGTAAACCGAATTACCAGCTCAATGTCTCAGAGTCCATGAAGATGGCCCTGAGTCCAGCTTAACTGCGATGGTTCCTCAGAAAAGTTGCAGCTGCCTCAAGAAACCAGAGCCAGTCGTACTGGCTGTGGCCCCGAAGCAGCCTGTGGCCCCACAAGCCGACAAAATGTGGATTTTCCGGCGGGGTCAGCCACTGCAACCGCTTCGTTCTCAGTCCTCTGCCTCTCTGTATAAACAACACAGCACAGCTTGCTAGCCAAATGAACCCAGACTTGGGGTTTGAATGCATACCTAGCTAGAGAGTTCGAGAAGCTTCCGGGCAGAATGCTGGCTCACAAAGCTCAAACATATGAGAAGACTACACGTAACAAGAACATCGGGGAGTGGTTTGCATCCCCCGATGCAGCAGGCCTCCTACCAAAAAACTTAAAATCACGGTCCGCGTGCGCAGCACAGGGCCTTCCGTTTCTAGTCCACCGAAGCCCATCTCTGCGCCTGCGCATGTCGATTTACATTAACACACAAGCTCTGGATGCTCTTCTGGCATCTTTCCCCGTCGGCCTCCAAGCAGCAGGCAGAGTTTGGGATGCTTCGGTTGATACCACGCAACTCTTCGAATCTGCCCAACCTGTCTTCCTTCTCTTCCTTCGGAGAAGGCCTTTGCCGACCAAGGCCAAAAACAACTGACAGAGGCGCTTACATTGTCTTGTGTCGTACTACAGTCTAAGACGCTATGTTATACTACATCTAGTTATGCTATATTCATTATATTATACATTGGTTTTGGATGCTTTCGGGTTTGGGGTTTGAGTGCCTTGATGCTGCAGGCGACTGCGCTTCTGAATCAGCGGCTTCAGACCTCGGAAGGCACGCACACTGGAAACGGCTAAACAGCGAGACTTACAACAACAATAAGAAGAATAACAATACTAGTGCTAGTATGAAGAACAACAAGAATAGAAACAACAAGAACAAGCTTATCAATAGCAAACAGCAACAACAATGACAATACTCATTCTAACAACAACCCTTATCATCGTACGACGGCAGACATGGTTGGCCAGATCAAAGCCAGAAAAGACAGGAAGAGCAATCACTTCTCCGAGGAGCCTCTCCAAAATCCCGGCAAGGTCCTGCGCAGCCGTGATGACACGGGCCACTTGCCCGGCGTTGCTACAAGGTAAAGGGTTTGGCTTTGAGGTTGGCTTAGGACCTCTAGCTACATCCAGCCACTCTTATCATGCAAGCTCTTTCGTCCTCGAGGTGGCTGTGGCGAATCTTCTCGAACCATGTGTGGTTGATGCATTCGATAATGCTGAAACGCTTGGACGGATCCTGCATCCGACAGACGGTTGGAGTCAGCCCCTGGCTTTAACAAGCCAACGCCGGGTCCTTTTGAAGCATCCCTTCCAAGAAGTTGCACATGTCCTCTGCCGCGCTGGCGCTGCAGATACTCTCAGTAAGCAAACACACTCCCCGAGAGAAAGGGCCTCGTCGATCTCCCGCAGCGCATCCCTCAGGTCTCCTGACACGTCAGAACCCCCGAGGGTTCCCAGGCCAGTTGAATAGAAAAGTAGAGCAGGCACAGTCAGGGTGTGCAAAGCATCCTGTGATGATGGGATCGCTGTGGTAGTCTGCAAGCCAGTTGAGGAACTTCTCCTCGGTGCCTGCCCGATCCGCGGGCACAGCGACCGAGATGCTTTGCAGCAACGGGAACCTGTCTCACGCAGCCATTCATCATACCTAAGAAATGCAGATGGGCAGGAGTCGAGAACGAGGGCCAACTTGGCAAAGTGAGCTGGCTGCCATGGCATCAAGATGGGCACCAAGAATATGGCCTCACAGAGGGAAGGGTCTTAGGACTTCTTCTTCACCGTGATAGCAAAGGCAACAATCCTGCCTCCATCGCGCACATGCCGACGCTCCAAACGTCCATCAGCCGGGAGAGCTGCACAGACATGGGAAGTTGGCGTCAATCTTTGCTGTTGCAGATGCTTATAAAGGGGCGATACCTTTATGCCAAATCTGTTCAGGGTAGGACAACTAGTATGAAGAAACGTGTTGGTGCCATGCGGAATTCAGAATGCCTTTCCTGAGTCAGTGACTTGACAGCTGGGAGTTGAAAAATCCAGGGGATGTCGGGATCGATAGGTGATGCTGCTAGCGAAATTGCTTACTTACCCTCAAAGCAACATCCTGCTGCCTACCCAGGACAATCCCGATAATGTAACTGCAACAGCTACTGTACTGTCCGCATCTTCGTCAAACGACTACAGCAAGAATGGGAAACAACCAGATAATCGCCACGGGTTTGGGGGTCGATACATACGACTCGTAAGTGGAGGCCCACAGCACTGAAGCAAAAAAATCTGAACGCAGCGGGCTGTCCTTGATAGGCTGGTTATCTGTCTCTTCCCTGCCGCGCCGTGCTCTTCCGAACTTGTCACGAGCACAGACCTGACAATGATAGAGTGCTCTAGCCCGGATGGAAACGAAAGAGAGGCCAAGCACATCCAAGCACTGCGGAACCAAAGTGTTAGGAGGAGCCTTCATGGAAAGAAACGTCCCCGCGAGCTCCGGGGACCTGTGCAAATTCTACCGCTTGCTGACGTGCGCAGGTGCAGAACGAAGGCCACTACAGCCTTGAACGGGCTGAGCTCAGCACAGGTATTGCAAGGTTGTCACACAATCCTCCATGCATCTCTGCGAACTCTCACTGAAGCATAGGAAGTTACGGTGCGAAAACTCTGCGTAAATGGAAGCAGAAGCCCGTGCATCCCCGACCTCGCTTTGCGGAACTCTTGCGTTTGAACAATCAGACGCGGCTCCCGGGAACATGTTCCATCATGCTCCCACGCACTCACTCACTTACTGACTCACTCCCCACGAGTCGAAAGAGTAGTCCTTGAGCAAGGCTGGCTTTCCGGAGTTGAGGGCGCCGTCCAGGTCTATTAACTTCCACTGCTCCTGGCCGCGCCGCACAGAGACAAACGAAGAGCTCGGAACTCCGTCGCCGAAGACAGCCGACCCACTACCTCACGCACGCTCTCAATGTTGTCGAATGTTGTCGAAACCTTATCACGCTGTACCTGAAGAGTCAACTAAGAGTGAGTAGTGTAAACAGACCATGCAAGTACAATCTCACAAACTTTCAGAATCTAATCCACTGTCAAGGCAATTTCATGAGTTCTGGAAATCAACGCGTCACTTTTCAGCAAGTACCTGTGGTTCGGGAGCCTGGAGAACATTGCGAATCGACCGTTCAGCACGAAAAGACAGCAACGAGTTCCCATGAAATGACTCGACTGCGCATTGCCAACGAAGCAGCCCCGAGCCCTGCGTCCTGCTTACGTCGATGCCGAATCGGAACCCTGGAACTCTAGAGTGAAACAGAGCATGGCTTTTGGATTCGATTCAAGTCCTTCTTGTCAGGCATGTCAAAGCTAACGATATTCGCTGGCTTGATGTCTAAGTGCACGTACCTCAAGCTCTGTGACATCTCGGCGTCTGCCCCCCCGGCTGCGGTCACATCACTCGAAGTCTACCATGTCACACAGAAGTTGCTCAATGTTGCCATCAAGTTGCCCCAGAGTATGCAGGCCAAAAACCTTAAGACAGGACTCTCTGCTCATAGTTGCAAACACTGCGAGAAGGCTCCATGGCCACATGTGCCGTCCAAGGCGCTATCGAAACCAAAGCCCACCTGAGCAAAGCACGAAGCAGATCTCAAGATTCCGAAAGGCTGAGCTCGAGAAGGGATTTTCAACCTGACCACCATTACGTGCTCGAGAAGGGGAATGCTCTTGGTCTCAGCACGCCTCAACCACCTCTCCAAGCCTTACACACATTGAATTGCGAAGTCACATGGAAGAAGTTTCCTCCGCCAGCCAAATCATCCAATCGAGGGTAGCTGACAAAGCAAGAATTACGTGGGACGGGCTGCCATGCAGATACAAACAGTACCTTACGTAGGACCTAGGAGAGGCTCTTTGTCGACCAGGCACTGCAGGGAACGGTGTTCATCCGCCGACAGCTTCCTTCCTTCATCTGCATACCTCACAAGTCTGTCCTGCGCCAGCAGGAGCGCAGATCGATGATCTTCAGAAAGTGAAATCAGACTCCAGGTCATACGGTGGAGAGGACTCACAGCTGCACACGCAAAAGTGCCAGCGGCCATAAGGCTTTCGTGTGATTCGTGTGTCCTCCAAGGACTCACCGCCGAGTTCGAAAACAATGAAAAGCGACCTGAGAACGTAGCGGAGGATCATCCGGGACCCGGGATTCCTACACACCCTAAACCCCGAAGTCCTCAAATCCCTAAACTCCCCAAACCCCCCAAAAAGGTTCGGGTGCACCGAACCGGTCCCCGCTACGAATGCTACCCCAAGGGCTCGGATTCTGCGTCAAGGCCAGGATTGTCATCCTCGTCCTTCGAGTAGCTCACGACCGATACCTCAGCTGGGAACAATCAACAGCGGCACCGATGGAGATCATCTCAAATCTTTAGAAGTAAAACAGTATACAGTACACGATGATTTTTTCTTAATACTCATGTGTTACATAAGAATGCAAGAAAGCTTATGCCAGCGCAGATCCCCAAACAGTGATAGGGCAGCACGACGACTAGCACGACCACCCCAGGCAGGAGACCACCAAGGGATTACCAAGAGACCAGGAGACCACCGGAAGACCTCAACAAGACACCCCCAGGACACAACCAGGACACCACCACAAGACAAGAGACCACCCTGACTGAGACCACGAAGAGAACAGAAAATAACACGAAGACGCCACGGCCAACATGAAGTGCTGGCAAGATCTTCTCCAAAGTTTTTTGCAATCAAATGGGGGGGATTCGGGACTGCTGCACTAATGCTTTTCCCACCCCAAATGTTGCTAAATCCTTTCCCCCAACCGCGACCACCCCGGCCGAGTCTTACTGTTTGGGATAATAATTTCGGGTTTACGTTGTTGTCCGAGGGCCGGGCGAAGCAGGAGCTGAAGTCTATCTTTCTGATCCTCAGTCTTTTCGTGCAGCATTTCGAGATGGGACCCCATCTGCTTTTATCTGCATATCTTGGCGCATCCAAGCGGCAGCTCTCCCCTTGATGACCGTCTTCGCCTTGCAGGTGTTGAGAATCTTGGACAGTTCACAGCCGTGCTGTCTTATGCCAAGACACACATGTGATGGAATTTCCACCATGCTGGGATCGAAGGAGCGGGTGGCGAACTCTGCCCAGTCCGTCGAATTCTCAGCCCATCCGGTGTCGATCTCCTGCCGGCTCAGATGCACAAAAGCGAACGCTACGCGATGAAGGAAAGCTCACAAGAGTGAGAAGATGCATCCGGGCGGCATCAGGCGGCTCAGTATCACTAACCTTGGTGACAAGTCCAAATCACATCGCTGCGTTCAGACGGCAGGGGCATTCACGTCTCTTAGGCAGGCACGTCGGAACGCCCATCCTCCGATGGCGCCGTCTTACTGGAGGATCGCATCCCCGTCTGTATGCCCAGGAGGACATCTATACCTTGGCAAATATGATTATTCCGGAGAGTCGTAATTTTCTCGCAGTGGCATGAAAATGCCTCCCCCAGGCGTTGAAGGGGCTTCAAGTTTCGGCTGTGGCCTTGTACATGTCCCATCCCTCGCTGTGAACATGGTACCTTTAGAGCAGCTCCGCTCTCTCCACTGCGACTGAGCATACGAGCAACATTTGAGGGAAGCAAGCGGCGTTGCATGACACGCTCTACTCGAAAAACCAAGACATGCATGAATTGTGCACAGCATGTAATCACACGTACACATTGTGTAGATGTACACGCACATACGATTATCTATGTGTATATATATATATGTATATGTATATGTATATGTACATGTACATGTACATGTACATGTACATACATTGTACATGTATATGTATATGTATATGTATATGTATATGTGTATGTATATGTATATGTAGATGTACATGTATATGTATATGTATATGTATATGTATATGTATATGTGTGTATGTATGTACGTATGTATGTATGTGTGTATGTATGTATGTATGTACGTATGTATGTGTACGTATCCCGGAATCTCGCCGACCCCTGCCGCCCCCTTGTCCACGAATGATGACTTCTCTGATACCTACCTGGGGATGAAGCCGGTCCCGGCAGAAACTTGGAGCACATGACAAGAACACAAAGCCAGTTTGGAGCGGGCACGGATGCCTCAAAGTCCCACTTGACTTGAGGTATTTCGACTCTGCAGGGAGGTCAGTCAAGCAGCTTTTCTTGAAGGATCGAGTCGCATCCTCGTCCTTGGTGCATCCACAACACCCCGAAGTGAGACACATAAAGGGACCCTGGACTAAGTCCCGCTCGATCTCCTTGTAGAGTTTGACGGCAACGTTCTTCAAACCCTGCAAACCGCTCGGATGCTCGGCCGGCAAGGAAAAAGGCGAGGCCAACTTGCCTGCCTTCCGATCCAGTCCTTTGTACACCACTGCGTAGCTGCCTGGCAAGTGGCAAGAAGAGTCTGGCCAGCTACGTGGGAGCGATATGCTCTCACTGACTTTCCCATCGTGTTCACAAGCCGGAAAGTACAGAGTCTAAACATTCTCGCTCTGGGCAGCAAACGGAAACCGCACCAAAGGATCGGGAAGTTCGGTCGCTTCAGGTGTAAAGGGCGAAGCCTTCTCCGAGAACGTGGTCTCTCGAAATCTTGAAGCGATCTTGCAACAGCTCCTGGCAGAAGCTATACTACACTCGATACTACAGTCGCCAGCTCGCAGACTGCACGATAACGAAAATGACGTCAATCTGGGACAATGACCGATGGTCGAACTGCGTGGTGACTGAAGACTTAGCTGCTTGGACACGTGACCACCAGTGCGAACACGGGCTTAAAACTCGAGCACTGTCCTGGGGCATGCTCTGGTCTTTGTGGCGCCTCACTTCTTGGCAATTCCACACCCCAACAAGGATCGACAAACCCCTTTCCGATAGGCAGCCAGGTAGCGCGGCACACTTATTCGGTTTTCTCCGGCATGATGTCGCGAAGGACTTTGGATCTGATAAGGCTGCACAGTGCCATGCAGCTGGCCCTCTTTGAGACATCTGCACACCTGACAGCTGCGTGACGCGTCTGCGCAACTGCATTTATACTCCCGTGGTATTGACACCGCTTCCGCAGCTCAGGCGGGTGAGACGCACTAGGCACACTGCGGAGCTCAGACATCGTGAAGTCTGTTCGAGAAGCTGCTACACCTCTCTACGTGCGCATATGTCGCAATGCCAACCAACTTGAAACGCTTCCGCAGGGTGCATCTTCAGGATGGAAATGTAAAAATGTCTCGGACTAATTTCCTTTGAGGAAAACCTTCCAACGTCTAACACCGATGTCGAGCACTCTCAGTAAAGCAAACAACTGATATCCTGCAGTTTTCGCATGCTGTCGCCATGCATGTTCGTGTATGACGATGTCTGGTATTGCAGTATCTGTGCGGTCGCACTGGCTTGCGTCATGTTGATGAATATTCGCATGCACGGCTGTATCTATCTATACATGTATATACTTGGTCGATGTATCCATTCGACTGGGTATGTGTTTTTGTCTACGTTGTTTATTTGTCTGCTTGTCTGCTTATCTATCGATTTCTATATATATATATATATATATATATATATGTATATATATATATATATATATATATATATATATATATTTATTTGTTTATAGCTTGCTTCATGCCTACATATGCTGCAAGGTTTGTATTGCCAGTCTTCATGATGGAGCCCAAAATACACAATCGCCCATGTTCAAAGTAAACTCATAGATACGCACGCACGATCACCGCATCCCTAGCATAAAGCACATCATATACACATACATACATCTAAAGTATATGCATATACGAGAGAGTACTGCGACATCTCTGAAGCAGTGATTGCTAGGCCAACGTCAGGAAGATCGGCACAGTCGTTTTTGAGAGCACAACACGCGGATGTGTCGGCCCCGGCAACCAGATAAATCAAGCTTGGCATAAATATCACCATGCAACTTTGCAAGACTTGCTTTGAAAATCTTGCAACAGTTGTGGCCATGATGGACGGTTCCATGATTTGCAGGGTCACGCAAACAACTATTAGACACATGGCTGCAATGGTTCGGGTTTGCTTGACCCCTTGGACTTGAAAATTGCGAAGTTACTCTCAAAGACTCAAAGGTGCTCCAGCCAACTTCCTTGCAGCACGAAGCATCAGGTGCGGAAAGCTCCTGCACCCTAGGCCCACAGCCCATTTTGCTAGCTTAACTTATCTTTGGTTAGTAGGGAACGGAAGAGTGGTAGTAATAGCGGTTATAATTGTACCGCATTCCTCCATTCCCTACTAACCAAAGGTAAGCTTAAAGAGCATGCACTGCGGTGCAAAGCAGCTGAGAGGGAGGCTGCCCTGGAGTACCAGCTTCGTAGGCTCCTGTGAAACTTGGGGAACCCCTGTTTCTGTTCAAGAGAAGAGTCGCATTAGGGTTTAGCACCTGTTTAGGGTTTAGGGTCTGTATTATGAAACCGCCAACCATTGTTTAGGAAGGCTCAGCTCAGGCCCATGCTGCAGAAGGGGCTTTGGGCTCCAAGAGCGTGCACGGAGACGACCTGAACTTGGCCGTTTCAGGGGCGAAAGGCATGGGCTCCCGCAGAGTAGCTGAGCTCTCAGACGCGTTAGACTGCTCTACATGACCCTCGAGGCAGGGTAGTTCCCATGCCTGGCAAGCTCCAGGCATTTTGCACTGATTGAGCCCCATTCGGTACATCCAGAGGTGCAAAGCCTTGGAGTTTTGATCTGGTTCAGGGGGATCGCTGGCATGATCGTCGCCACCCATCACCGCTTCTTCCAATGCCTGCAATTGCAGTCACCGTTGTGAAGACACCTTCGCGCTCGCAATGCGGAGTTCACCCTGCCTGTGGTTTGGAACACAAACTACATCCTCTGTTGTCGCAAGCCATACACGGTTTCGTGCACAGGCCGCAGCCGCCACCGCCGCAAGCTACGCATCCAGCAGCTTCCTGCAATCGGCACGTCTTGGCACATGCCTGCATACGTCCCGTGCTCCATTTCTGAAGACCAACAGCAACAACACCTCCTTGTTGTCGTCAGGCCGGTGACGGCTGAAACACCGTTGGGCACATGCAACCTTCAACGCAAGTCTACTGATCGCACAAAATTGGTCACTGCCCCCATTTTTCGTATCAATGACTGCAGTCAAGGAGCTGAGCCAAAGACGAGGAGAACTCCTACGATCAACCCTCCAACTGCTGCTAGCGCTGGTAAGAATATCCTCGGCGGCATGGGGCAACGACACGGGATCGTCATCTCGAACAAAGTTTCATGAGTCTGTGTCTCTGCCTGCGATATGTCATGCTACACTGCTACATGTCTCCCACCGGGCAGCTGATCGAGCGACTCGCCAGCGACGCCGGGGATGAAGGCCAGCAAGATGGGTACAGTCTGTGAGCCTCAGTGGCCCGGGCCAACGCAGTCTTTTGCTGACTTTAGCTGTTTTGCACCACGAAAGTCTGGGCCGGGCCCCCGACGCGTGCATATCCGCCCAAGCATAAAAACGGAGCTGGTGCGTCGTATTGTGGAGGTGATGGGGAGGCCACGGAATTGGCACACAGTTCCCTAGGCCCAACCCTTGGCATGCGGAATGTACCAATGTAGGTAAGAGCAACTTGCCTCGGGGGCTGTGGAACGAAGCTAGCTGCGAAATTCGCATCTGATGGTAGGGGCCACATTCCTTACAAAGATGATCATTGCCACAGGTTCAGGGTTCATGCTGAACAACAGGTGATTGTCCTGTACTGTGTTCCTGCTAAGACTCCAGATGGTGCATGACATGTTCATCCTTGCTACGCGATGTGGACATGGACAGACACAGACTTAGTCAGGGGCTCATGCAACTTGCAGTCAGATGCTTGGCAACAGCAGCGGTGAGACAGATGAAACGAAGCCATGTCTTGAACATCTGGGTCTGGCAAGTGCTCTCAGAGTGAAGGCAAGGCCAATGTGTTCCGCTTGCGCGAACTGCTTCCGAGGTAGAGCTACCAGCTACCACTCGTAGAAGCCCTGCTCAATCCGCTGCCGGCGCCCTGCAAGACCACCCTGAAACATGGTGCGGGATCGGCATGCAGGCACTGCAAGCTCCAAGCGCTATTCTGCGTGCTTGGCCCGGGCTTGGCCTCTGCAAGGAAACGCTCGGCACCCCGCTGGTCAGCAGGCTCGAAGCGAGTCTGGCTCCGCAAGTGTTTTTCAGACTGAGACATGTTCACACGCCAAAGTCCAGGGCGGTGCCTTCCACATGTTGTCGAAGTCTAGCTCGAGTCTGATGGCGGGGAAGAAGCGCACGAACTTCAGCTCGGGAGCAGATTCGCTAATTCTAGAGCATCAGACCCGCCACCAGAGCAAACCGCCCACCCCGACAGACAGACCGCAAGCCGCAGCGCAGGCACATGCTGCAGGTTTTGCAGAAACGTCTTGCCTGGCAGATAACCGCCACACAGGATATGCACCTTGCAACAATGCTTTGGCTTGGCTTGCCAAAGTCTCTTGCATAAGCTTGTAAGGCCCTAGCGGAAAGTGCGATATGTACAATTTCAGCCAGCCAGCACAGTCGTCACTTGCCTGTCGAAAAGCCAAGGGGGCCGGGGAACGGCTTTGATCGGGGGAGCGACAGCATGGCTCAGCATGGCGTCGGCATGCGACAGGCGAGAACAGTCACTTGTAGCAAGGTGCGAACAAGGCGGCAAGGCATGATTGTGCCCAGCACTCCTCCCAGCCGCTACGCTTCAGGAAGGCGCGTGTCAAGTGGAGCAGCGCTGTGCCTTCGTGCGGCGGTCGCTCAGGACTTCAACTGTTGCTGCACGAAGCTCTTCAGGTCGGCACGCTCAGCGTGGTCTTCCCTGTTGATGTGCTGGCAGACGGCATCCGCACTTCAGAGACTCGCAACATTGGATCCGGCTCACCGAAAAGATCGGCTGCAGCATCTCGTTGATGCGCACATCCAGCCCGCGCGGCATGTGGGAGTAGAAAAGCCGTCCAGGCTCCTGTTGCACGTCAAGAGAGATGATACTTTCGGACGCCACTGAGCTTCTTGCAGCTGTCTTCTCAGGTACGAGCCCAGCACATCGCCTCTGTCCTGAGTGAAATCCTGCGAGCACAGGAAACAACTGCAAAACACCTTGAAGACATGGGACACCTGGTGAGGCATCAAAGTCTCCGTCCTGAAAGAGACGAAGGAGACAATGCTGTCAGTGGAGGGAGTACTGCCTAAGCATGCAAGCTTGTACCTTCGCACATCTAGCGAGTCAGGTCGGCCTGTTGGCATTTCAGCACCCTGCCTGCCAGCACTGCATCTCCATCGGCAAACCAGGCACACAATCCACAGCTCCCGGCTCTTGTTATTTTGCCTCTGATTCCTTGGGTCTCCCTACCCAGCGAAAACACGGTAGCTGAGTGCGGTCGCGTCCATCTCCAATGAAGTAATGACGAGCGAAATGCATTTTCAGGAGGACGGCAAGACTGTGCGGCGACCGCCTCACACTAGAAAAGCCCTACACGAACGTGTGACACGCGGTCGATTGTCTGACTTCATCGTCGTTGGCAAGGGCCAAGTGCCGAGTGTAAGCCACACCTGCCTCTGACTGAATTCGGTGCAGTCTGCAGCAAGCTTGATCAAACAAAGATGGATGCATTCTTCGGCTTGCTTGATTTAGCTCCATGGCTCGCATCCAAACGATACTGCAACAAGAACCACACCGTGATTTGGTCTGCGGCACCCTCGCCCGGGCGATCACCATGGCCGCCGTCGTAGAAGCAGCGCATGATACGCCTTCCGCTGGTACAACCCTTGTAGTCGAAGCAGGCGAAATTCTTTTCCCCGCCATCCCAATAGGTGTGGGTCGGGCTGGCAACGGTATCGCAGTTGTGAACTGCAGCCCAGCCCTGCTGTACTTTATTCAAGGGTTCATAGATCCAACCAGGTTGGAAGCCACCGGACACACCTCCTGCCACAGGCATTATCTCATCTTGGCGTCCGTGGAGCTGGAGCATGGCCGTCTGCCGACAATCCGTCCGATCACGGACCAGCTCAAACTCTGCCCCGAGGCCATATCCAAGAAGAGGAAGGCCATACCAAGGGACCACGGCCGCAAAAGTTCCGGGAAGTGATTGCACAAGGTAGTGAGCAAGCATACCTCCGTTGCTCTCACCTGTGACATAGACGCGGCTTTCGTCGATGCACAGGACGGAGCTGATGAGCTGGATGACGGAGTAGATGAAAAGCCTCTCATCGTAGCATCCAGACCAGTTGCAGTTTCCACACTTGCTTTGCTCCCAGCACGATGCATAGCAGTCTGCTGTGACCTCATCGGTGACACATGTCTGGTCATCTCCAGCAGTTCCCACATTCCAGCCTGTCCCCAAGTCGCCACCTCCTGGAACCGCATCGTCGAGACCCTGCGGAAACACAGTGACGAAGCCCAGCGACTTCCCAAAAGTGCCGTAGTCATGGCTGTAGGCCATCGAATCGGCTTGGTCCCCTTGCGAGTGCAGCGCGATAAGCAGCGGAGCTGGGTTCCAGCGGGATGTGCCGACGTTTTTGGGAAGCTGGACGTAGAAGGAACGGTTCACCGGCGTGAAGTCCATGATCGTCAGAGGGACCCAACCTTCGAAGCCCTCCTCAGTCCCTCCCCAGGCTGTCGGACCTTTGCCAGCCGAGCAACCGGAAGAGGCTCTTTCCTCACCCGATGGTTTCAAATCCTTGAGGCTCTGCAGCCAAGCTCCCTGTTTGGGGCTTGCCAGAGCTGGGCATAATGTAGCAAAGGCCGAGAGGAGACGCAAGACAGCCATGCCAGCCATGCTGCAACTAAGAAGCAAACCAAGGTTGTAAGGTGAGAAGTCTCTACAATGACCCATGCAAACATGAGATGTGACACCTTTCTGGTCATGGCGTGTTGGAGCCGGAAGAGTTCACAAGACCTCTCAGGCCATCATGGAAACAGCACAAGACAACACGTGATTCCCGTTCCGGTGGCTTCTGTGCTTGTAACTTGTAATGCTGTAAGTCAGTGTGCCTTGGCAGCAGGGCGCTGCTCGGGCTCTGCACCTGACCAAATGCAGGTCATGTTGGCTGCACTTGGAACTCCTTATCAAAAAGCTGCTGAAGGGTTTGAAGGGTGATCACCTCAGCACCGACTGAGTGGACCTGCCAATGTGTCTGCTTCGACTGGGCAAGGGAAGGGCAGGTGAGGTGCCTCCGCTGACGCTCCGCCATCTGGAACATCGCGAGCTTCCGAGCCCATGTGCGCTTGACAATGGCGCTGCACTTTTTAGCGTCGGGCTAGTTGAGACCGAAGTGCATGGCTTCGGGGACGTCTATGGATGGAACACACCGTGAAGCAGCATCAACTGACAGCGAAATGAGTCTGCGGAGCTTGAGGCACGGGGTCCGGCTGCCCACCCCTGGGTCCAACACCGAACATTAAAACCCTGCTTCAGCAGCCACTCCCATTCCGTGCACTTTCAAGTTGCTTTCCCTTCCGCAGACGGCTGTAGATAAGCTGGGCATGCACGTGAAAACGGAAGGGGTGACACTGCGAAGCAACAGTTCGAAGAGCTTGTGCGTTTGGACAGCCTGCCACTTGGAAATCAAAAGGCACGAGGAAGGTCAGTCCAGGAGATCAGCCATCTCGGATTGCACAATGCCTTGGCAGCGCAGCGGTTGTTGCTTTTGCCAGAATCGGGGGGCATGGAGGCGAAGCGTTCCGCAGGCGCAAGAGTCTCATCAGCTGCGCTGCAGTCTGCAGGATCTTGTTTCTGATGTTTGCATCGTCAACAAAGAAGAGTTTCCGATTGATTGTAAAGCTTCCACAAAATGTTGTTGAACATGGTTACTGAAGTCCTGAAAATGTGATGCGCCTTGCGCGCAACTTGCCAGCACGCTGGTACTAGTTGCGGGAGTTCTCTTCTGCACTACTCACACAGGCGACGCGCGAAGCGTGCAAGAACTCAGCTTCGGCTATGAGTGCTCGCGGTCTGCATGACGAATGATCTGTGAAAAAGAGTATGCTGATGCTCACACACGCTTTGCTCTGCAATGGCGGGCCGCTAGGACCAGCGCACAAAGACGACGCATGGGGTCATCTTCATGCAGCCTCTCGAAGCCTCGGTGCTCAGCTTGCAGCTGCGGTGAAGGGCAAGCCGAGCAGACCAGTGGAAAATCGGAACCAGCTAGTAACAGTCACGCTACCCTTAGACACCACTACCCTTAGCACCATCTTGGAACATGTGCTGCGCTCTGCCAGCTGCCTCACACAGCACTGCCGAAAGACTCTGAGCAGGGAGCTCTACGAGGTCTTCGACCGCGAAATGCACAGACCTCATGCACAGACTCGCAGAGCCTTCTTTCAAACGGAGCTTCGGGTCTCGGCCCCTGGCTCACTTGCGGAGAACTCGACGTTGACCACGAGCTCCACGTCCTTGCCCCTGCTCATGGAGGCCGAATCAGGAGTAGGATCCGCAAGAAGAGCAAAACCACACCGTGGCATGTGGCAGCCTCTGAACGAAGAGCGGAAATTCCTTGTGGCGCGCATCCAGTGCGACCTGCCCACGGCGCCCGGCATGCCTCGTTTTCGAAAGCACTGACACCCCCTTCCGTGCAATAAAAAAACAAATGAAGCCAGCTCGTCCCTCTGCTCTCCCCACCCGACTTCCCCCAATCTGCAGCACTGCGCTGGTGCAGCTGCGCCACTTCCCACAGTTCCACTGCGAGATAGCAACCTTTTTGCCAAGCCGCCCAGCCCTGGACTCCAAAGTCACGTCCGACTTATATGGCCAGGACTGGGCGGCCACGGTGCGCCGGTCATCCTTGAGCACCATGACGGTGAGGTGCTTCTCCTCCACCTGCGCTTCAAGGCCGGACCGAGATGTGAGCTGCAACAGCGAAACCTGGCAAAGCCCTGGCCTCTGTGACCACGGCATAATCCATGCGATACTCGCCTTGCCCCATCACCACGATGTCACCGGCCTCATAAAGGCCTGCAGGCTCCTCCTCCTCCTCCTCCGGGATTTTCCCATTCATGGCCTGCAGCAATCGCGTGACCTCCAAGGCCTCCGCCATGGCCTCCTCCATGGTCTTTGGCTGCAGACGCTGTGCAAGCAGCTGCGCCATGGCCTCATCCTTTGTAAGTGCTTCTGGCCTCGCTGGCCGTTCCTCCCGACGCTGGCATTCTTGCTGCTCCTCCTGCAGCCGCTCTCGTGCGCCGCAGCAAACGCTGCCCATGACCACACAAGAGCGAGCGCTGCAACGGGTCTGCTTGAGCATGCGTCTGCGGTGCGGCATCTGATGTTGTCCTCCATGCAAGGCTCACGTCTTCAGAGACAAATCGGACATATATCGAGTCAAGAAGAGTCAAACTAAAACTGAAACTGAAACTCAGCTCAAGTTGCTTTCCCTTCCGCAGGCGGCTGTAGATAAGCTGGGCATGCACGTGAAAACGGAAGGGGTGACACTGCGACACAACATTTCGAAGAGCTTGTGCGTTTGGACAACCTGCCACTTGGAAATCAAAAGGCACGAGGAAGGTCAGTCCAGGAGATTCAGCCATCTCGGATTGCACAATGCCTAGGCAGCGCAGCGGTTGTTGCTTTTGCCAGACTCGGGGGGCATGGAGGCGAAAAGCCACCTTCAACCGTTCCGCTTTCGCAAGAGTCTCATCAGCTGCGCTGCAGTCTGCAGGATCTTGTTTTCGATGCAAAAAATCAAGAAGAGTTTCCGATTGATTGTAAAGCTTCCACAAAATGTTGTTGAACATGTTTACAAATGCTAAAACTGTGATGCGCCTTCCGCGCAACTTGCCAGCACGCTGGTGCTGGTTGCGGGAGTTCTCTTCTGCACGACTCACACAGGCGACGCGCGAAGCGTGCAAGAACTCAGCTTCGGCTATGAGTGCTCGCGGTCTGCGTGACGAATGATCTGTGAAAAAGAGTATGCTGATGCTCACACACGCTTTGCTCTGCAATGGCAGACCGCTAGGACCAGCGCACAAAGACGACGCATGGGGTCATCTTCATGCAGCCTCTCGAAGCCTCGGTGCTCAGCTTGCAGCGGTGAAGGGCAAGCCGAGCAGACCAGTGGAAAATCGGAACCAGCTAGTAACAGTCACGCTACCCTTAGACACCACTACCCTTAGCACCATCTTGGAACATGTGCTGCGCTCTGCCAGCTGCCTCACACAGCACTGCCGCAAGACTCTGAGCAGGGAGCTCTACGAGGTCTTCGACCGCGAAATGCACAGACCTCATGCACAGACTCGCAGAGCCTTCTTTCAAACGGAGCTTCGGGTCTCGGCCCCTGGCTCACTTGCGGAGAACTCGACGTTGACCACGAGCTCCACGTCCTTGCCCCTGCTCATGGAGGCCGAATCAGGAGTAGGATCCGCAAGAAGAGCAAAACCACACCGTGGCATGTGGCAGCCTCTGAACGAAGAGCGGAAATTCCTTGTGGCGCGCATCCAGTGCGACCTGCCCACGGCGCCCGGCATGCCTCGTTTTCGAAAGCACTGACACCCTTCCGTGCAATAAAAAAACAAATGAAGCCAGCTCGTCCCTCTGCTCTCCCCACCCGACTTCCCCCAATCTGCAGCACTGCGCTGGTGCAGCTGCGCCACTTCCCACAGTTCCACTGCGAGATAGCAACCTTTTTGCCAAGCCGCCCAGCCCTGGACTCCAAAGTCACGTCCGACTTATATGGCCAGGACTGGGCGGCCACGGTGCGCCGGTCATCCTTGAGCACCATGACGGTGAGGTGCTTCTCCTCCACCTGCGCTTCAAGGCCGGACCGAGATGTGAGCTGCAACAGCGAAACCTGGCAAAGCCCTGGCCTCTGTGACCACGGCATAATCCATGCGATACTCGCCGTGCCCCATCACCACGATGTCACCGGCCTCATAAAGGCCTGCAGGCTCCTCCTCCTCCTCCGGGATTTTCCCATTCATGGCCTGCAGCAATCGCGTGACCTCCAAGGCCTCCGCCATGGCCTCCTCCATGGTCTTTGGCTGCGGACGCTCTGCAAGCAGCTGCGCCATGGCCTCATCCTTTGTAAGTGCTTCTGGCCTCGCTGGCCGTTCCTCCCGACGCTGGCATTCTTGCTGCTCCTCCTGCAGCCGCTCTCGTGCGCCGCAGCAAACGCTGCCCATGACCACACAAGAGCGAGCGCTGCAACGGGTCTGCTTGAGCATGCGTCTGCGGTGCGGCATCTGATGTTGTCCTCCATGCAAGGCTCACGTCTTCAGAGACAAATCGGACATACATCGAGTCAAGAAGAGTCAAACTAAAACTGAAACTGAAACTCAGCTCAAGTTGCTTTCCCTTCCGCAGGCGGCTGTAGATAAGCTGGGCATGCACGTGAAAACGGAAGGGGTGACACTGCGACACAACATTTCGAAGAGCTTGTGCGTTTGGACAACCTGCCACTTGGAAATCAAAAGGCACGAGGAAGGTCAGTCCAGGAGATTCAGCCATCTCGGATTGCACAATGCCTAGGCAGCGCAGCGGTTGTTGCTTTTGCCAGACTCGGGGGGCATGGAGGCGAAAAGCCACCTTCAACCGTTCCGCTTTCGCAAGAGTCTCATCAGCTGCGCTGCAGTCTGCAGGATCTTGTTTTCGATGCAAAAAATCAAGAAGAGTTTCCGATTGATTGTAAAGCTTCCACAAAATGTTGTTGAACATGTTTACAAATGCTAAAACTGTGATGCGCCTTCCGCGCAACTTGCCAGCACGCTGGTGCTGGTTGCGGGAGTTCTCTTCTGCACTACTCACACAGGCGACGCGGGAAGCGTGCAAGAACTCAGCTTCGGCTATGAGTGCTCGCGGTCTGCGTGACGAATGATCTGTGAAAAAGAGTATGCTGATGCTCACACACGCTTTGCTCTGCAATGGCGGACCGCTAGGACCAGCGCACAAAGACGACGCATGGGGTCATCTTCATGCAGCCTCTCGAAGCCTCGGTGCTCAGCTTGCAGCTGCGGTGAAGGGCAAGCCGAGCAGACCAGTGGAAAATCGGAACCAGCTAGTAACAGTCACGCTACCCTTAGACACCACTACCCTTAGCACCATCTTGGAACATGTGCTGCGCTCTGCCAGCTGCCTCACACAGCACTGCCGCAAGACTCTGAGCAGGGAGCTCTACGAGGTCTTCGACCGCGAAATGCACAGACCTCATGCACAGACTCGCAGAGCCTTCTTTCAAACGGAGCTTCGGGTCTCGGCCCCTGGCTCACTTGCGGAGAACTCGACGTTGACCACGAGCTCCACGTCCTTGCCCCTGCTCATGGAGGCCGAATCAGGAGTAGGATCCGCAAGAAGAGCAAAACCACACCGTGGCATGTGGCAGCCTCTGAACGAAGAGCGGAAATTCCTTGTGGCGCGCATCCAGTGCGACCTGCCCACCGCCCGGCATGCCTCGTTTTCGAAAGCACTGACACCCTTCCGTGCAATAAAAAAACAAATGAAGCCAGCTCGTCCCTCTGCTCTCCCCACCCGACTTCCCCCAATCTGCAGCACTGCGCTGGTGCAGCTGCGCCACTTCCCACAGTTCCACTGCGAGATAGCAACCTTTTTGCCAAGCCGCCCAGCCCTGGACTCCAAAGTCACGTCCGACTTATATGGCCAGGACTGGGCGGCCACGGTGCGCCGGTCATCCTTGAGCACCATGACGGTGAGGTGCTTCTCCTCCACCTGCGCTTCAAGGCCGGACCGAGATGTGAGCTGCAACAGCGAAACCTGGCAAAGCCCTGGCCTCTGTGACCACGGCATAATCCATGCGATACTCGCCGTGCCCCATCACCACGATGTCACCGGCCTCATAAAGGCCTGCAGGCTCCTCCTCCTCCTCCGGGATTTTCCCATTCATGGCCTGCAGCAATCGCGTGACCTCCAAGGCCTCCGCCATGGCCTCCTCCATGGTCTTTGGCTGCGGACGCTCTGCAAGCAGCTGCGCCATGGCCTCCTCCTTTGTAAGTGCTTCTGGCCTCGCTGGCCGTTCCTCCCGACGCTGGCATTCTTGCTGCTCCTCCTGCAGCCGCTCTCGTGCGCCGCAGCAAACGCTGCCCATGACCACACAAGAGCGAGCGCTGCAACGGGTCTGCTTGAGCATGCGTCTGCGGTGCGGCATCTGATGTTGTCCTCCATGCAAGGCTCACGTCTTCAGAGACAAATCGGACATATATCGAGTCAAGAAGAGTCAAACTAAAACTGAAACTGAAACTCAGCTCAAGTTGCTTTCCCTTCCGCAGGCGGCTGTAGATAAGCTGGGCATGCACGTGAAAACGGAAGGGGTGACACTGCGACACAACATTTCGAAGAGCTTGTGCGTTTGGACAACCTGCCACTTGGAAATCAAAAGGCACGAAGAAGGTCAGTCCAGGAGATTCAGCCATCTCGGATTGCACAATGCCTAGGCAGCGCAGCGGTTGTTGCTTTTGCCAGAATCGGGGGGCATGGAGGCGAAAAGCCACCTTCAACCGTTCCGCTTTCGCAAGAGTCTCATCAGCTGCGCTGCAGTCTGCAGGATCTTGTTTTCGATGCAAAAAATCAAGAAGAGTTTCCGATTGATTGTAAAGCTTCCACAAAATGTTGTTGAACATGTTTACAAATGCTAAAACTGTGATGCGCCTTCCGCGCAACTTGCCAGCACGCTGGTGCTGGTTGCGGGAGTTCTCTTCTGCACTACTCACACAGGCGACGCGCGAAGCGTGCAAGAACTCAGCTTCGGCTATGAGTGCTCGCGGTCTGCGTGACGAATGATCTGTGAAAGAGTATGCTGATGCTCACACACGCTTTGCTCTGCAATGGCGGACCGCTAGGACCAGCGCACAAAGACGACGCATGGGGTCATCTTCATGCAGCCTCTCGAAGCCTCGGTGCTCAGCTTGCAGCTGCGGTGAAGGGCAAGCCGAGCAGACCAGTGGAAAATCGGAACCAGCTAGTAACAGTCGCGCTACCCTTAGACACCACTACCCTTAGCACCATCTTGGAACATGTGCTGCGCTCTGCCAGCTGCCTCACACAGCACTGCCGCAAGACTCTGAGCAGGGAGCTCTACGAGGTCTTCGACCGCGAAATGCACAGACCTCATGCACAGACTCGCAGAGCCTTCTTTCAAACGGAGCTTCGGGTCTCGGCCCCTGGCTCACTTGCGGAGAACTCGACGTTGACCACGAGCTCCACGTCCTTGCCCCTGCTCATGGAGGCCGAATCAGGAGTAGGATCCGCAAGAAGAGCAAAACCACACCGTGGCATGTGGCAGCCTCTGAACGAAGAGCGGAAATTCCTTGTGGCGCGCATCCAGTGCGACCTCCCACCGCCCGGCATGCCTCGTTTTCGAAAGCACTGACACCCTTCCGTGCAATAAAAAAACAAATGAAGCCAGCTCGTCCCTCTGCTCTCCCCACCCGACTTCCCCCAATCTGCAGCACTGCGCTGGTGCAGCTGCGCCACTTCCCACAGTTCCACTGCGAGATAGCAACCTTTTTGCCAAGCCGCCCAGCCCTGGACTCCAAAGTCACGTCCGACTTATATGGCCAGGACTGGGCGGCCACGGTGCGCCGGTCATCCTTGAGCACCATGACGGTGAGGTGCTTCTCCTCCACCTGCGCTTCAAGGCCGGACCGAGATGTGAGCTGCAACAGCGAAACCTGGCAAAGCCCTGGCCTCTGTGACCACGGCATAATCCATGCGATACTCGCCGTGCCCCATCACCACGATGTCACCGGCCTCATAAAGGCCTGCAGGCTCCTCCTCCTCCTCCTCCGGGATTTTCCCATTCATGGCCTGCAGCAATCGCGTGACCTCCAAGGCCTCCGCCATGGCCTCCTCCATGGTCTTTGGCTGCGGACGCTCTGCAAGCAGCTGCGCCATGGCCTCCTCCTTTGTAAGTGCTTCTGGCCTCGCTGGCCGTTCCTCCCGACGCTGGCATTCTTGCTGCTCCTCCTGCAGCCGCTCTCGTGCGCCGCAGCAAACGCTGCCCATGACCACACAAGAGCGAGCGCTGCAACGGGTCTGCTTGAGCATGCGTCTGCGGTGCGGCATCTGATGTTGTCCTCCATGCAAGGCTCACGTCTTCAGAGACAAATCGGACATATATCGAGTCAAGAAGAGTCAAACTAAAACTGAAACTGAAACTCAGCTCAAGTTGCTTTCCCTTCCGCAGGCGGCTGTAGATAAGCTGGGCATGCACGTGAAAACGGAAGGGGTGACACTGCGACACAACATTTCGAAGAGCTTGTGCGTTTGGACAACCTGCCACTTGGAAATCAAAAGGCACGAGGAAGGTCAGTCCAGGAGATTCAGCCATCTCGGATTGCACAATGCCTAGGCAGCGCAGCGGTTGTTGCTTTTGCCAGACTCGGGGGGCATGGAGGCGAAAAGCCACCTTCAACCGTTCCGCTTTCGCAAGAGTCTCATCAGCTGCGCTGCAGTCTGCAGGATCTTGTTTTCGATGCAAAAAATCAAGAAGAGTTTCCGATTGATTGTAAAGCTTCCACAAAATGTTGTTGAACATGTTTACAAATGCTAAAACTGTGATGCGCCTTCCGCGCAACTTGCCAGCACGCTGGTGCTGGTTGCGGGAGTTCTCTTCTGCACTACTCACACAGGCGACGCGCAAGCGTGCAAGAACTCAGCTTCGGCTATGAGTGCTCGCGGTCTGCGTGACGAATGATCTGTGAAAAAGAGTATGCTGATGCTCACACACGCTTTGCTCTGCAATGGCGGACCGCTAGGACCAGCGCACAAAGACGACGCATGGGGTCATCTTCATGCAGCCTCTCGAAGCCTCGGTGCTCAGCTTGCAGCTGCGGTGAAGGGCAAGCCGAGCAGACCAGTGGAAAATCGGGCCAGCTAGTAACAGTCGCGCTACCCTCAGACACCACTACCCTTAGCACCATCTTTGAACATGTGCTGCGCTCTGCCAGCTGCCTCACACAGCACTGCCGCAAGACTCTGAGCAGGGAGCTCTACGAGGTCTTCGACCGCGAAATGCACAGACCTCATGCACAGACTCGCAGAGCCTTCTTTCAAACGGAGCTTCGGGTCTCGGCCCCTGGCTCACTTGCGGAGAACTCGACGTTGACCACGAGCTCCACGTCCTTGCCCCTGCTCATGGAGGCCGAATCAGGAGTAGGATCCGCAAGAAGAGCAAAACCACACCGTGGCATGTGGCAGCCTCTGAACGAAGAGCGGAAATTCCTTGTGGCGCGCATCCAGTGCGACCTGCCCACGGCCCGGCATGCCTCGTTTTCGAAAGCACTGACACCCTTCCGTGCAATAAAAAAACAAATGAAGCCAGCTCGTCCCTCTGCTCTCCCCACCCGACTTCCCCCAATCTGCAGCACTGCGCTGGTGCAGCTGCGCCACTTCCCACAGTTCCACTGCGAGATAGCAACCTTTTTGCCAAGCCGCCCAGCCCTGGACTCCAAAGTCACGTCCGACTTATATGGCCAGGACTGGGCGGCCACGGTGCGCCGGTCATCCTTGAGCACCATGACGGTGAGGTGCTTCTCCTCCACCTGCGCTTCAAGGCCGGACCGAGATGTGAGCTGCAACAGCGAAACCTGGCAAAGCCCTGGCCTCTGTGACCACGGCATAATCCATGCGATACTCGCCGTGCCCCATCACCACGATGTCACCGGCCTCATAAAGGCCTGCAGGCTCCTCCTCCTCCTCCGGGATTTTCCCATTCATGGCCTGCAGCAATCGCGTGACCTCCAAGGCCTCCGCCATGGCCTCCTCCATGGTCTTTGGCTGCGGACGCTCTGCAAGCAGCTGCGCATGGCCTCATCCTTTGTAAGTGCTTCTGGCCTCGCTGGCCGTTCCTCCCGACGCTGGCATTCTTGCTGCTCCTCCTGCAGCCGCTCTCGTGCGCCGCAGCAAACGCTGCCCATGACCACACAAGAGCGAGCGCTGCAACGGGTCTGCTTGAGCATGCGTCTGCGGTGCGGCATCTGATGTTGTCCTCCATGCAAGGCTCACGTCTTCAGAGACAAATCGGACATACATCGAGTCAAGAAGAGTCAAACTAAAACTGAAACTGAAACTCAGCTCAAGTTGCTTTCCCTTCCGCAGGCGGCTGTAGATAAGCTGGGCATGCACGTGAAAACGGAAGGGGTGACACTGCGACACAACATTTCGAAGAGCTTGTGCGTTTGGACAACCTGCCACTTGGAAATCAAAAGGCACGAGGAAGGTCAGTCCAGGAGATTCAGCCATCTCGGATTGCACAATGCCTAGGCAGCGCAGCGGTTGTTGCTTTTGCCAGACTCGGGGGGCATGGAGGCGAAAAGCCACCTTCAACCGTTCCGCTTTCGCAAGAGTCTCATCAGCTGCGCTGCAGTCTGCAGGATCTTGTTTTCGATGCAAAAAATCAAGAAGAGTTTCCGATTGATTGTAAAGCTTCCACAAAATGTTGTTGAACATGTTTACAAATGCTAAAACTGTGATGCGCCTTCCGCGCAACTTGCCAGCACGCTGGTGCTGGTTGCGGGAGTTCTCTTCTGCACTACTCACACAGGCGACGCGGGAAGCGTGCAAGAACTCAGCTTCGGCTATGAGTGCTCGCGGTCTGCGTGACGAATGATCTGTGAAAAAGAGTATGCTGATGCTCACACACGCTTTGCTCTGCAATGGCGGACCGCTAGGACCAGCGCACAAAGACGACGCATGGGGTCATCTTCATGCAGCCTCTCGAAGCCTCGGTGCTCAGCTTGCAGCTGCGGTGAAGGGCAAGCCGAGCAGACCAGTGGAAAATCGGAACCAGCTAGTAACAGTCACGCTACCCTTAGACACCACTACCCTTAGCACCATCTTGGAACATGTGCTGCGCTCTGCCAGCTGCCTCACACAGCACTGCCGCAAGACTCTGAGCAGGGAGCTCTACGAGGTCTTCGACCGCGAAATGCACAGACCTCATGCACAGACTCGCAGAGCCTTCTTTCAAACGGAGCTTCGGGTCTCGGCCCCTGGCTCACTTGCGGAGAACTCGACGTTGACCACGAGCTCCACGTCCTTGCCCCTGCTCATGGAGGCCGAATCAGGAGTAGGATCCGCAAGAAGAGCAAAACCACACCGTGGCATGTGGCAGCCTCTGAACGAAGAGCGGAAATTCCTTGTGGCGCGCATCCAGTGCGACCTGCCCACGGCGCCCGGCATGCCTCGTTTTCGAAAGCACTGACACCCCCTTCCGTGCAATAAAAAAACAAATGAAGCCAGCTCGTCCCTCTGCTCTCCCCACCCGACTTCCCCCAATCTGCAGCACTGCGCTGGTGCAGCTGCGCCACTTCCCACAGTTCCACTGCGAGATAGCAACCTTTTTGCCAAGCCGCCCAGCCCTGGACTCCAAAGTCACGTCCGACTTATATGGCCAGGACTGGGCGGCCACGGTGCGCCGGTCATCCTTGAGCACCATGACGGTGAGGTGCTTCTCCTCCACCTGCGCTTCAAGGCCGGACCGAGATGTGAGCTGCAACAGCGAAACCTGGCAAAGCCCTGGCCTCTGTGACCACGGCATAATCCATGCGATACTCGCCTTGCCCCATCACCACGATGTCACCGGCCTCATAAAGGCCTGCAGGCTCCTCCTCCTCCTCCTCCTCCTCCGGGATTTTCCCATTCATGGCCTGCAGCAATCGCGTGACCTCCAAGGCCTCCGCCATGGCCTCCTCCATGGTCTTTGGCTGCGGACGCTCTGCAAGCAGCTGCGCCATGGCCTCATCCTTTGTAAGTGCTTCTGGCCTCGCTGGCCGTTCCTCCCGACGCTGGCATTCTTGCTGCTCCTCCTGCAGCCGCTCTCGTGCGCCGCAGCAAACGCTGCCCATGACCACACAAGAGCGAGCGCTGCAACGGGTCTGCTTGAGCATGCGTCTGCGGTGCGGCATCTGATGTTGTCCTCCATGCAAGGCTCACGTCTTCAGAGACAAATCGGACATATATCGAGTCAAGAAGAGTCAAACTAAAACTGAAACTGAAACTCAGCTCAAGTTGCTTTCCCTTCCGCAGGCGGCTGTAGATAAGCTGGGCATGCACGTGAAAACGGAAGGGGTGACACTGCGACACAACATTTCGAAGAGCTTGTGCGTTTGGACAACCTGCCACTTGGAAATCAAAAGGCACGAGGAAGGTCAGTCCAGGAGATTCAGCCATCTCGGATTGCACAATGCCTAGGCAGCGCAGCGGTTGTTGCTTTTGCCAGACTCGGGGGGCATGGAGGCGAAAAGCCACCTTCAACCGTTCCGCTTTCGCAAGAGTCTCATCAGCTGCGCTGCAGTCTGCAGGATCTTGTTTTCGATGCAAAAAATCAAGAAGAGTTTCCAATTGATTGTAAAGCTTCCGCAAAATGTTGTTGAACATGTTTACAAATGCTAAAACTGTGATGCGCCTTCCGCGCAACTTGCCAGCACGCTGGTGCTGGTTGCGGGAGTTGTCTTCTGCACGACTCACACAGGCGACGCGCGAAGCGTGCAAGAACTCAGCTTCGGCTATGAGTGCTCGATAGTGCTCGCGGTCTGCGTGACGAATGATCTGTGAAAAAGAGTATGCTGATGCTCACACACGCTTTGCTCTGCAATGGCGGACCGCTAGGACCAGCGCACAAAGACGACGCATGGGGTCATCTTCATGCAGCCTCTCGAAGCCTCGGTGCTCAGCTTGCAGCTGCGGGGAAGGGCAAGCCGAGCAGACCAGTGGAAAATCGGAACCAGCTAGTAACAGTCACGCTACCCTTCACACAGCACTGCCGCAAGACTCTGAGCAGGGAGCTCTACGAGGTCTTCGACCGCGAAATGCACAGACCTCATGCACAGACTCGCAGCGCCTTCTTTCAAACGGAGCTTCGGGTCTCGGCCCCTGGCTCACTTGCGGAGAACTCGACGTTGACCACGAGCTCCACGTCCTTGCCCCTGCTCATGGAGGCCGAATCAGGAGTAGGATCCGCAAGAAGAGCAAAACCACACCGTGGCATGTGGCAGCCTCTGAACGAAGAGCGGAAATTCTTTGTGGCGCGCATCCAGTGCGACCTGCCCACGGCGCCCGGCATGCCTCGTTTTCGAAAGCACTGACACCCCCTTCCGTGCAATAAAAAAACAATGAAGCCAGCTCGTCCCTCTGCTCTCCGCACCCGACTTCCCCCAATCTGCAGCACTGCGCTGGTGCAGCTGCGCCACTTCCCACAGTTCCACTGCGAGATAGCAACCTTTTTGCCAAGCCGCCCAGCCCTGGACTCCAAAGTCACGTCCGACTTATATGGCCAGGACTGGGCGGCCACGGTGCGCCGGTCATCCTTGAGCACCATGACGGTGAGGTGCTTCTCCTCCACCTGCGCCTCAAGGCCGGACCGAGATGTGAGCTAGATGAGCTGGGCATGCACGTGAAAACGGAAGGGGTGACACTGCGACACAACATTTCGAAGAGCTTGTGCGTTTGGAGAACCTGCCACTTGGAAATCAAAAGGCACGAGGAAGGTCAGTCCAGGAGATTCAGCCATCTCGGATTGCACAATGCCTAGGCAGCGCAGCGGTTGTTGCTTTTGCCAGACTCGGGGGGCATGGAGGCGAAAAGCCACCTTCAACCGTTCCGCTTTCGCAAGAGTCTCATCAGCTGCGCTGCAGTCTGCAGGATCTTGTTTTCGATGCAAAAAATCAAGAAGAGTTTCCGATTGATTGTAAAGCTTCCACAAAATGTTGTTGAACATGTTTACAAATGCTAAAACTGTGATGCGCCTTCCGCGCAACTTGCCAGCACGCTGGTGCTGGTTGCGGGAGTTCTCTTCTGCACTACTCACACAGGCGACGCGGGAAGCGTGCAAGAACTCAGCTTCGGCTATGAGTGCTCGCGGTCTGCGTGACGAATGATCTGTGAAAAAGTATGCTGATGCTCACACACGCTTTGCTCTGCAATGGCGGACCGCTAGGACCAGCGCGCAAAGACGACGCATGGGGTCATCTTCATGCCGCCTCTCGAAGCCTCGGTGCTCAGCTTGCAGCTGCGGTGAAGGGCAAGCCGAGCAGACCAGTGGAAAATCGGAACCAGCTAGTAACAGTCACGCTACCCTTAGACACCACGACCCTTAGCACCATCTTGGAACATGTGCTGCGCTCTGCCAGCTGCCTCACACAGCACTGCCGCAAGACTCTGAGCAGGGAGCTCTACGAGGTCTTCGACCGCGAAATGCACAGACCTCATGCACAGACTCGCAGAGCCTTCTTTCAAACGGAGCTTCGGGTCTCGGCCCCTGGCTCACTTGCGGAGAACTCGACGTTGACCACGAGCTCCACGTCCTTGCCCCTGCTCATGGAGGCCGAATCAGGAGTAGGATCCGCAAGAAGAGAAAAAACACACCGTGGCATGTGGCAGCCTCTGAACGAAGAGCGGAAATTCCTTGTGGCGCGCATCCAGTGCGACCTGCCCACGGCGCCCGGCATGCCTCGTTTTCGAAAGCACTGACACCCCCTTCCGTGCAATAAAAAACAAATGAAGCCAGCTCGTCCCTCTGCTCTCCCCACCCGACTTACCCCCAATCTGCAGCACTGCGCTGGTGCAGCTGCGCCACTTCCCACAGTTCCACTGCGAGATAGCAACCTTTTTGCCAAGCCGCCCAGCCCTGGACTCCAAAGTCACGTCCGACTTATATGGCCAGGACTGGGCGGCCACGGTGCGCCGGTCATCCTTGAGCACCATGACGGTGAGGTGCTTCTCCTCCACCTGCGCCTCAAGGCCGGACCGAGATGTGAGCTGCAACAGCGAAACCTGGCAAAGCCCTGGCCTCTGTGACCACGGCATAATCCATGCGATACTCGCCTTGCCCCATCACCACGATGTCAAAGGCCTCATAAAGGCCTGCAGGCTCCTCCTCCTCCTCCTCCGGGATTTTCCCATTCATGGCCTGCAGCAATCGCGTCACCTCCAAGGCCTCCGCCATGGCCTCCTCCATGGTCTTCGGCTGCGGACGCTCTGCAAGCAGCTGCGCCATGGCCTCCTCCTTCGTAAGTGCTTCTGGCCTCGCTGGCCGTTCCTCCCGACGCTGGCATTCTTGCTGCTCCTCCTGCAGCCGCTCTCGTGCGCCGCAGCAAACGCTGCCCATGACCACACAAGAGCGAGCGCTGCAACGGGTCTGCTTGAGCATGCGTCTGCGGTGCGGCATCTGACGTTGTCCTCCATGCAAGGCTCACATCTTCAGAGGCAAATCGGACATAGATATATATATATATATAGAGAGAGAGAGAGAGAGAGAGAGCGAGTCAACAGGAGTCAGACAAACTTGTCTACCAACGCCTTCTTTTTTCACGAGATTCGCGAGTTCAAGTCAAGCATCCACTCAGGAATTCTTCAGGCAACAGTTACACACTGAGGCATCTCCAAGTTTGTGCGGCAGTGAAGATTGAGGTGAAACTTAGAGTCCTCAACTCCCACACGAAAAGTCACCACTGCAATTGCAGCAGCTGGAGTTCGCCCTGCACAGCCGAGCAGTCTGAAATAAATCTCGTGTGATGTAAGGCTCGGGAGGACGAAGAAGATCAATGGTCACTGGTCGCTAGTAGAACTCTGCCGGCTGTGCTCCCGTAGTGCGCCACGGAGCTCTTTGGAACACAAAAAGTTTTCACAGAAGTGCTGATGACAGAAGATCTGAGAAACTGCACAATGCGAAACTGAGATTGACGGTCAGCACCACAGGCTTCTGAAAATCAAAGGGTGGGCAAGCCAGGCGCACGTAGACCGTGGCAGTGAGACAGTGCACGCTGTGCAATTCTGTTCAACGGCTACTGGACGTTCCATGGCTGGTTATTTCCTCCCGGTCCCGGCTCGAAATACCCTTGTTCTTTACTTGCATACGAATGCTTGACCTCCAGAAGGGCTGAGGTCCCTACCCGCCATGTTCTCTCTGAGTCATGCGATTCATCTAGGCCTTCGTCGCTTCCTCAAGCTTCGCCTGTTCCAGGCCGATTTCAGAGCTTCCTTGAGGTCTGACGTCACCCCTTTGCAGCTTCCATGGTCGTATGGGGCCCTTTCGACAAAAGCCAAAAGACTTTACGTCTTGCGTCGTGCCATGCCTTGTCAGCCTTCAGCTTTTCCACTTCTGTCCTCGGAGTCCAGGATGAAAGCACTGCTTGACTTGGGCACACACTGGGCACAGACGCATCGAGGGTCCTGAGTTTAGCCAGTTCAGCTTCGTCCACTGGCCGTCCAAACTCTCCACGGTCGTAGCGGTCTTGCTCCAGCAGCCACTGGCAGCATGGTACACGTGCAACCAGGAGCTGCACAGGTAACAGATGCACGGCCTTCATCATGAACTCACACGGATCATCCGGGCACTTGATCAGAAGAGCTGTCACCATGGCCTCGAAGTGAGCCACAACACCGTGACCGAAGAGCAGTGAGTGAAGTCAAAGCGGCTCTACTTTAGACACGACATACGCGGCCTCCATGATAGGGTTCATCTTTTCCTGCCCAGGTTCTCGGACAGGCCCAGCCATGGATGCGCCGGACGTCTCAAAGTAAAGCGGTCGGAACCGTTTCTCCTGCATGATTGTGGCCTGAGGGGGAATCCTCATCGCCTTAAAACTGTGCCCCAGCTCAGCTCACTCTGTGGGCTAGGTACGCCCGTGGCTGAGTCTGGTTGGGAGACCTGAAGCTCCCAGGCAGTGTCAACAGCTCTGCTTACACGGCGGTGGCACCTTGACTTTGCAGTAGAGCAAATGCATTACCTGTAAACAGCTCTGTGAATTTGGGCAGCTTGCTTACAGCAAGGCACATCGGCATGAGGCCACTCTTTGGCTGCACTTCGACCCCTGTACAAGGCAGCATGGCTCTCACTGCACGAGCTTTTTGGGCGACCTTTCCTGTGCGTCTGGGGCGTCCCTGCGGGATGCGCTTCGACGCTTCAAAATTCATGCGCCGCCTGAATTCAGCCAAACCTCGCCATCTCGGCGAGGCTTAGGGACAAGGGGGGTAGCTGTGGTTTTAATGTTGTCCGGAAGAGGTTACCAGGGACAAATACCAGGCTCGGAAAGACCCAGATTCCCGGATGTGCAAACCCATGACCGATACACTTCAGAATAGCGCTCAGCTGCGTCGCTCTCACTCGACCTGAGGCCAGGCCGCCGGATTCGTGGGGCGTGCAGCACCTGCCAGTGCTGAAGCTTCGATAGAACACATGTACGCATGCAGGATCATGCAGGCATACACACCTACACACGTTGATTTGTAGTGGTGTACAGCCAAACTACAGTCAAGCTGCCCGTTGCAGAGAGGTACCGCTACAGCATAGGAAGCAACAAAAGCTGCACGAGACATTACAACAACACAGATCCATACGCCATACGCGTGCATCCGCCTGGCTTCGTCCAGACCCCGGGTAGGGGTGGCAACCAAAAGGCAAGCAGCAGTTGGCTCGGTTGTTGACACCCCATACATGTCTTTGGCGTTGTTGTCGACCGTGGTGGGGGTGGGACAGTGGTAGAGAGAACAGGAAAAACTCGCGACAACGCGTGAAAGACCATCAGAATGTGTTTCAAACATCTTTGCTGGGATTTCTACTCACCCGCCTGTCCACTCACCGACTCACCAACTTAACCCACTTATCTGCTCACTCATGTACCCGCGGTTACCCTGAAGCTTGCGCCTTGCGCGTCTCGGCCGAGGGGTGAGGCCGCTACTTGCTATGCGATGAGAAAACAACGTTCGTGTTTCGAATCCAGAACGCAAAACTGCAGAGGCTGGCGCCCATAAATTCGAAAGGTACCATCCGGCCGGACCTAGCCAACAGGGAATAACTTGCATGGAAACGCCATGGGATGTCGCGACGTTGAGGGTCCCACACGGACGATCTGTTGGACAAGTCCTGAAGTGACATTGCCGAGATTTGTCCCAAAGGAGGCGACATGACATGTTCACGTGTGCCTTCTCCGCCTGCTTGAGCCATGCCTGGTTCGAACAATGGTAGAGGGCATCAGATCCTTGCATTGTGGGAGGCTCTGACAGCGTTCTTCGTCGGACGCATGGCTTTGCGCCTGGGCAGCCAAAAGCATCCCCCGCACTCCTCGGACTCCTCTTGATCCGAGCCCCGGACCAGGGTGACCCAGACGTGGCCGAGTTGGGACTTCTGCTTCTGACCTGTAGCAGAACAAGAGAGAAAGCTAAATCTTGTGAACCCAGGCAAGGCTGGATCCTCGGCACACATCGACCGCGCACGCTCTGCAGCGGATGGTACAGGCAGGCGAAGAAGCGCCTGGTTATGGCAAGAACGCATGGATAAGCTCCAAAACGATCTCACTGCTCTGCGCTTGCGAATGCAGGATCACCTTGCTTGGCACAGGTGCTGATGCCTCGCTGCCGGTAGCGCAGATATGTCACCGGAACATGAGATACATAGGGTTTCTTGCAAATGCAGCTAAGCGACCTTCGCGCTTGGCACTGCCAAGCGCTGCGGTGAGGGTGGCCGCACATCCTCACCGCATGACAGCTGCGCCGATGCAGTGTTTGCAGACACACACACACACACACATCCCTGCTTTTGAAGCCGGTTTCCTTGAATTCCTCCGTCCGCGCAGCGGGTGGCGCTTCGGGTGCCAAAGGCATCGCACATACCCATGGTTCTTTGCCCCGAGAATCCTCTGGCCTGTACCGGGGACTGCGCAGTTTTTACGGGCGCACATGAGACTCTGACTTGCAGCAAACTTTCGACCAGCCTGGTTTGTGCTTTCGGGCTGCGGCCTAAGCTTGTTGCTGCGACGAAAGCAGCTGCAGCTGCATTCAGAAGACTCGGGCTCGCAGGAGCCTGAGCTGCACGCACAGTCATGACTGCAGCATTATTGATTATTTCAATTGAACAACATCCTTTATGATTTTCGTGTGTTCAAGTGCGGGTGCCTGGTCTCTCCAATACGAGCGCCTGATCTGCGAGCCTTCCTTCAAGAACAACGGGTAATTCAGAGTCCAGACAGTCGAACTAGATATTTGCTCCACATGCCGCTCCTCAGGAATTTCCGCTTCCTCCTCTTCGTCGTCAACAGCAGCGGTGACTGGCACCTGTGTGGCTGTTCAGCTATCTTCTAGCGCTTCTGTGCGAGTCAGTGGCCTGTGCCTCTTCCGAGCTTGCCTCGTTTGCCGCGTATCACTCAGCTGTCCGTATGCACGTGACGCTAGACGGAGCCCACCTCTGAAGCACGTCGGCTCGGCATGCGAGCGGATGGCGACACCTGCCGTCCGAACACTGTGCCATGGTCTGTATGGTGTACGGTGTATGGCTACCGCAGGATTGCCCAGGGCCTCCGTCCGATGCGACTTGGTAGGGCTTGCCTTGGACATCTGGGTAATGAGAAACAGAAAACCACGATCCCAAAGCAGCACAACAGACTCTAAGCTTTGGACATATCCCGAACGAGTCCCTGGGGACACTTGCTGTGGAGACGTTGGCCGCGCACGAAGTGCCTGAAGTTCGTCAGAACCCTGAAGACCACGAAGCAAAGCAAAACCTCTCTCCCTGCACCTCGTTTTCCCTTCGAAGATGCAAGTTTTCTGCCATCAGCTCGTCGTGGGCTCTGAGGAGATCCGGGAGCTCGACCCTACGAAAAGCGCAGCTATGCGAACAACCATGAGGCACGACAACTTTTCGAGCACTCCCTCCTGCAGCCTGAACGAGCGCGGCAAAGAAATCTTTCCAACCTTTGTGTCGGCGCATCCAGAATGCCACGAGGGCTCTCTACTGGAATATACTGGAATCAGGGAGGAAAGACTACAAGCGGCAAGGGCGCGCACCCACCGGATTCAGAGCGGTCTGTCTGCAGTGGCTGCGTTCTCCCCAGAAGTGCTTCCAATCGCATACTGCCTGACAGCAGCTTCGGGTGAGAGAACTGCCTTGCACGTCATTCTGCGGCTTTCCGAGCTTGCGACTCCCATGCAAGCTGCCGCTGACAGACCGGATCGGTTCCTCCTGCAAAAGCAGAGCTGCTGACTTTCCCTTCTCGAAATCCTTGTTCAGCAACGGCCTTCTCACCGTCTTGATTGCCACTGCCTTCTGAGGCCTCTATGTCAATGCCAGACCGAACAATGGCAATCCCGAACCATGTCAAATGCTTCGTCTGCTCCGCGCGCCTGGACACAGGAAGCCCGTCTTTGAGGCCTCTCGACGGGAAACCAGCATCAAGGCTTCTCTTCCACCATTTCCAGAAAGGTTGGTTGGCTTGAGCCCCCGGCACCAGCTGTGACATAGACCTCACCAAGCCGCGGTCCTGCTTGCGTGCAGCATACACGGTGAGAGCGAGGTGCCCTCGCCGTTCCATTCGCACGACGACCATGCCTCGTACTGCGGAGGAACCTGCGGGCCACGCCCTTCGGTGATTTCCTGCATGTGACTTTAAAGACAACTTTCGGACAACGGGGGGTCTTCAGCGGTCCTGCCACACTGGAAGCAGCCTCGAATACAAGGAACGTGTCTGTCACAAATATTGTTGTGGCGAGGAAGACTGCCGGACCGACGCATCGTAGAATTCCTCCGCCAGAAACTCATGAGTCTGCTCCATTTCCATGTGCAAGGCCTGCAAGTTTACCGTTTGCTCCACTCCTGACTGTGCATGCTTTTTCCTGCTGCTACCACAACGACCACCACCCTCACCAGAACGACTACTGCGACTGCTACTGCTGCTGCTGCTGCCGACGACGACGACTACTACTACTTACCACTACTACCACCATTACTACTACTGTTGATGGAGGAAATCTTGCACCAGTTTAAGTGGCCAAGCCAAGCAGACACCCCACGCCCCTTTTTAACATTGACCGGTGATCCTCGGAAGTGCCGTGGGTTCCAATGACAAAAATCTTGCACCACCTCGGTATCCATCATCTTCAATGTTAAAAAGGGGGTCACCTGTTACTAGGCAGATGGTGCAAGATTTCCTCCATCAACCGTACTGCTACTACTACTACTACTACTACTACTACTACTACTACTACTACTACTACTACTACCACCCCGATTACCACCACGACCACCGCCACAAGCAGCATCATCGTACCGGCACCGGCACCAGGCCCCAGCACCAGCACCATCATCATATACTCTCCTTATTCAACATCACTACCACCACTATCGCCATCACCATCAATGTATATCATCATCATCGCCAGCATCATCACCATCATTCTATTCATCTTTTTGTTCAGCATCACCATCATCATCATCATCACTATCCTCATCATCATCATCACACTGGTCAGTAGCGGATCCACCAGAATTGTCATCATGGTCTTGTTCATAACCTCCATCATCATCATCGCCATCAGATCCGTCATATCCAACATCATCATCTTCTTCTTCCAAATCATCATCACAATGTTTATCATCACCATAATCATCAGTAGCATCATCATCACCATCATCGTCATAACCCTCCTCATCATCATCAACAACATCATCACCATCATCATCACCTTTATCATCACCTTGATCACCATGGCCATATGATCATCAAGATCGTTCTTCTTGTTTTCGACGGAAACTGCGGCTGCTGGTCTGGCCACATGACAGCCAACGATCCCCAAGACGATTGCCTTCTGTGGGAGACCACGAACACGGCGTCCAGTGTCTGAAACTGCCCACTTCAGCAAAGTCTCAATGCCTCGGCCACAAATTGCTTAGGTATAGCTTTGCGCGGCTGGTGGCAGAACATATACTTTATTTCGTCGTTTCTTCGGCAACGCATATCACGTCCCTCTGCATCTTTGGCAGGCGGTGGGCAGCAGTTGATCAGCCGTTGCTTTCACAAGCCAACAGCGCGTGTCCAGTCCGCGTCACTTTGTCGCAGACAAGCCACGCTGTGCTTAGACTTTGAAGCACCAGACAGTACGAGGATTCAACCCGTCTCCTCTTGGGATTTGACGACAGGTTGAAAGAATCCATCCCATTCACCACGGAAAGTGCTGTAACTTTTCTCCATCACGATCGCCAGCGGCAGCCTGATCAAAGGCGCTGCCCAAGCCGCACTCACTCGAGAATCTGAAGTAAAGACACTCCAAGAAGCCTCTTTGCTGGGCGCTGCTGGCTGATGATGGAGGCCTTGGCAGAAACAAAAACTCAGGCAGTCTGCTACGTAGACAACTACAACAGCAACGACCGTGAGAAGCAGTTTCCGTCATGTGAAGCCGCGAGAATGCTAAAACTGAGTCCAAATCCCGCGTAATTACCTCAGCAAGTATCGATGCTTCTCGGCACAAGCGCGATATGCCCTTGCGACACAGGTTCCGAAGTGTTGCTTCAAGCTAACTTGCATCAAGAGGCAGGCTTCTCATCTTTCAGCACAGCCGCGGCAAGCTCGTTCACGACCCGACGGCTTTCGGCATCAGCAAGCTCTGCAAATACCTGGAAGTCACTACCATGCTGCTGTGGCGGCCGGCTGTGGCGATAATATGTTCGTGAGTGCGATGCCGATCACTACGCTGGATTTTTCCCCCATGAACTATCTTACGTCACTCTCATGGACGTTCAAGCAGAGCTGAAGGACACAGTTGAACCTGAGCTCACGGCACAAAAGCCCAGCGACATGGTGTCCAGGTAGCTGTTGTCCTCTCCAGAACAACCGGCCAGCTATCACAATACGCCTCCCACCATAGTGCCACAGGAAATATGTTCTATTGCACGCTTGACTGCACTTCCCCGTTTGGAAACTGCACTACGTCCCTCCGACATAGCACAGGACACACATGTTCTTCAGACAGCTCGCAGAGCAGGGGGTTAATCAAGTTTCCGAACAAGCATACCTAGGTTTGAACCGGAAACTGAAGCGCATAGCCCCGCAGATTTGACGAAGGACTGTCCACAAGCAGTGTGCCAGAGGGGTGGCGATATGGTGTACTCTGGAAAGGAGGAGCCTTCCAGGTGTCGCTCTTTTCGAAAGCTGCGGGGCTGTTTTTACAGCATCAGGATAACATCTGGACGTGCTCCTACCCGACGGCCAAAAGTGCGTTTGTGCTAATGTCTTGGAGTACTTCCAAGAACGGGAACACAGCTCTGCGCGCCGCATACTCCGAGCTTTCTGAACCCCAAACCCAAGGCCATCCCAAGGCCCGTCAAAGCCCCCTTCGGACTGAGGGCGTGTCCTTAAGGTTGATGAAGATGTCCGAGTTGCCGTTCACGCCAATGCCATGTGCCACTGCGACCGTGCCAGGCGCATTGGAGATGAAAGTGCCAATTTGCGTCTCCTTGCATGGGCAACTCAGTCTGCTGCATGCTGTTGGTGTTAATAGCAAGACTAGCCTGCTTTCACCGAGTGGCGTTCTCTTCGATGTCTGGATATGGGTTATCTACCTCCCGTTCTTGAAAGTCTGGATAAGGGTTTCACAAGCAGATCAGAGGCACCGCCGGGCACAGGCGCCTCGGTCTCGCTTGGCAGCCAGAGGCCCCACCTCGGAGCCGGCACTCCCAGGCGACCGCGAGTCCGCACTTGTGGGGTTATGTTCCGAGGTGCTGGAGAACGAAATCCGAACGGTAGAAGTAGCATCCGTCGTAAAGGGACGCATTCACCAATTTACCTGGACATCTTGATTACCACAGCAGCGACGTCCTGAACTGTAAGCCCCGGACACACGTGCTCGACTGTGCGGGGTGCTGAGTCTGGACGAAGCAGAAGCGAGACGTCTCCCTTCTCCGTCCTGAACAAGCTTCTCACGAGTTGCACGATGCTGCAAAAGTGCGGGCGAGCGGCTCGAGCATCAAGTACTTTTTTGGAGCTCCCTTCTTCTGAGCCTGAAAGGTTCTCAGGGCTAGGACTGCTAGGTCCAAAGGACCAAGGTCACCTTGGCCTCCTGGTCGGCAGCTCTTCGTGCGGAGCGCCTCCGCAGCTGCTGTCCCAGCAGCAGTGTCCAAGACCAACGAGCAGCCTCGATAGGAGACCCGTTCACGAGAGTTCCAAGAACCCACCATACTTGCCGGCACTGAAATTCTGCAAGCGTCTCCCTTCTCCACGTAGCTCTGCTTATTCGTTGTCCACCCCAGTCCCAGCTCTCGCACAGGGCGGGTCTGCATCCACAAGCTAGCAAGTCCTGAACGCAAAGGAGCACAGTTGCACTGCCCATTACGAGGTACGACCTGGCCTGACTTTCTCTGAGGGCATGCGCAGCAGAACATCCTGACGGCAGGCAGTCAAAAGTGGCGGTGCCTTTCAGAACAAGATTCAGAGGAAGCACCGAACAAGAGCTGCCTGGAAAGACTCGGCGCCGAGTCAGCCGCGATGCCAACATTTTTCGTTTTGGCGCTGGGCTACCATGTTCGCAAGTCTTGACAGGAGAAACTGCCACATCATATGATCTCCTAGGGCCCGACCCCGAGTACATCCAGCGATTGGCTGCGAGCCATCATACTCTTTCTAACGCATGCTTTCGGAACATATTGGAAAGACCAGCAAAAGCAAAACCACTTCCCAGCGCTAAGGGACCCGCAGCCAGGTTCCTGCTCTTGCAACCTCAGTCACAAACCAGACTCAGCGACTTATCTTGTCTTGTACATAAGGGCAGAGGGAGAGCAACTTGTCGCTGGGCCTCCAGCTCTGTCTGTCGGTCACCGTACAAGGAAATATTCATAACCCGTTGCCACCGAATTAGCCGAGACAGACCTTGGCAGGCTTTGGCTTCAGGAGTGGCAACGGAGGCGTATTCCCAGTAGTGGCAAGTGCAAGCGGGGAAACTCAAATTTCAGCCCCGAGCATCCACGACGACCATGCTGGCGTTGTTCCCGAAACTCCCTGCGCAACAGTTCGCTTCACTTCGTCCACCTATGTCCACTCAGGGCACATCGCAGGAATGATTGTGGAAGCCTGTCCAGCTGCTCCAGGCGAACAGCCCGCTTCCGCCGTGCCCTGCGGCACCTTAACAGTTGACTCAAAACCACCCGCTTGGCCCTTGACAGTCAAACTCAGCCAATCATATGCGCCAGGCCGAATAAGGGCTTCTTGAATAGCTGCCGTGACATCACCAGGATGAACCCGTTTGCTGCTGTTCATGTACCGATGTAGCCTCCACATGCGTTTTGACAATCACGGCCGGAATCATCAATCGATCTATGGAGCTAAGGCTTCCGCGTGTCACACATCGCCACGAACATGTAATGCCGCTCCTCGCAGAAAAGCAGCACTAGCAACCAGCTCCAGCATGAACTGCTCCTCCTGAACAGAACGTGCTTCACCAGATTTCGAAAGGCATTCCTGCTTGCTGAGGGAGCTAGTGTCGATCCACAAGCCACGCTCATCTTCATCAAAAGCCGCCTGAAGCGAAAGCAATGACATTTTCGGAGCCATGGCCGATCCGTGCGCCTTCTGCTTGTGGATTTCCAGACCGAGCAGGCACTTCTGCAAGCGGGACCTGTTACGCAGGCGCCCCCGTTCGCTGTGTGACATCGACCTGTACCTCCCCCAAGGTTCCGACATCTTCTCGGGCCAGATGTCGGCCTTGAGGAGTAGATGCTTCAGAACCGTGTTCCTGCAAGCACACGGGTGTGCTCGCGCAGCGAAGCAGCAGAGTGCTCTGCCTGAAGAGAGACCAGAGTGCAAACCAGATGAAGGCCGCATGGGCCAACAACGGCCCCGCCCTTGGCGGCGAAGGAGCTCTTAGGGCCAAGGGCTGACTTGCTTTGCTGCTGGGACTGTCACTCAAACGTCACGTGTCGCTTTTGCGTATCATGAGGAGACCGATCAGGACTAAGAGCGTGCAAGGAGCTACCGATCCCTTCGCTTTAGAAGGGCACCCGAATAAGCAACCTAAACTTGACAGAAACTATGAATGCAGGCTCGACGTCCTCTGTCAGAGGCGCCTGAACGCCTGCACGTCTGGAAACGTAAAAGCAGGGACGTCGGAAGCTGAATGTATAGCATTGTAGACCCACTTCAGATCGGCTGGATGCAGAAGGTAGAGAAAGTCATCGACAAGGAAGGCTCGTCCCTGCATCTGCTTTGCCACGAGACATCCACCGACATCACCACCATGCCATGACCAACAGCCAGCTAAGTCCCTTTTACAGTCTGTCGAGCTCTCCAATAAACAGCTTGTCCGAGTTGAAGTGATGCAAAGGCCGCAGGGAGTTGATCCACTGTCTCACCCGACTGTTCTAGTCCAAGGCCTGCACCCTATGCAGGGCTATCGGAAGCTGAGTGCATCACAAGCTGGACAAGGGCAGTGTAGACCCGCTTCAAATCGGCTGACATCGTCAACAAGATGAGAGATCCATAGATGGCACAGAAAAGCATTGTCAAGGCTTGCAGGAGAAGGCTTCCTCCTTTCATGTTCTGTGCCAGCAGGAAAACATTCACCGATATGAGCAACATGGCTAGGAGCCAGCAAAATGCCTGAGAATGTCCTTTGAGCACAAATTCTCCCATCAACGCCTTGTCCGAGTTGAAGTGGAGTACCGGCACCAACGCAAAAGGCAGCTGCACAGACTGCAGGACATTGATCCACTGGTTCACCCGATTGTTCAAGTTTGGGGAGGAGCTTGTCAGCACCGCCACAGCCACAGCCGGGCCCAGCGAGATAAGCCGCGTGAGGAGAGTTCGTAGCCAGAATGGAATCCGCCAATCCAGAAAGCCTTCCATCACGTACTGGCCGGCGATGGTGCCGGTCATCGTGGAAGCCTGGCCTGCTGCTAAGAGGCCTAGGGCGAACATGCGCCGTCCCATCTCGCCGTGATCGCCGAAGAGGCGACGCAAGGAACTGCCGGCCTCGGCCAAGCCTATCTCCCCGCAAAAGCCTGCACTTCCGGCGCCCGTCGTGCAGCTGCAGTCGGTGCCTAAACAGCTGTGGCTGCCCGTTCTGGGCAGGCAGGCCAGCGGTCCGTTCTCGGCGAGCGCACAATCTCTGTTGAAAAAACCGGTAGCGAATGTCGACATGAGAGCCGCATTGATGAGGAAGGTGATGACAAGAGCAATGCTCGAGTCAACCTCGGCTTTGTCAAAGTCTGAGAATGGTACGAAGAAGAATGCCCATGACACTCATTTGGGACGTGCCTTGGGCTTGAGGTTCGATTCTGAGAAACAACCCGCCTTCCTACGGCTTGACCAGGAACTGCTGTGTACTTGTTGGCTTGCCGGACATGCTCCGCATCCTCCCGGTTGGCAGTGCCTGCACATAAGGCAGACCATCATGACCCCAAGGATACAGGCAGAAAGAACAAGCTAACAAGCAAAGGATTGGCGGGCATGTGCTGCAAGATCTCTGAGTCTGAGACGCTGCTTGCAAATGCCGCTGTGCAGGTATAAGTTGTGCGGCATGATCATGGCACCCACACTCCCCACAAGCTGCAGTACGGCATAGTCTTCGCAGTGGAAATTGAATCCATGCAGTAACTGCTCAGCAGAAGGAGGTATCAAGAACAAGTTCGCCAAGTAGCAGATGAGCAGCCTAAGGTGAACCCAACATCAAAGAGACCTACCAGGCAACGAAGACGCTCTGTGCTTGCCCGAGCGCAGAGAGATGAGGATCAAGATAAAGATCTCAAGGAAGCGCTTCCCCAGCTGGTGGATTAGAAGGAAGGTGAAAGTGTCCACACCGGTAGCCAAAGAGCCGACCTCCACTACTCAGCCGTTGCGCTGTTCGATAGCCCATGGCATTCTCCTGTGCTTCCGAGCAGCCCATAGCGGCCATCCAAAAAGCACCCTCGGGTTCCGAAATAGCGGTGGCACTGCTGGACAATTCAGGGTCAAGAAAACAAACAGAACGAGTTGCTGCATGCACTCCAGAACACCGCAGAGCAATTCCTGTGCCAACCACCTCCTGTATGTCGGCACCGATAATAGCCAGCTCCTTGAGAGCATCTGCAAACAGCAAACTATACCTTTCGGCTGTGTTAACCAGCAGGAGCTGTGGTGTTTCGAGTCTCGCCGAAGGTATCGTAATATATCATAATGAAGAGTGATACTTCCGCACTCGCCTTCGTATGACAAATATGGGATCCTGTGCGAAGCATGCGAAATAAACTCTGTGTCAGTATGGCTTGGATTCTGGATACAGGGGGGCGGGGGTGGCTGTTGGGGCAAGACTTGGGCGTGATAAGTTGCAGGACTTTTTCTATGTCCGTCCATTGCGCTTTGCAAGCGGTTTTGTCTGTCGCTGCGCCTCGGATCTAGCTTCCTTCTTTCGTGAGCACGCTGCTGTATGCTGTTCCTCCTTGCTCTATACTGTGACTGTGGGCTCCAGAACGAATCCAAATTGAGAGTCCCCGGAGCCTTCTCGACTTTAGAGAAGGCCGCTACGATCTTGTCAGAGTTCTGCATACAAACCACCTGTTTCTTGGGCCGAGTAGCAGTCATGATCCACAGCAGCCTCGACAGCTGCCGCGGGTATTCCAGACGGCAGGTCTGCGCAAGGTCGCATCCTCCAAGGCTCGCAGCTCGCAACTGCCAGCACTAGTACACAGTCGTCTACTGGGAGTTGAGAGGATGTACTCTCTTCGAAGGACCGGAGGTAGCCTTGCGGACCAACCTCGCGAACTTGGAATTCAGCTGCGATACACATCTTGACAATGACGCCAGATTTATGCACACACCCCTGCACATGCTCGAGCACACTCGTCACTTCCACACTTTACGCACTCGCCGACTAATTCCAACTGTTGTTTCCCGCCCTATGCTGTGAAAAACATCCATGCGAGGCTATCAACAAGTTGAAACGCTGGCAACAAATCCACTCGTCAAATAGAAATGCCGGTAGAGCTCTTTTCCGTCTCTGTACGGTTTGACGCTGCTGTCACGTTGGGCAAGCCGACCTGTCACCACAGCCAGTCGCGCGGCCAGAACCTGCAGGATGAGGCCGGCCACGGTACCTCAGGAACGAGGGCTTCAGGGACCGAGGAAAAGGGCCTAGGGATTGAGGAAAGAGGTAAAAGGGTCTGGGTGCAGGGTGCGGGAGGGAAGATACGGGCGCAAGGCCGAGACAGTTGGGACGTGAGCGGCGAATCAAAAGACGAGCCGCAGAGCAGCAAGACCTCCGTGACTGCGGCAGCTTCACGAGATCCAGCCGTACATGTCTGCAGACTACGCGACTTGGAAGTCTTAGGCACCAGCCCAGAGGAGGCTGTGGCCGGTGTAGGCACCGCTTTGCAGGTCGCTCTCCAGGTTACCAGGATCCAAGTAGGCTAAGCTCATCAACCATCCTACACAGATTGGCCGCTCGTGACCATGCCAGGAGTTGCATGACTATCATTACTGTTTTTTTTACCATTGTTACTATGATTACTTTTATTTGTATCTTTACTATTACTCGTTTTATTACTATTATTGCTATCTTTACGATTACTAGTTTTACTATGACTATGACTGTTATTACTCAGGTCAGTGAGACAGGCCCGAGACGGAATCCACAAGCTTGCAAGGGCAGCAAGGCAGAAAGCGGCAGGTCCTGGTCCAACGTAGGCTGCAAAAGTTCTCCTTGGAGGGAGACTTTGCCGGTCACCACCCCCTCCTATCTCCACATAGCGGCCCAAAACATGATTAGGCTGTACCCGAATACCACCGAACGAACGCCGGCCAAGCTGGGCTCAATTCGCAGTTCGGAAAAGCGGTGACATGCACCACGCTGGCCATCAAACTCGCAGGCATTTTTCTCTTGGGGAATCGACTCCACAAGTCGTTTCTCGGGAATGGACTCATTCTCTGTAGGCTTCAGGGCTTGTAGTCGTTTGCTCGTTCCATGATAATTTCGTGCAGAGTTAGGGCATCACTGGTGCAAACTTGTTTAGTGATTGAATTATGAATTCCACATGGTGAGGTATTTGAGGACACACCAGGCTGCTCTTGGGTGGTGTGCAGATGCCCAAGATGGGTAAACCCCGTTCGAGGTGACTTACATCTCCTCCTGTCACGCTTGAACCACCCCTGCATTGCGCCATGTGGTCCAGGTGCGGCCGTGTCACCAGGAAAAGCGCACTCCAGCCGGGTCTTTGGGCATGAGCTCAGGCTCCGGGGCATCTGAACGCTTGTCGACGAAGAGCTCATCATCCGAGGAGTAGGAAGAGCTGGAGTCCATGGCACAGAGGGGCAAAGCTCCACGGGACATCTTTTCAAGATGCCTACTGGGGCCAGCCCGGCGCACAAGTATGAGGAGACCTCCAAGTGACCCAAGGGCTTCTGGAGTCGCGAGCTAGTTGACGGTAGTGGGCAGCATCAAAACCTTCTGCTCCATCCCGAGTCCTAGGACCCGGATTTGCCACCTAGATGTGCGCCTCTGGGTGCGTTCACAATGCTTCGAATCACTCTTCGTGCTTGCGGACACTACGGTGCTCCTGACTTGAACCATCTTTTCCCTGGGCAGACAGCTACACACTCCGTCAGTTCCATACACGTCGTGCCAAGTTCTGGTTCTCAACTCGGACCCGCCAGTTACCCCGCGGCATGCACCGAGCTGCCGGCACCAGGACGATGTCCATGGTCCAATGATTCACGAAGTCCTCAGGGCGCCCCAAAGCCGGAGCTGTCAGGACTCAGGCCGGGTTGAACACGCGCCAGTCCTCGAAGAATTCGCCTGAGAGCTCCTGCGATCTCTGCTGTACAACATTAACATCTTTAGTTGAGGCACATGCGTGCGGGTGAGTGCCTGACTACACAAGTACTCATAGCAGCCCAGACAACAAACCTCACGACCAATGGATCGGCCAATATGTGTCGTTCTTTGGACTCAATACCAACAACAAGCCAGGGCTATACACTAATTGGGTTTAGCAGACTAGCCATGCTGCAGCTCTTGCGGTTTACGGATAAAAACTTGATTAGTTCTGTGAAACGTTCAATCGAGCTGTGGACGACACCATACACGCAAGTGTGCTTTAACTTGGTTCTAGCCATGTTATGCTCCTGTCGCGTGGTCACGGTTTTAAAACAATGCGCCCTTGGCCTGGTACCGTTCCTCGTATGCTGAGACACCAGCGAACGATGGCGCCGAACGTACATGAACAAACTTTTCATATCTGCGTAACGACAACATTGCTGATAAAGGCTGACTAATCTTTCAATAACCTCACCGAAATCTGATAAAGAGGCCTTTGCATGCCTTGAGAGCTCGCGAAACTGTGCAAGAAGAAGAGCTCAGCTCTAAGATCGCATCCGTGCCGAAGAGCATTGGGATTGGTCCCTTTTCTGGACAGCGTCAGTCTGTTCTAGGCAACATCAGTCTTGAACCAATCTATACGTATGCATGACGTCACCATCTTCTTTTTGCATCTCATGCGCTTGCTCTTCCTTTAGTTCAGGTTCTGTTCCGTAGCGTTTTGCATCATTGCGGCCTGAGCTACATATTTCTCAGCTCCTCCTGCTTGCTTCTGTGACTCTGCCGACAAAATAAAGCCGTTGTCGATTGGAGGAATACTGACGATCAATATTCGTGTTAAGCAGCATTGTTTTTTGCACTGTCGTCGTCCTTAGCGGTCTTCGTCTCTTGAGACGTGGTATGATATAAGTCTTGACCTGACAGTGTTGAGGCTCAAACTGTCAGCCCCCTCAACCTCGAGGGCACAAACACCAATTCGGAGCCAACCATAACCACACGCCCGCGGGCATCCCTGAGAATCCGGAATCTGCAACGCCGCAGCAACGCGTTAGCTTGCCTGCCGGATGTCGAAGATGAGGCGTGCAGACACCGTCACGGTCAGCGCCTTGGCGCTAGGGCCGCTAGGGCTCGGCCCTGAGCGTCTCCTTTGGAGAGCCCTGGGAGCCCCTCTCCCCTCTGTTTGGGGCCCCACCAGCAGGTTCAAGGCCTCGAGCCGATCAAGGCCTCGAAAGCTTCAGACGAAGGCTGCGAGAGAAACTCACGCTTTTGAGGAACGGGCAGAGGTAGCTGCGGTTGTCAAAGGGGCCGGAATACACGTGTAGCAAGATAAAGCCAAAGGAGGTGAAGAGCATGAGAACCTGCCACACCAAAGTCCACATCCAACGTGCTCAGAGGTTGAAAGATCCAGCTGAGGCACCATTCGCACGTACATTGTCGGAGCAGTGAAAAAGAGAAGGATCATCACCTTCCTGAACATGTAAACCTTGGAACGAATGGTAGTCGCATCGGAACGACTTCGACCAGCCACCTGCCCTGAGATGCCCCGAGTGTCCCGCTGATTCGAAGTAATAGTATCTCAGCCTGGACGAAGATGAGCTTCTGAGCTCTCACGGAGGCTTTCTTGCACATCGAGCGTGCGACTCAAAGCCATTGTACAAGAAGCCGAATCTCTTTCGAACTTCCTCTCGGCAGCCGGGCATGCGCTGGTAGGAAGAGGCAGGCTTCATGACGCAGCTGCAACCCGCAACTCATCCGGTCCGCATGGAAGAGGCGCTTCCGAACTCTGAAGAGAGCTATGAAGAGTGCAACCTGACAACAAAACATACAGAGAACCTCCAATCAGTGCAGCTGTAGGCTCTCTTGGCTGTCGACCGGCACGCCCATTCCATAGACAACAAGACCCACGGTGCTTAAGCAAAGCCACTGCCTTGGAAGTTTCACCCTGCTTCCGCACTCGCACATGAGACCGGTCTGGGCAGCAGGCATGTGGGTGGTGGATTTGCATTCTACTCCGAGGTCATGCCTGTTGGCAGACCGTGTTGCCATCACACCAACCACAACAATCTGGCAAATGCGGGAGCATTATTGAAAACGCTGCTACAGAGGAGTGTCAACTCGATCCCGTGCTGTGGGCTGCTCAGCAACCGGCCTGTGGCGAAGGACGTCGAGCTCCTCGCATTCGAAGCCGACCACTAGGATCCTAGCCGCCGTGCGCACAGGGAGGCATGCTAAGCTCAGGTTGGGTCTTAGATTGATAAGGCGACGGCCTCACCACCACTGGATGGAGAATGAAGCTCATAACGATCACCGAGTTGATGAAGCGCATGGCCACAGAGTTGACCAAAATCTGGCATGTTCAGCACATCACATGGGAGTTTCCGAGAATAGGGGACCCTGATTTTGTACCCTAAATAGTAGGGTCCTCATTATAAGGACCCCAAAATAAGGTACCAGTGGTTTCGGCGAGCAAACTTGCAGCTACCAGCCTTGGTTGCAGCGTCCCGGGGCCGATCCACGACAGAGTCCTGGCCAAGCCACAGGAAGCAAAACTGTAACCACAAGGATTCAGGATGCAGTAGCGTCAGATAGCACAAACTATGAATATGTGAACATACATACATATATATATATATATATATATATATATATATGTATATGAATATGAATATGAATATGTGTGTATATACATATATATATATATATATATGAACATGAGTATATATGTATATAACTAACAGTCAAAAAGAAGGCAGGGACTTTTTTCACCGCGGGCTACCGACTCGCAGGATGCCCTGAATCTCTCGGAGCTGCTGCACAAGCAGGGCAATGACCACCACGAGAATGCCTTCAGAGCGGGTCAGGAAAGAGATCATGCGATTAGTGCTATTAGTATTAGTAATACTATTCGTATTGTCAGTGTTGTGAGTACGATTAGTATGATCAGCACGATAAATATTAGGGTTGCAGAGGGTTTCTTTCTGGGTTTAGGGCTCACGGCATGGGGGAATAGAGGGGTTTTGAGGAAGAGCTCCAGGTCGACTGCTCAAGGTGTCCGAGAGCCGGGCAAACTCCCAGACTCCAGAGACCCCACGGAGTTCTATGTAGCTTGGCCGCAGCCGCAGCCTTGCCATGGTGTCAACCCCCACATCTGCAGCAAGCTGAAGGGCCATGCTTATGGTGGCAGCAGTAGCAGTAGCAGTAGCAGGAGTAGGAGCAAGCAGTAGCAGCAGTAGGAGTAGGAGCAGGAGAAGGAGGAGGAGGAGGACCAGTAGGAGTAGCAGGAGTAGCATGGAGTAGCAGTGGCAGTGGCAGTTGCAGCACTACTAGTAGTGCTAGTAGTGCTTGTAGTGCTAGTAGTACTAGCTAGCAGTACTAGTAGTACAAGCAGTACTAGAAGTACTAGAAGTACTAGAAGTACTAGTACAGTACCAGTAGTACGAGTAGTTAGTACTAGTAGTACTAGTACTACAACAGTACTTCTAGCACTCGTAGTACAGTACTCGTAGTACTAGAAGTAGGAGAAGTACCAGAAGCAGAAGAAGTAGAAGTAGAAGAAGTAGAAGAAGTAGAAGAAGAAGTAAAAGAAGTAGAGGTGAAAGTAGACGATGGTGGTGGCATAGCCCAACCTGGATCGAAGCTCGAAGCATCGGGCTCCCTGACTTCATGCTCTCCTGCGCCTTCTTCGGGCTCTCCTTCAAGCAAAGAGGAGTTCAAACACCCTCTCTCTTCTTGAGGATCACCACAACGACATGGCTTCGGTCTGCAGTCGAGCAGCGTACAGGAGAACCTTGGGTCTCAGCTCGAAACCTGGACAGGTTCGAGGCGTTCACACGCGTGGCGCATCTGCGTGCCATGCAGCCAGGCAGCGCGCACATTCGTGAGCGATGGCCACCCAACCGAAGAACTCTTTGCGAACGCCCCGAGCAACGCCTGACAGCAATCTAACCGGCCAGAAGTTCGCGGACTTGTAGCATTGAGGCTGAGAAACTCATCGCACACATGGGCTCTGCTACGACTTCAAGAGGATGTTGATCGAATCTTTACAAGGAGCAGTTCCTCGTGTGCGCTACAGGCCTACATCTGTGGACGACAGGACAGGGCGGTCTACGTCTTGTGGACGACAGGACGTAAGCCGGCAGAGCACAATCCATCCATGCCTGGCAAGTCGTTGAAAAAGAGCCAGCAGTTGTCATCCTGCCACACGTTAGGATCATGCCTCACGACCCGTCGTGCTAATTGCGGGCCAGGGGCAGACTGCCGCCGGCAGAAAACTACCTTTGTTGTTCTTGCACAGGTCAACTTAACCAAGTCATCCGCTTGATGAATGCACTGTTTGGGCTGGACTCGTACTGGTAGCAGGCCAGCCACATAATGCTGAAATGCTTCGATGTAGCAGATCATAGCAACCAAGTTGTGGCTGTCTCCTAGGTCCGCCATGTGCTCTCCGCGTGCTTTGCCACCTGTCGACACTGCGCACTGATGGCTGCCAGACAGGTGAAGTCCTATCCTCTGGACCACAATGTCACTTAGCAGTTCTGGCAGACCGCAACAATGCACAGGTCCACTCGCGCACGGTTGCTTGACTGAAGGCTCCATAATTTAAGTGACTCATGGAAGACGTCGAGAACCCTAGAATGCTGAACCTAAGCACAGCCACAAAGCTTGACTTCAGCACCAGAAAAGAAAGGGGTGCCAAAGAAAAAGGTCAAGGTGCGTGGCACCATGGCGAGGACGAGATTGAGAATGGAGCCGCTGGACATCGAGGGCAGCACCAGATCCAGTGCCAGCAAAGGTGCATCCTGGACACCTCGAGAGACCGTTTCGGGTTTAAGATGTTTTTGGAGTGTGTGGCAGGTGTTTCGACCGATCCCTAATGTCGCCAAGCAGCCCATGTCTACGACATCTCTCCAGAGTTCAACCGCTGTGAAGGCTTCGCCACTAAAAGTCACGGGTACGGATGCAATGAGCTCAGCCAAGGGTTTCAAGCACGGGTCCTTCAAGGATAAGGAATCCGGAATCCCAGGTTTCTAGTCAGATTCTCACATGCACTTGCAATGCACAGTGTGCAGTCAGCGTCGAGGAACCTCCTGCAGTTTCGCGAAGGCCTCGCAGCAACTTCGAGGCCCTCTTCTCCTGTCCTCGGAAACCGCAACAGCCCCACCTCCGCGCAGTCGCCATAGCCACTGCCCCAGGCATCAACCAGGAATCGGATTGGGACTGGTCGGCCGCTCGCCGCCCTTTGCTCGTACAACTCCCAGGTCTCCCGAAGAGCGTCAGAAACAGCTCCACCACCCTGACATGCTGGCACGTTTCAGCGCTCGAAACTGTCGGAAACCGCCGCTCTCGAGGATGAAAAGCTACAAATCGCGGCAGTTCCCAAAAGCCGCTGTGTTGAATCGGGGTATCTTCGATAATCGTTGGTATGGAATCGTGGTTGCCGTGGCGTGGTGCTGGGCCTAGTTCCAGCAGCATGTTCGATTGCGAAACTGGGGAGCTGCTTTGAATCTTGACCTTGAGGTGGGCTTCAGCACACTGTTCGCAGATGCCCCCCTTATTATGATAGGCTTCCTAAGGATTGATGGCCAAACTTGGACTCCCTTTAGGGAACATCTAGTAACGCTCGGACCCAAACTGGTTATATCAGCTTGGATCGACACACATTCAACACCTACGTGTACCCCAGTTACCCCTTCCCACTTGTGCCTGTGATGGCAAAGGACGCACTAGGCTGTCGAACAGGGCATGGAAGACGCGGGAATGCCATAAGCTTTGGAAGAAGGTCGACAGCCAGCAGCTGTCTTTCTCCGGATTCTGGAAGTCCTCAGATCTTCACCATCTTTCTGTGCATGCATTGAAGAGACGAACAGCTGATACGCGTAATACTTGCTGCAAAATCGCCGAGTGCTTGTACGAGGAGGATCGGCACAACTCAACTGACAAGTCCTGGCATCCACAAAGAGTTCATCCAACGCATGAGCAAAGCGCAGAAACGGGGGCTGGACAGACTCCTCCACGGCTCTCTGGATTGCTGCCAACTCCTCTGGGCCCTCGGCTGCAAGAAGTTTCTCCTGCGGGCAGGCAAGAAGAAGCATCCCCAAAGAGGGCGAGGCCCTGGGAGAAGACAAGAGTCGGGTGGTTTCCTGCTCGATGCCATAGAGCTCCAGCTTGGCCATGGTTTTTTGCACGCCCTGGGCGGCGCGGACCAGCTCCGCAGAAGCGGGGGGCGCCTCGGAGAGCGAGCGACGGCGCTCACCGAGCTCCGACATCAGTTCCGAGAGGTCCCCGGAGCTCTTCGTGCTGATCTCCGGCTGCAGCATCGGAGTCACGTGGCCAACATGACCGATGGGGACCAACACTTGACGGTCCCCGAACTTTTTGTAGCTCCAGCCCTTGACGCCGTTTTCGGTACGGATATGGAGCCAATCTTCCTGCTGGCCGAGCACGCTGAAGGGCTGCCCTGCCTGTAGCACACAGAGCACATAAGAATCGAGCTCTGGGCTTGCACGAACGTTCCAGGAGTCGACCGCGTCCGTGTATTCCAGCTCTGGCAGCAACTGCCACTGTTCATCATTCCCATCACCAGGAATCTCGAGCGCCATGCAGCAGCGCAAACACTACAATCCTACAAATGCCAACTACTTCCAAGGCTTGGCCGAAATATGCGCTTGAACCGATTGCTACTTGTATCTATCTTGGACACCTCATGCTCTTCTGCTTGAAGGTAGCTCAACATTAGTGAGCGCTTGCTTGAATGTGAGTGACTTGCAGTCTCGATAGAGAAAAGCTCTTCATGGTGGCAAGAAGGCAAGAATGACCAGATTCTCAAGAATCGAGATTGCATCCTCCGTTCGGCAGTGCCGCCAAGGGGAGGCTGGAGAAGCCGTACCATAGGCAGACCTGCAGCCGGTGCCCGGTGACCGCGACACAAGCATAGGTGGCATGAATGTGTAAGTTACCTTGCAACACCACGGCTTCTCAAACTCCAAGGCCCCGGCATCGGCGTGAGTGGATAGTCCTCGCCTGCAGGAAAGCTAGACAGAAACCGAAAGGACATGTCCGAGCCCCGAAAAGCCGCACGCATCTTTTTCCAGGCGAGAACAGCCGACTCCAGAGCTTCTTCGTCCACCGGCGAATACCAAGTCGGGAACTTCTGGGAACCCTGGCCGTCTCGTGGATGCAGCCCTCAGCCGGCTCTGTCGAAAACACTCAATCAATGCCCGGGCATCAGCCGAGCAGCGATAGTTCCAGAAGAGCTCCTCTCCTTGCTAAGGACGTTGAACGCTTCCATCGCACTACACACATCCACACACAAACACACACACTACACTGACTACGCAGTTTCATTGGTTGAGGCAAGGCTCCCGGGCGAACCTCTAGCACAGTGATGAAGGCCATGCCCATGTAGGGCCAAGCGGGGAACTTCACAGCAGCCTGGGCTCCCACCAGGCTGTGCTGGATACTCGATGCATGCTTATCACGCTGTTCCCCGATTACAAGAAAATCAAAAGCCCTGGGCTTCGTCGCCTCGTCATCTTTTCGTCCGCTGGCTGTTTGCACGACTTGCCCGTGCCGCATGAAGACATGAGGAAGAAGCCGTGCCCAAAGAGCGGGGCTCTCCTCACCTTCGCAACAGCCAGTCTCGACACGGACACTCCAACCAGCGTGCCAGGGCCCGAACCCAGCTCTGACCATGTCGGCCATCGAAATGCCATCGGCATGCAGTTCGGAAGGATGCCCGCAGGTGGATGGTTCAGAAGATTCCCAACCTCAACTGCTTATGTGTTGCGGATATCCTCATCCTGGTCACTTTGAAGCTTCGACGGCAGCTTCAGCATCACGTGCTCTTCAGGCTCCTGCAGCCAGCCGGTTGCCATGCCAAATGGCTCGAGGCCTGGCACTCACGCCGACAAGCGAGTCAAGCGAGTCGAGTGCTTCAGGGAAAAATTCAAACGCCTTCGAAGCAGATTCCGAGCAACACGAATGATGCAAGCCAGCGGCTCACCTTGAAGTAGATGATGGTCACGCCAATGTGCAGGCAACCAGCCCTTGCCGTCCAGATACACTCCATTGTACCTTGTGCAACGAATCGCCTATCCTCAACACAAGCCCCTCTTGAAATGCTTGCTTTAACACAGAAGAGCCGAGCGGCTCATTTGCAAACAGCTTGTCGCTCTTCGGAAGATTGGGCTCAGACGCATCCATCACGGTTCCCGGGTAGAAGCCTCTGTTCGCAACCATGGGCGGGAGCCCATTTCCCAGCTCTACACCGCTTTCTGAAACCTAGCAACCCAGCAATTGACCAGGAAGCGTGTGCCGCAGAGTCCGGATGCCAAGCCTCAGCAGACAGAGACTTGATCGATCCCATCTAGTTCGGATACTTCTTTGTCCTCTGGCTTCTGTCCCCAACATTATTGAAGATGTATTTCTCCGGGACTTCCCACGAACTATTATGTCGGACGGGGCATCATCATGCATCATCCAGGCCAGACTTCTCCAAGATATCTTCGATGTTTTGGGCTCTGGGGGAATCCTCGTGAAGCAGTCCCGCTCATTGCTTCGTTTCTTCCGTGGCGGGGAAACTGAGAGGCCAACCGCTGCAACAGCGAACTGTTAAGCCGGTGTCCCTCAAATGCTGTATCCGATATTTCTGGACCTCTGCTACAAGGATTACACGGATATGAGGCAGTGCTGCCACGGAGCGCTGCCCCAGGCGACCCAAAGAGCTCCAGATCCGACTCTCCAATCTGGTCAGCTCAGGAGCTCAGTATACCGTGTGAGCACAGGGAAGCTGCACTGCAAGCGCCATCGCCTTCCCAGCTCTCATCCTTGACTTGCAGGATCATCAAAGGTTCAACCCCGCACAAGAGCGAGCCAAGTCAGCTCCAAAGAAAAGCATTACGCAGAAGTCCCAGTGTCTCGGCACACAGCTTTGCCAAAGCAAAGGCTGCCATGTCTGAAACTCTGGAGAAGAGCGCAGCCGCCTGAACCAGATATCACGAAAGCCGCAGGACGCAGGATCGGAACTGACATCGGCTCCTCCGCTGAAGAGATGCCTATGACATGCTGCAATAGCTTGACGTCCTCGCCAGGTCTGTCGCAAGGACCCGGCAAGCAAATAGGAAGGATGCACCGGCCGACATCGATTGAGATGCACGAACCCACATTATGAAGCTGAGCCAGCAGCACGTAGCAGGTGAGGTCGGAGAGGTGCCAATGAAACCATTGGGGGCTGTTCTGGTGGCCTGCTGTGATTGTCCTTATGTTTTGATCGTTCCTGGGTGTTATCTTCCGGGCAAAAGGAGCGCTTACTACTTGCAGAGCAGGTGGGTTCAGAAACGACTACACGGTGCCCACTGTTAGCTTTTGGATGCCATGTTGGCTTGGGCAACAAAGGCTGCAAAGGCAGAAAGCGGCGCGTCACCATCAAGTGCGAGTGTCCTCACCACAGCATCTGCTCTCTGCAAGCTGGCCTCTAAGAGAATTTGGCGAGGTCGGTGACGTGGGCGTGCGAGCATCCTGCCACGGGGCAGCTGCATCCTGCCTGTCACACACTAACCCTTACATGTCATCCAGTTGTTCGCTCATTCATTGAACTACTTATCTGTCTGTCTATCATTGTCTATCTATCCATCTCTATCTATCTATCTATCCATCAGCTATCTACCCTAGATATCTGTTCGTATCATACTTCAACTGCGTACTCATACATACGTACATACGTACATACATGCATGCAAACATAGATACATTACACGACAAAGTGACCGACCGAACCACGATAGCGGCATAAGTAGGTCGGGTCCCGACGCGTTGGCGATGCGCCCGAGGACGGAGAGAGCCTCCGGTGGAAAGAAAGAAGTAGCCAGGAAATCACAAGGACCTGCGTTCTGTCCTGTCTTTGCTGTCTGAGCACATCCTGCATTTCTGTTTACTGCTTCAGCCGAAACAAGTAGCTCCCGCGATTTCCTCCCGATGTCCCTGCCGCATGCGTTGCTCTCCATCGGGCTCCGGGCGGGACAGAGATTCGACAGCTGGGCTCGCCACCCTCCTCCTGTCAAACACTACTGGCAGACCAGGAGTGCGTTGAAGACCTTCACTTCACCGCCTCATGTGCAGCTTCCTGGATGACCCCAAGCCTCAGCAATGAACGCTGCAGTCGAAGCCAAATCAAATCAGCACCCAAACAGCCCGTCCGTCAGCAGGACACAAGTCGAAGCGTCGAAAATCGTCGAAATATGGGTGCACTAAAAATCTTCCGGGGCATCTGCTCCGCCTCACGCATTTGCCTCCTCGCCTCAGCAATGATGGCCATTTGGACATATGAGTCTCGTGCATGAACTACCTGAGGAACCTTGAGCACCCAGCTTTGTAGCGTGCCTTAGGTGTTCAGGGCTGATTTTGAAAGCAGCTGCTCCCGCAGAGGCAAGACGTCTTAATTTCGGGTCGAGCGGCTCGCTGTCGCCGGAGCCATGGCATAAGTCGTTGGCCAATGCAGTCCTGCTAGTTCCCCACTTCAGTCGAGTACTGGATGTCCGATGTATGCCTTCCGGATAAACGCGAAGATCGTCATGATGAAGAAGGCTGCCGGCATCAAGAATAAGCCTTGGGTGGCGGTGGCATCCAGGAATCGGCGCAGATCGGCACTGACCTGGGGGTCGGGCCCACTAGGATTTCGACCTGCGCTATCCAGCCAGGCAGAGCTTCGAAACTGCGATCCGAGCGAGCCTGATAAGGTCGCACGTCGCTCTCCTCTGGCAGTATGCAATCCAGGCCTTGGGACGCGTGAGCTCTGCAAGCTTTGCAAAGAAGTCTCCAGGCTTAGCCACGGACTCATCAAGGTGGTCAGCGGATACTGCAGCCTTTCGGGCCTGAATCTTGCGCGCGGGGCCGACGCACGAAAGATCACGAAAGGGTCCTTCTGATTCCACGATACATGCAGCAATTCGCTCTGAGCATGGCACAAAGCCACAACTGGGAAGATCCAGCTGGCAGAGGCTTCCCCACAGACCGCCGACACCATTCCCTGAAAGGGTCGTCGGGAAGCACTTGCAGCAAGGCGCGCTCTGCGCGGAGCTGCGGAGCTCCGAACTTGGGGATCAGACTTTGAAGTTCGTGGCCTCAAAGGCGGTGCCGGCCTAAGAGTCGGAAAGCCTCTCTTGGTGAGTATGCTGGTGATCGCTTAGGGCACGTGCAAACTGCATGTAGTTCACACCTGAGCCGAAGAGCGAAGCAGAGCTCCTCTAGGATGCTCTGAGATGCTCTGAGCTCCATGGCCAATCTTCAGGATCACCGAAGGCAAAGCTCTCATCGACTGTGATGCGGACTTCGTTCCCTTCACAATCAACCAGATGTACAGCACCTGAGCAAACTCAACTTTATTTCAGAAGAAGGAGGAGTAGGGTAAGCTTCTGAACTTCGGACTGCTATCAATCGTTCTTCAGATGCGCTGAGCTGAGAAGCTGGTCAGTCTCCGAGGCTCCGACGTAGACACTGATCGTCAGCACGATGCTTCCAATGGTGACCTCTGTGCAGCGGAACAGGAAGAAGGCTCGGTACCTATTTCTCTGTCTAAGGCCGCTACTCGTTGACTTGGGCACTTGGAGCACTTGTCGCCTCGGCCCCACTGCTACTGGTACGTCCGTAGCCCCAAAGCTCGCTTCTCGCTTGAGGCGCAGGCGCTTCAGGCCCCAGAGAGGCTTCGAGAATCCGAGCTCGCAGCTCTGGCCTCGGATGTGCTTTCTTCCTCCTCCTCCTCCTCCTCCTCCTCCTCCTCCTCCTCCTCCTCCTCCTCCTCCTCCTTCGGGTCGGGTTAAGTTTAGGGCGTTCACGTTTGGGGGGATTTAGAGCGTTCATCGTGTTGAGGGCATTGGCTGCCGAGGGGCACAAGATGCCGTGGTGAGCCTCTGCACACTGGTTCTCTCCGATGCACAGCTGCGGTGGGTAGCACGGCACCTGCAGCTTAGCTTCTTCCAGTCCATCCGGTCCGTTGCTGCGTCGCATCCAACCGCAGCCAGGCAGCGAAAGCGCCCTCCAAGGAAGCTGCCGGAAGCTGATAGAAGCCTGTCCGCAGACCCCATCTGATCCACATGGCATCCATTCCATGGGGGACACTGGCCTGGTTTGGCGACCACCCTGGCCATCACAAGGGAGCTGCATGAGTTGCAGGGGCATTCTCACGGAGCGCTCTGAGTCAGAAGCTCGGAATTGCCCGGACATGCAGCTCCAGATGGGCATACATCGCACTGGCTCATACCCGGCTGCATGCCGTACCTCGTACTCAGAAGCACCACGACATGACCCATGAGTATGACCGAGCAGAGAAGATGGCACTCTGTCACAGACTTTGAGCATCCGACGTTCCTGGCTGACAATCTTCACATTCCACTGATCGGGGTGTGCGGAACCGTCCCGCCGGGCACTCCCTGCGCATGGCTACATAAAGCCCACGTCACGAGACGCTACGAGAGGAAGCCGAGCGCCAAACGCGCAGGTCGTGGCGTTGCCGCCGATGTCCAGGACCACGGCCTCGTGGTAAACGCACGAAGTGCTCTTCTTTGGCGAGTGTGTGTGGCAGCAGTAGTGGGTAACGAGCTCAAGATTGAACCGGTGCGCTTCGTGCCAAAGAAGAGCACTTCGTGCGAACTGCGAACACGACCCCGTCTTGGGCACCACGCTTGTCCAGGATTGCACGGGTACACGTCGATTTCCTTCTGTGCCCAAGTTGGCAAAGGCCAGCCAGTCAGCGGCTGCTCCTCACCTTGGCATCGCGAGACACGCCCCTTTTCTCATCCTCTGCGAACGGATTCAATTAGGGGCTTGCCTGGGCACCGGGCCGACCGTAACAATTTGCGAACTGGTCCAACGATCCATTTTTGGCTGGTCCTGCCATAGCTCATGGAGACGGCGGCCATGAAAGCTTGTGGACCGTCTTCACTCCTTTCCCTCAGCGTTTAATCAAACAACCACCTCGTGATTTGTGAGAGTTGCAGAGTCCGGGTTTGCTTCATGAGGTTGCTGCTGTTCGCAGATCGTCGGGGGTCTTCGTGATGAGGGGGGGCGTTGATTGATATCGCTACTTGTTGGGGCCTGGGATTGTCTTTGCATTCAGGAAACATACCAGGCGAATCTGCATAATAGATAAGGGATATCGGATATGCCCCTCTCCGACAAGCTCAACGATTCTGCCTTGCGCCTTGAAACCCCATGCACATGCCCAGACCAACCGGAAAATCACGAAGAAAGCAATCCAACATCAAAGCAACGGAACCTAGGCAATTTACATCCTGACCTCCTGGTTTGGCCGACAAACCCGTTTTGGGAGACACAGCAGATTTCACGGTCAATGTCCAAGAGACATGCCCCAAAGTGGCTTAAGCCCCTTACAGCTCGCAGCTGCTCGCAGCTGCTCGCAGAAGCCACACAAACATCGAAACTGTAGGAACGGTGCTCGACAAACCACACCAGACCGTAGGTCGCTCTCGTCGTCCATGCCCAGTTTTTGGGAGTTGGTGCAACAAATTCTGAAAGATTTTGGCATACGACTCACGTTCAAGAAGCATGGTTCGCGGGTCCTCATCCAGTGGCTGAACCTGGAACAGGGGGGGACACAGCGGTCTCTCATAAGTGCATCGATGGAAGGACAAGGCCCCTCTGAGCTTCAGTGCCTGTTGCACCAGTGTTGTGGGATTCTGTCTAAGACCTTACGCAGGTGTGAAGCCGTTACAAGTTCTCAAGGTCGTCCAGCTCAGCTCCGTTTTGGGATGTAACGCTGAGGCAGAGCACCATCCATACTGAAGGCCAGTCGTCCGTAGCAGGTCTGCTGCTCTTGCGCGAGCAATGCCTCTGACAAAACCCATTGAAGGCAAGCCATGGCAAACGCGGGGGGGGTGGAGGGGGGGGCAAGAGCCGCTAGCACCGCCTGGCCTCGTGCACCGCAGCTTGCTCCAGGCTGCTCGCCTAAAATCCACGGCCGTGGCCACACGATGCGAACACAGAGGCGATCCGAGGCTCAGAGAGCTTGGGAGGACTCAGCGACCCAGGTCCCGAGGTCCCCGGCAGTCTTGATGGCTGCCAAGAGAGCGATGCCCCCTGCTGCGGCTGCAGCACTGACCGGCAGTGGCTCCTGCACAGCTCCCCAGTTCCAGAGTCGCAGCTCTTCTCAAGGAAACGCAGTAGCGATCCGCAGCGATCCGATCCGCCTCCCCGAACTTTGATCGATAGGCATCCGCGAAATCCCGTGCAGAACCTCAAGTCTCAAGCATGGGCCGTGCCAACTCTGCGAGAATTTCCCAGAGGGCTCAAGGCTCCCGGCCAAAGACAGGGCAGCTCTGGGAAGCCGAAGGTTCCCAGGTCAGCGGACTCAACACGTAGTTCCTTGAAAGTACTCCCCGAGGACTAAGAGATTATGGATTCCGTGAGCTGCTCTTTTCACCTCTCTTCAGTCTTCCCCCTCTCCGAGCGGTTCACGCGAGATGGGCTCCGATGGAGCGCACCGCTTCCCTGTTGCCACGTGCGCGCCCGTCGGCCGTCCCACATCGGAGAGCGCTTGACTCCTTGCCTCGTAGACACGGCAGTGAGAGCGATCCCGTGCGGAATGAAGCCTCGGCTCAGGAAGAGCTCCGCTTCTCTGCAGGGCCCTTGGAAGTCCAAGGCCGCCGCCCAAGGTACTGGCCTCAAGTGACTCAAGAGCATCAACAGTGGAGACTGAAGACTGAATGCTCGTTCAAGGGAAGAGTGCTGTGTGACGCGTACCATGGAGATCTTGAGAGCCACGTGGCAGAAACGAGAATCTGTTCGGCGCTGCGCAAATTGCCACAGGCTATGAGCAAGTCGGGACCTTGCGCAAAAGATGTGCAAAAGACGCCTGAAGAGTGTGTAGAGCGTAGCGTCTAAGTCTAGCGATGTGAAACATCCCACCTGCAGCCTTAAGCTGTCGCATTTGTGGCATGATGGCCTGCAGCACCGGCATGGCACGTAGATTCGTCTTCTTGGAGTACAACGGGCCTGTTCTGCGACGCTCATGTTATCCAGAACTTCCATGCCCAAGCCTGAAAAAACAAAAATCTACTGCAAGGATTCCTCCAAGATCTCTCAGCTGAGGCGAGCTGCGCTGTGCATGGGAGCTTGCCCCTGTGCACATCTCTTTGTCGAAGGCACTCCCTCCCTTGGCCGGCAAACACGGACACAACAGAGTGACCGCATGGGAGTTCTCTGCCCAAATGAGCTCCGTGCATCCCATACCATGGCCACAGAACTTACAGGAGGCTCTTGATGTTGCACAAGCTCCTGAGAAAATGCTGACAAAGCTGTACACGATCATAACTTCGTTATCTCGGATTTGCAGACGAGCTTCGAGAACTCCTGCCATCCGGTCCTGAACCTGTCAGGCTGACAAGCACTGCATTCGACGGTAGAAGTAGAGCGCATCTACGGTTCGATGCCTGAACATCCGGCGAAAAAGTCCAGGGGCTGTACAGCTGAGGCCTGATGGCCGGGCCCAAGAGGTGCCTGAAAGCCAGTGCGATGGAGCTGGGGGCGATGCCAGAAAGCCACTGAACAAACGCAAGCAAGTCTTATCCAGGGGCAGCTGCGGGCCGCCGCTGACCAGCGTCAGCACGTTGGCAGAGTTGCCGGCATCAACTGCAACCTCGCTCTTTTTGAAGTGAAGCTTTGAAGAAGATGGTCTCCCGGCAGCCCTTTCCTGACCTTGAACAACTCCGAGGAGTGCAGTCCGAAGAGGAAGTCGACCTCACGTCTCAGCACCGGCCGGCGCAAGCTCAGAGCCGGAAGCTAGCAAACTGCCTCCTTCTTCTGCAGCATTCGGGCGTAGATCTCGGCAGCCTCAGGCAGAAACAACACGGAGCAAAGCACTCCTCATGTCGCAGCATGATGGTCGAATCATGCCTTGTCAGGGTCGCCATGATCGTCCTCACAGCGTGGCACGCCCTCTACAGCTGGTTCAAGCCACCACGGTCTTAGAATCCTGCCAAGTCTGCTCAAACATCGCGAAGCAGAAAATCCTTCTTCCCACACCTCTACTGTGTGCAAGCATCAGTTCGGACAGGGCCTCACATCAAAGTTCTCTCGAATTCATCCCACAAAGGCACATATCACAGTCCTCGACCTGCACGTGGAGCTTCAGAGGCAGGTTGGTGGGGCCATTCCAGGGCGTGGACCTCGGTCAAGACACGTAGCAAAGAACTTCGCCGCTGCGCATTTTTCTTAGGCGAGAGCTGGTTGAGTCTGGCGGCTAGCAGCTGCAAGCCCTGCAAGGATGCTCGTTCGACCTCATTCTCGCTGACACGAAAGTATGACCATCGAAATCACCGCCACTAGCACCACCGACAAGAGGAAGCACATCATCGTCATCATCACCATCAGCATTACCATCACCATCATCACCACCGTCGTCAGCGTCCTGAAAATCATCACCGCCAACATCATCGCTATCACCATGCTCATCATCATCGTCATCATCAACATCATCATCAACATGATTTAGGGAGTCGTCGACGTCCTCACGGCAGTGCCTTTGGTGGTGTTTGGTGGCTTCTTGGCGCAGAGAGATCCCTGACATTGTCAGAAACAGCATCAGCGATACCGTCAGCATCAGCGCATCAGCGGCAGCAAGCGCAATTGTCGTCGTCGCAATCACCAGCACCAGTGCCAGCAGTTACCGACTCGTGGCCCTAAGCCCTAAGCCCTCAGCATGGGCCCTAAGGTTCGTAAAGGTGTGTCTACTGTTCTTCTGAGAGCCGCACGGCACCAGCACTGCTCAGCGGCAAGGTGCCACCGAGGCGGATAAGGCGACCACCGCCCGGCCTCGGCGCTCGAAGTCCCCTCCCGTCCCGTTCGGGGGTGGGGGTGGGGTTCCCTCAACAGAAGTCTCTGAAGAGGTGATGACAGCGCTGCCATCATCCCAAAAGCAGCAGAAAGCCCCCCGCCCCGCCGAACGCGCCCGCGCATGCGGAAGCTTACGGGTCGACGGGTTGGCAATGGCAAGCGAAATCAACCAAAGCAAAGCAGTCCAAAGGTCCTTGGACTTGCTCGGCACGGGAGCGAGCCTTCCCCCGTTCACCGCCACCGCAGGCCCAGCCGTCAAGGGCCCAAGGGCCTGGCCCTACGGAGTTTTCAGGACTCAAACTGATTGTCTTTGAGCGGTCCCGCCTTAAACCCGGCAACCCCCTGGTTCGCTCTTGGAATAAAGAGGAGGGGGAAAAAGTCCTCCCCTCAGCGAGAAAACCGAAGGGTACGAGTAGCATTGCTCATAAGACGCAGGCGAACTCTACACACTTCCTGAGGCCGGTGATGCGAGGCTAGGCCCAGGACTGGACCACGAGGCAAAAGAAGAGCAGGGCCAGCAACCTCTTGCACAGCCAAGGACACACTGGAAAGCAGCTGTGGCGGTGCGACTCAGGTCCCAGCCGCCGCCCCGTCAGGGAGGTCATGCCTCTTCCTTTGAGCAGAGATACTCAAAGAGCGAGCTGAGCAGGTCCCCTCCCTGGGAGCCGTCGCCAAGCAAGGCAGCTTGCGCGCCACATCGAGGCGCATTGCAGCTCTGCAGAATGAGTGCTCCAGTTTTTGCTCCGCTTCAGGATGTCGATACAATCTGGAGGCTAAGGGATGGCTGAACCACACCACAGGATTATTTTGCCATGCCAAAACCAACGCTGTCAAGCCAGGATTCCCGCAGCAAGCGACGTGCACAGCACAAGAGGGTCGACAAATTCAAATGCAAGAAATGGCAACCCACACCGGCGACCTGGATGTAGTCCATGTGCTGCGTAATGGTAGGAGGCCTGCAGGTGGACAATTGCAAACCAACAGCAAGCAAAGAATCGAAGATCTGAAAACGAAGCTGGGGCCAGGGACATTGCTCACCTGAGGACTATCCACAAGGGACTGGAACACACGACTCTGCCGATGTCCGAGAACTGCACGTAAGTTCAGGGTTCGAGTTAGCCAAAGCTTAGAGAGCCGCGCTGTGAGCCAAATCCTCTTCAAAATCAAGCAACTCTGCAAAACTTCTCACATGGTGCCTCACAGTACTTGCCAGTCGCAGTCACTTGAAGGTCTGCGTCTCTTGAACAAGATGGCACTTTTCTTTCGCACTGGTCTCCAGACTTCACGCCCGCTTCGTTTGAAGGGGCTACAACATTAACACGCAAAAGCGCGCCTTTGAGGCAAGAAGCTGCGCAGCAACTTACCTTCCAGCGCGCTGCAGGTAGACCCCCGCCTGCATGTGGCCGCGGCACGCGGTGAGCGCAGTGACCACTTATCTGCCGTAGGTTGTGACTTTGCAGGCGCAGCTTAAACACGATGGGCAGCAGAAGGATGAAGGATGAAGGATGGTGTTTGATGGTGTGAAGCTGACTCGGTGAGGGACGACATTGTGATTCGAAATGATCAGCGATTGACAGCCACAATTGCATGGAGAGGGGATGTGTCGTCCTGAACTGAGGGGGCCCAGACAGTACCAGCAAAGATATCCCGTCAGTCATTTCAAATCTCAGCACTTGAAGCTATCAGCCCTCTACGATTTGCTGGCCGTCTTAAGCGCATGGGCTCCTACGATTGCAGGCTGTCTTAAGTGCGGTATCGCTCTGGCTAATCTACTGAGGAAGGTTGCACAACAGCAAATCAGCAATCCGGCAGCATCCCGCCTCAAGCTCCTCAGCTGTTTCAGGTTCACTCGGCCATCGAAGCACCTCGATGCGCCTGGAATAATTTGGCCGGCCGATCAGAAGGAATCATAAGGCTTCACTTGCCTTGTAATTTGCCTTCTGTCTTCTTTGGGCAGAGAGGCCACGACATCCTCTGCTTCCTGCAAAGACGCCAGGTGGAATCGCCAAGCCCCAACAGGTGTGCTCGCACAGATCCTTGAGGTTTCGCTTCGCGGAGCGCCCGCTCTCTGCACGCAATGTTTGAGCCTTCTCATGAACCTGCCGCGAAAAGTATGGTATGCAGGTAGAAAGGCTCAAGTCTCAAGTGCAAGAAACAGGTCTCACGTCTGGCCTGCAGCGCTATTTCAAAGGCGTGAATGGCTCCAGCCAGATCACCGGCTGCACGACGACTGATGCCATACTGACCGACCTGGACAGCTGCACAGCAAGGGCACACTTGTTTTTTCAGCTGTTCTATCTGCTGCTCAGTCCGCTCAGGACTGGCTACGCAGTTGGACCAGCTAGAAGTGCCACTTGCACCAAAACGTGCAGCTTTGCTTGGAGAGGCGGGGCTTAGAGTGATAGACGTGTTTGGAATTTCAGGTCGCAGAACATTGTCCATGACCCATGCACAGCTCCTTCTGATCCGGACTGTAAGCTGTGGCAATATAGCTAGGGAAAGAGAGATCCAGCGAGAAAGCGGGAGGAAGGTAAAGACAGCGAGAGGCAGAGAGAGAGCGAGAGGCAAAGACACACAGCGAAAAAGAGACAGAGAGAGCGAGAGGCAGAGAGAGAGAGAGAGAGGCCAGGGGAAGAGAGGAAACTGGAGCATGATGGAAGGAAGGAGAGAGAAAGCGCCCAGTCCAACGTCATTCCAGCAAAACTTCCTTTCCTGTTTCCATGTCTTCCACGACTGTACAAGTCTCTCTGGCGTGTGAGAGAGTCTGACTGCGCCTCTCCTCCTGCGCTCCTTTCCATGCTTGCGAGGCTGCTTTCGCACATGCTCGCCTGATGAGAGTGCCGCAATCCTCCTGCACCCAGGTACAAGAGTTCAGTCGGGGAACGGCGGCAGAGGTAAAGTCGGAAGAACAGACATGCCGAGAATACAGCACTCTCCGATCAAGAAACTGAGCTAGGGACATAATGCGAGCGCATTCTTGATTGCAGCTTCGGGTTTTGAACAAAGACGCGTTCAGCCTAACACATCAGAACAACACGATATCTTGAAACTGCGAACGCGCCGTGATGTGAGTTGTCACGTACCTCCAGAAAGGCTTCACGGCCTGAGGCCCACGGGGACTTTCAGCGGCAGAAGCACACTTTGCCGAAAGTGCAAGCGAGCTGCCGCCCTCTTTGTCTCCGAAGTCTGTTCTGCTCGAAGCCAGCTCGTACCTCTGATTTGATCGATAGCTTACCAGCCGAGCCGAGGCAATAGGGTTTGCTTCGCCAAATCAGGGCGCAATATGCTCGTGAAGGTCTCAGTGTGGGTCATCTTCAGACCACGGTACGTGGCAACCGCCTGATGCACAATATTCACTATACAACATATAGTAGATTCTATGCAATTTCAAACACACAAGATATGAGAGCACCGAGTTGAGCCGAGCCTTCTCGTAGCTCGCAAGCTCACCTTGAGTGCTCGCTGCTGTTCACGCTCGAGGCGGGTGCTGCCTAGGCTTGACTCAGCTCCCAGCGATTTCTGTCCCCTTGCTGCCCAAAGACCACTCCCATGTTGTGCACCTGATATCATCGGATGCCAATCATAGCATTGCAGTGCTTCCCAGACTGCGGCTGCGGCAAGAATCGCAAACCAGTGCGAGTTCTGCCGGTGCAGTTTAACGAGAATCTGCTCTGCCTGACAGAGTGCAGGAAAGATGTCAAAAGTCACTCAACACATAGAAGGGTGATCTTAGCTGTCTCGCCTTCTCATAGTACTGCATGATTAGCTCTGAGTCCTGCAGAGCTATGAACATCCAGACTGTCCACCGGTAACTCAGGCAGGCTCGGCCGAGCCCAAGTCCTGCTCGGCTTGCTTAGAAAGAGCGACACCGACCTGGTCTTCACGTTGGACCATGCCGGGTTGAAAACTGCGCGCATCCCGCACGAAAGGGCCGCCGGCTCTGATGAGAAGCTCTCCGTGACGGACACTATCCGCGCACGCAGTAGCCAAGCAAAACCGCAAGGAAACCTGCAGCACAGTGTGCGGCACAGCTTGCATGGTGTACAGCAATGCTCCCCTCTGAAGCTTGCGATCTTGCCTCCCAGATCTTGAGCTCCCACTCTGCATCGTTCATGGAAATGGCACCCTCGAATTGCCGCGATAGCTACTGCAGAACAGGACTGCAGTGGACCCTCGACAGCCTCATAAGATATTGTTTTTTCTCCTTTCGCTGCGCCCCGAAAATCACGTGCAGCTACAGCCATCAATGGCATTATAGCGCAGTATACATATCTTGTTGTAGCGAAAAATGCACTAAGTTGTATTGTGTCATATCATGCTGCACTGCCTTCTATAACAATGTACAGTATATTGTGATGGAATGGCAAACTTGAATGCAGTACGGCATATCGTGCCGTGCAGCACCGTGCCATACTCTATGTTGCTTTGTAATGTGATGTGTCATGCTACACAGTGCTATGTTACATTTCCTATGTTATATCATATTCTGTGACATTATGTACTTGAAACTATGTCATGTCCTTAAACTTGCGGTACAGCGTAGTATGTTACTGTAACTGACTGGAACATGACACTCTATTACAGTAGATCTTATTGCATTGCCCTATGTTCTGCTATGACAGTTTGCATTGTATCACGTCGCACTCTAGAATCATACACTTACACCTGTTATCGTAGCTTCTATTTTCTTAATCAGATATCATGTCACCTGCAACATGGTAAGCTATGTTATGCTCTGATTGGCTACATAATCTCGTACTCTTGTGTGACATCACCTATACATTCTCATACTCCGCTCTATAAGACTACGTTGAAACATTTTACACTATATCATGCTATATGGCATATTTCTATGGCACAGTATAGTCTAGTGCAGTCTTGTATATTTCTATACCATATTCAATTGTGATTTAACAGCGCTATATCTTTCTGAGCTATCTAGCATTCGGTTAGATTAGCGTGGATTAGATTAGATGAGCTTAGTTTGACTCACTGGTTGACTAGATTAAGCCTATACTCTTAATGTACTTATATATTGTAAAGTACATTCATGAGTGTTGCTGATCTGTGTACTCGTATTCCTATAATTAGTCGTATCATTGTCACTACTATGCAGTAACTCTATGTATATACACACATTTCTAGTATATGTAGTAATTGTAACATGTGTACATCAAATATTTATATATGTATATACAGATCTACACACATATCTACACATGCATATACATGTATATATAATTAGCGAGAGACAGTCCACAAGCTGCTGGGTCTTCGGCCAATCCCATGTTCTTCAACGGCTCAGTGAATTCCGAGACCCGGCTAAGTAGCCGGTCGACCTCAAAGTCCAAGGAAACATCCGAAAACAAGCCCGCTGAAAACCTTGCAGTTGCTGTCAAACTTTCGGACTTGTAGGGCTTTGGGCTTATAGGTTTTATGGGGTTTAGGGTTCAGGAAGTGTGAGGGTTAAGGGTTAAGGATTCAGGGCTTAGGGCTTGAGGTCTGCAGGGTGCGACGCCTCTCCAGAGTCAAACGACTCGATGATGGAGAGGCACTCCTCCGGCGATGAACAATATACAAGATTACAAAAAATGGACATAGGTATATAATATACTTGCTTACATCTATACATATATGTGTGTATATATATATACGCCTTAGCGTACATGTATATGAGTAAATAAGCAGGCAAAACTGTATATCTATGTATGTATAAATATATACCCACATACGTATGTACATATGTACATATACATGCCAAAGCAGTTATGTATAGTTGGATAGACAGATAGATAGACAGATAGGCAGATAGATAGATAGGTTTCTGTTTGCATTTGTATGTATGGCTATATACACAGATTCTAACACGCCACCACTTGCACTGCAAAGGCAGAGCAACCCCAACCTCGTACACGGCCAACTTCTCGGCCATGGCCCAGAGACTGGCAAAAGGGGCACATCGCTTGCAAGACGGGCGTTTCGGGCATGTGGTGAACATCTGAGGAAGCCTGTTTTGCGAGTCCATGGTCTCCGCTATGTCGGCGAGGATTTCCACTGCAACCAAAGAATGGAGCGATCCAATCTGGTGTTGGAGCACCTGTGCTGCAACTCGCATGCAACGCCGAGAAGCTGGCCTGGGACTCGCCTACGCTACAGAGACATGTGGAGCTCGTACTTCGAGCCTCTGTGGCCCAGTGAAAGGCCACCAGAGCTTCTACATCCTTTCACATTCAAAGAACAGGGCAGCGTGCAAATTGAAAGCAGGGGAAGACTACAAGACTACGGTCCTCCTGTCGACTCCGATGCCAACGTCCCAGCTTGTAAAGCAGCTCAACACTGTCTTTCGGCCTCAGAAACTTCCAGACACAAACCTTCTGCTGTCTTCGGGACCTTGTACTTTGCCTGATGTCCGAGCGCGACTTTCGCACTCCTTTCCACGCAGCGACGCAGCGCAGAGGAAAGGAGTCTTGCAAGCAACTCTCCGGGAAACTCTCACTGCAGGTCCTTCCTTGCCTGGGAGGAACCGCCTGCTTGCATGGAACCACAGCATCGTGCAGTCCAACAGACAGAATAGCCAGGACAACGGTCATGTGACGGTCAGTGTGCCGTAGTGGTGGTGGTGGCCCACAATAGACAGAACATATCAGGGTGTCTCACTGCAAGGCCTTGCAAACAATTTGTTGCAATCTCAAGCCGACCCAGTCTTGCTTGCTTGCTTCTTCTTCGCCCGCTCTCGCGCGCGCGACGTTTCGGAAGACCCAGCGTAGGGCATTTAGAGGGCCGCAAGAACAAAGCACGACCAAGGCCGTCTGCACCCTACTTGCGCGGAACAAACCCAAAAGCGAGTTTCCGTCAGTTTGCCTGCATGGTGTCGCAGAGAAGAGACACAGGAGCTGTGGACGTGCAACGAAAAGAGGCTGCATCAACAAAAAAAGATGTAGAACTGAACCCTGTTGGGACAAGTTTTATGGGAGTGTTGCACATTTACTTTTCGTTGCATATGTTGCAAGCACTAAGAGTCAAGAACATCACATACTGAGTTTTGAACGGTGCCCCCCAAGAATCGCCGGAACGTCGAGTGCTTCAGAATCTTCACTGGCAGTTCCACTGGCATCTGCAATCATCCTGCAGGAAACTTGCCGCTCATTGCAGACTGTGCAGCAGCTTGCGTCCGGGATAGATGGTTCGAGTGAAGGCCTTATCATGAACGCAGCCCCAACGGTGAGTTGATGTCCGGCGCGGCAGGCTCCTCCACACTTGGTGTCCACGAAAGACCAACGAGACTCGCGGAGCTCTTGGAGCGCTTTCTGTGAGAAGCGACAACCCACTGCAAAAATCGAGTAGCACGTGAGCAAACGATGCGCGATCCTCTCCGACAGGTGCAAGCGCACGGAAGCAGCCAAGTGGAGATGCAATGACTGATACAGAGACATTGGTAGACGCATGTTGCAACTCATGACAAGAAACTCAAACAGTGGCCTGGCCTGAAGGTGAGCAAAGTCAGCACAACCACAGTCGTCAGCCAGAGAGGCAACACCCACCTGCATGAAAAGCTGTAGAAGGCATTCGAAGGTCACAGTAGAAATTCCGATTCCGCAGCTGCGGCCCCAGCAACCGGGGACCCAAACGCTTGCGGCCTGAGCCAACCACCAAGAAACTTGGGACAATTCCAGAAAAGGCCCCCCAAGGCCTCGCGGAGCTCCGTTTTCAACGGCTCCGTTTGCTCCAGCTTTTGCTTTCGCATGGCCCATGGCCCGTGTCGGAAGCCAAGCATGGGAGCATTGGGAGTCGTGCTTTCTGCAAAGTCTCAGTGTAACGGGTAAGGGTCCTCCTGCACGGACACTGCAGCTAGTTAGTTGGTTCTTATGCTCAGTCAAGGCAGTCGAAAAACTGCCTTGCACACCAAACTGCATCTGTCAGATCTTACTATTATCTCAGATTGAACGCCGTCCTGTGACGAGCAGGCAAGCATTGCACATGCACGATATCAGAAGCTTCACAGTGGGGGTTACATCTATGCCATCGCAAGGCTGGGATCTTCGATTTTAGGCGAAAAGCATATGGGACGCAAAGACCAGCCGCGTGCGAGAGGCGTGGACGACAAGGCGGACGGAGCCCCTGCAAAGTCACAGCAATGCCCTAACACATTGCTGGTCTGTCGACTCGGCAGCGTGGCCGCGAAAGACCTGAGAGACCTTCTCGTGTTGCACAAGGAGGAGCCCCCATGTTGAAAGGTGCATTGCCAGCATGTCAAGACAAAACACCAGACATGTTCTTGCCCGGATTCGGATTTAAACATCAGAAAGAAATCTAGAGCTTCGATCAACTTCAACGTCAAAGGCAGACCTGCGATCACATCTGGTGCCCCTTGATCTGCACTAAACTTATGGCAGGAGAAGGGCCTGCCCGCTCTCTCTTCGTACTTTAGCTGCTGCTTCGCGAAGCTGAGTTGGCTTGCAGCAAGCTTGAATGTGTAGAAGATTTCCGAAAAGCAGCCCCTTCAGTCTCTCGACATGGCCCATCAGTCTTCTCAGCTCAATCGCACAAGCTCCTGGAGTCTGAGTCTGAGCAGTAAACCGCACTTACACTGCCACAGCGCACTGTGCAGGCACCGTGAGCACAGCTCCGGTCCTTCAGAGTAGAGAAACCCAGCGGCAGGGTGTCAAATCTTTCTTGCCTGGCAAAGGAGGAGGATCTGACATGCGCCCGCCGCGTGCTTGGGACCCCGGAATCTCTGCCTGCTCTCCCCGAGGGCAGTCTGCCACTCTGTGTTCAAAACCACCTCTTTGCTTCGCACTCATGGCTTCTCACCACTGCAATAATATTTCTTGGACATCACGGACTGAGAAGCCTGCCGATCGGCCCCTTCATCTCTTTGAAGGCTTCTTGATCTCAGCACGACCAGACGCTGGCCACTGATCCCAATACATGACAACATCGGTGGGATTGCGATCTCTCTGCCAAGAAGTTAACATTACAACAGCCTGAGATCTTGCAGCTGAGCTAGGTTAGCCGAGACACCACGGCCTTCGCTTTGGCCTCATCAGAAACGACAAGAGAAGTTGGAACAGCACATCTCAAAACGCAATCTTTTCCAACGATGCAATCATTCCGTGCCTCTGTCTGGTGTGAGACTTGTGCAGATTAAAGTGCATTGCAACAAGCCCTTCATGCAGAGACGGCTTCCCTCTCGATGCAGACCTCGTACAGCATGGCCATCGCTTTGGTCGTCTGCTCAAATGGTCCAAGGCCGCAGCTTCGAAGGCTTGAAGGCTCGGAGGGGGGCCGCTGCTTCGTCCGGACTGCAGAAATCTGAAGTCGTCTCCGCCGTAGGACTCCCAGCGATTAGAGGGGCCGGTCCCTGTGTCCGGATGATGTCCTGCTCAACGACCCGGAGATACCCGTACCTCCGGTCCCAGAGCGCGAGGGCGAACGGGGTCCTCGTTCTCCAACGGATACATCACTCCGTGCTCCACAGGACGAGCTTCGCTGTCGTTCCACTATGGCAGCACGCATGTACCTCGGAGCCCTGAGAGAGCCTAGGCTTCCAAGGCTTCCAACTCCAGCTCCATCATCCCACTGACCACGCATTTTCTGCGGGGAAACTCGCTTGGCACGCTGTGAGACACTGGTGGACACAGAAGAGCATCTGTCACTCTCGTCAATACCATCAACACGGCTGTAAGCAAAGCTACAGCGGCACACAGGACAGAGGCCTTCAACCCAATAGGGCATGAGGCACTCAATAAGGAAGACATGATCGCATCGGCGAGGCCTGACACGCATCGCACCAGGAGGTATGCTGTGTCCAGATGCGCAGCAGGCATCAAACTTGTCACTAGCGAAAACTACCACATCTCCAAGAGATTGAAGTCGTGTTTTTAAGGCGTGTCGCGTCTCTTCGTCGAGGGCCCCTAGCGAGGCAAACTGGGATTGCTCCACCCTCTGCGGCGCTGAATCAGCACCGCGCAAGTTCCGCGGTGGACTCCCAACGTCCGTCTGCTTGGAGCCATTGGACTTCGGAGCATTGGAGTCTGAAAGGCGCAGCATGCTATCCGACAGGGACTGGGCACGTGAGAAGAGGTCAGCGTGGACCTGCTGAAACTCACGGACCAACTTCTCCAGGTCCATGGTCTTGGCGACGACTTCCCGTTTCAGCCCCGTGGCATCTGCCGCACTCGAGGAGCTTCGAAGCTGGAGCTGTGAGAGTTGAGCCTGCAGCAGCTTGTTCTGACCTCGGACTGAAAGCAAGCAGAAGCCAAAAAGAACACCCTCCGTATTATGCTGTAAACGAGAAGTCTACCAAGGTCTCTTTGAGTGGCCCTGGGCTGTGATCACTTGCTCTGTGAGGTCGGCGACCCGGCTCTGCCTCCGCTGCTGCTCCTCTCGGATCTGCTCCCGCAACCCTTCAGCCTCGCGACCCAGCCGCTGGAGTTCCAAACTCCTCTGCAGACATCCCCCCATATCTGCGTCACCCTCTCTCGAAATCCCCCTTTTCTCTTGGACCTAGGACTCGGTGCTGCTTTAATTTCCGAGGTCCTGTGCCGCAGGTCATCGGACAAACGGACGTTCTCCTCTTCCAAGATCTCCTCGCCTTGCTGCGCCGCGGCCCAGCCGCCAGGGTTCGTCGAGTTGGCAGCCGAGTTCGCCACGCGGCGAGGCGCGTGCATCGCGTGCTCGCGGCTCCAGCCATTGGGCTCGGAAGGCCGTCCTTGCCCTGGGGAGTGAAGGGCCTGCGAGGAAGGCGGACCTGTGGGCAACATGGCTGAAAAGACAAAAAACAGAGTGTGGCGGCTCCGCAAACTTCCTGCAGAAGCCATGAAACGCGGGCATCAAGAACGCTCAGAAGCCCAGGAGGGTGTGCCTTGGCTTTCGCCTTAGCCTTCGGAGCGGCCTTGGCTTTGGCCTTCGCCTTTGCTTTCGCCTTTGCCTTGGCCTTGGCCGTTGCCTTTGGCGCTGCCTGGCAAGGCGGCAGCTGTCAGCTGATAGCGTCCCTCCCTTCGAACTCCCCGCAGAACTCCGCGCCTTGGCCTTAGCTTTTGCTTTGGCTTTTGCCTTGGCTTTGGGGGTGGCCTCACATTGAAAAATCGTGCAGGCCGTAGGCTGGAGAGCGCCATCAGTGCAATCGAGTGAAATCGCTGGCAAGCGTCCTTGGCTTTGGCCTTTGCTTTCGCCTTCGCCTTGGCTTTCGGAGATCCCGATGCCTGCCACAACCACCACAACCTCGCACTTCTGACGAACAGCTGGTACGACCGGTCCACCCCACCTTCGACTGTTCCTCGTCTTCTGCATCCTCTTCTTCAAGATCGCCGTCCTGCATCAATACACCACTACTGCCGACACATTGCAGAAGTTGTCGCAAAGCCTAGTAACCTAGTAGCACCATAGCAGCACAGCACCTCCATCTCGTCGTCATCTTCGATCCTCATCTCTTTCACCTGCTCCGGTGTCAAGTGCTCCTTGGCAGCCACATACTGGGTTAAGTTCTCCAACAAACAGCTGACACACCTGACTTCCATGCCATGTAGCCTGCTAGCCTGCATGTCAGCAATGTCAGCACAGGCTCAAGATCACCATCCTCGTACTTTATTCGGTACAGTCCTCGGCGAGATGCCCACATGAAAAACCAGGAAAGAGGCTTCCCATATGGACAGGTCTGTCAAAACGTCTGCACTTCCAAAAGAGTAGCACAACTCTCATGCAACGGAGCAGCTTTCATGAGTGACCTTGCCCTGCTCAATGTCCTCCACGTATCCTGTGAATGCCTTTCCATTCACTTCGCGCCGGATCCTTGCATGTCGAAGGGGGTCCACCTTCCATCAAAACCCGACACACTGAAAGGCCGCACTGCACACACATAATGTCGAGAAATATCTCTTCGGATTCTGGCCTCCTTTTCTGTGTCAGGCAGATCTTCCAACTCCTCCTCCATCTCTTCTTCCTAGAAAGAACACATGTCAGGAAATCTGGCTGAGGGTGGTTGGATAAAGACAGTTCTTGACATTGACCATGCAGAATGCAGTAGCGCTTCGGCCGAAACAGAGCGCCGTAGCGACGAAAGCATCGGGGCTCTGACTTCAGGAACGTTCACCGCTGGGATGGCGGCCATGGCCTGGCATCGACCCTAAACCCTAAACCTTAATTACTATTAGTATTAAAATCAATAATAGTATTACTATTAGTATCAGTATTGCCCAACAACTCAATAGCAGGAGGCAAAGACCCTCAGCAGCCTGATGTGACGTTAACTAACATCACTTCTAGTCTTGCTGTTGCTGTTTGTTTTGCTGTTGCTGCAGGGATGTGTGTTTTTGCTGTTGAGGCGGGGAGGTGTTTTTTGTGTCTTTTGCTGCGGGTGGGTGGTGTGTTGCTGTTGGTGTTGGAAGGGATATCGTGCTTTTGCTGCTGGCTCGGGGAGGTGCTTCCTTTTGGTAAGCCCCCCTCTCACCAACACAGCAAAAAGCAAAAGAAACATGCACCCGGCAGAAACAGCAAAACAAACAGCCCCCTGCATCAGCAGCAGAAAAATAAAACATCACCCCTCCCCTGCCCGGCGGCCGTTCACTCAGAAGCAGTTTGCTGGGGCTTCAGCTGCAGAGCAAAACAGTAAATATGCGCCAACAGCAAAAAACTCCTGTCTCCTGTTCCCACAAAACATACATAGAAAAGAGTCAAGAATCAACATAAACATGTACGTGCACGTACACGTGCACAAACACATACGATACACGTCTACATCTACTTGCGCATGTACATACACATATACACACACATATAATATACATGAACATGCTGTATATCTACGTCTACGCCTACATGTACATGCACGTACAAGTACACATTCAGACATCTCTACATCTACATGTAGTAAACATATAGAACTACACGTGCCTGTACATATACACATGCTCATAAGTATCGCATTCACGTAAACGTAGACACACGGACAAAGACAGTCATGATGTAGCAGGCATAGACATGCTGATACACATGAACATAAACATAAAAACATGCGCATACACATTTAACAGACATCTACATCTACAACTACTACAACTACATCCACATGTACATCTACACATGCAATGTATACCCGTACACATACACCTACATATACATGTATATGCACATATACACATGAATATACATGTACATATACAAAGACATACATATATAAATGGACATTATGACAAACACAGACACAGACATAGACATAGGAAAAAAATTATACAAGTACATATGCACAAACACACACACATACATACACACATACATACATATATATGTATGTGTATATATATATATATATACATACATACATACATACATACATACATACATACGTACATATATACACATGTATACATACATACACACCTACTCGAACTTACACATATACGTATGTATACATATGCACATAATCTGTGTATATACATCTATTCGTTTGAACTTGCAGAATCTATATGTGTGCGCGTGTGTCCTTCTTGCGACCATCCATGCACTCATCTTGCTAGATATGTACTGACTTCCTCTCGCGAAACGCACCCTGTCTGAGGCGTCGGCGACTTGGATGCTCTGGGCCACGGTGCGACTTTGCCTCCTGCTTTGGGCCGTGACAACGCCAGCAGACATCACCTCAATTTCGTCCCACACGTCTTCAATTCAAGCGCAGCAACGCCTGGCAAATGGTTCTCCGCAAAATGCTTCAAAGCCCTGCGAAGGAACATTATTAAAACCTTTATCTTCTATGCCGCATAGAAAATAAAAGTTCTGAACATGAAACAACGATTGAGGTGGACGTACATGTTGTTCCAGTCTCGTGGGTGCAGAACTGACTTGCAATTTTGGTTGTAGCCACCACATTTGTGCGCTTTGGGACACAACAAAGTCCGGCTTTGGATCCTTGGGCAGGCTAGCTTACGACAGCCTCACCGGAAGGCATCAAACCACTGACCGTCGCGGTCATTGATCTCTTCCACGTTAAATTTCCATGCATCCTCGCAACCAAATGTTGGTCTCGCCTCGTCTCATCTCAGAATTGTTGAAATTGGCAAGCCGCTCCTAAACTTCATTCCGTTACTCCGTCTTCCGAAGATGCACGCAAAAACACAAATTGCTTGTTCTAGAAAGGCTTGCACTGCTCTATCACTTGCTGCCATCTTTTATACCGTATTGGATCTGTAAGACTCTGCGGCTAGCCCGGAGGTGCCAAGGTCTAGAGGGCCAGCCAAGGCATAAACTCCCCCAGAGCCAGTGCTGCGATGTGCTATACATTCACATGCCTTCTAAAACATACGTGAACAAAAACACGAAACGTTTGGCAACGAACGAAATATCTTTTCGTAGAACATAAGAGACAAAACGAAAACACTGCAAAGAAAGTTGACAAAAACGACAAAAGCCAGAACACACTGGAATCAAAAGGTGTACACACAATATGATAACTTAGAAGCGGAATTTTGCGAAGGTGCAAACATGCACACCTGAGGGCCTGTGCGTTGTTGTACCTTTTAAACCCCAGTTTTGGAGCTCACAAACCTGGATGCGGCAGATTGCTGCGGTTGTCCGTGGACATTGCCGCAACTTCCGAGACCTCGCAATTTGGCCAGGAAGCAATACGAAGCACTTTGCCTTCCAACTCGTCGCAAGCATTCGCCGGCAGGCGCCTTAACTTCGTGACAGCACCCGACTCAGCAGACCCAGCAACCATGCTGCCCTTTCTTCTTGCAGGCAATGTTGTTTTGGAATGATTTTTGGATCCAGCGCGCGCGCGCGATTCGCTTCTTAACATTGCGTGCAAGGGGAAAGGGGGGTCGTGCATCATGAGACGCCAGCAAGCGTTTTGGTCATTCCTGCCACTCAAGGCACCACAGCACCGAACCAAACCCTCAAAGTGAAAACGTCTCAGCGGCCCTGCAGGTGGGTTTAGGATGACAGCAACCCGCCTGGAGCCTGCAGGAAAAGGCCTCGGCTAGGCTTTGATCGCTTAAACCTGAGTTGCTTTGCAACAGGGCTGGGCAAAAACCCAATTGCACGCAAGCAAAAGTAAGCGTTGCAATTTCCTCAGAGTCCAGATGTGGCAGCTGCCTTGCCACTACCAACATGCTGCACACTCACAGTGTGCCGCAAAAGCAGGATTCAGAGAGGTAAACTGGCGCTCTCAAAGGTCTGCCGTGGAAGTCTCCAATCGCGAAAATCCCAGTCGCAACAACGAGCTTGCCGCCAAAAACGACGTGCACGCTCGAATTCCCCAACAGCTTGCCGGAATCATGGATACTAAAAAACTGGAAACCAATACGGGAGAGTCGAGCAACAAAACTAGACGTATGCCTTGTTGTGGCTTGCAACAAGCACCACGAAGCAATGGAGGGGGCTGCCTGCGCCCCTCTAACCCCCCGCTCTTTTTCAACACAAACCCGCTCTTGAAGAGTTGAATAAAAGCTTCGCCAACACGCAAGAAAGAAAAAGCCACACGAAAACGCTTCAGGTGGTGAAAAACAAGAAATCCAACTGAAACAAAATCGATGAAGAGGGGAGAGGGGGCAAGGCGCTGAAGGGAGGAAGCTTTTGAAGGGGGGCGTCGAAGGCTTCGAAGAGAGGCTTCAAGGGCTTGAAGGGCTTCGAAGGGGAGCGAAGAGGGGCTTCAAGGGCTTCGACGGGGGAAGAGAAGGAAGGGCTTAAAGGGCTTCGAAGGGGCCTGAAGGGTTTGAGGCTTTTCGAAGCCTTCGAAGCCCAAGAAAGGGGGGCTTCAAGGGGCCAGGAAGGGAGGCTTGAAGGGGGGCCTTGAAGGGAGGCTTGAATGAAAAATTCCAATAGCGTTTCGAGAATCGTCAGGAGCGCGCAACATTCAAGCAACAGCAATCGAACAGAAATCTCAAAGTGCTCCAGACTGCAATCACTCGGTCTCAGACTTTTGTCTGGATTCAATGAGCCAGTCTTGAGCCAATGCCAATTGGTAGGCATTGTGTCCGTAGGTCCAATATGAGCTGAAGAATGACCATGCAATCTAATCTAACACGGTCCCTGGATTGCGACGCTGCTCGTCGGCAATCACAACTGTACATTTTTCAGCTCATTATAATGTACTCTACTTACAATATAGCAGTACTGAAACAAGAATTCGTTGAATCAGAAATCGAGTGCAATCAATCTACTGGCTTCGAACGCAATCAGAAAACTACAAGGCAATGCTCACTCTTTTGCAATCGGGACTGGGCAATATCCTGCAGTCGACCAAATCAATCACTAGCAAAGGCAATCGTCATCCAGGAAATGAATCCGTCGGTTCGTTGCAATTGCAGCAAAGGAAATGGAATCTTGCAATCCATCTTCCGTCTGTCCAACTGATGCAGCACCAATTGACTAGTGTCCAATCCGGACAACATGTTTCCAATCGGAGATGCACTGCTCTGGCAGAAAGTCAAAATCATGCTGTGAATCAGCCCAATGCTGATGCGTGCTCAAACTGAATGAGGAACACAGCAATCCTCATCCATGCACGAGGCAATCCACTTGCTCCTGAGCAGCTCAATACTGTCCTATGTCCTATGCGTTTCTTGGCAATCGCTGCCGCTGCGGTGAGCATCACTGAATACTCCTGTGGAGTCAATGCGCCGGATGAGGAACTCGGCGCAGGGGAATCATCATAGTCATCCGCAATGTCGTCAGCAGGAATCTCCTGGCGGTGGAATGCCCTCAAGCTGCATGCTCGACAATGGAAAGGAGCAATGGCGGTGTACTCCTTCCGCCGGCATCCAATTGAAGTAGGATGAATTGTTCAATTCCAAGATGATAGCCATATTCCTGCAATCTCCAGGCAGGCAATACTTGTGCTCATTTGCAGTCTCATAGTTGGAATCAATCGTCATGCACCAGGAATGTCCAAGAAAGCTGCAATTATGACAGCGGCGGAAGCCGCCCACTCCATTGTCAGCTTTCAATTCCATGGTGGCCATGCCCCTTGTCGGGCGAAAAATGAGCACCTTGACAATCTCGCCAATCTGTGCTCGATTGAATCGTCCTTGGCGATACTAACGCGCCAATTTCCTCAAAGAAGCCTCAATGCTGAATTGAGGGTTGAGCTCCCCCAATTGGGTCGGCACCGCGATGGTTTGGCCGGATGCCAATCCCTCGATCAATGACGACGGGAGCGCCAAGCAAACGTGCCAATCAACCAATTCATCCAGCTGTGCATATCGTCGTGCACGGAACAATGTCACGGCAATCGACTTTGAGAAAATTTGCTTCAATGCATCGTAGCAATCCATGCCTTTGTCCACAATCATAAAGGACAAATCCGTTGAGAATATCGGAATGTCCTCGTCGCTGTGAATGCCTGTCATGTGGGCAACGCAGGAATTTGCTTTGTGGATCAATGCCAAGAAAACCATGTTGGCCATGCCGCAATTTGCAGAAGAGCCGTCAGGAATCATCACCCTGGCGAATCGATTGTGCACAAGCCAGCCCAATGGCAATTCCATCGTTGATGCCACTTGGCCAATTGTTTGCAAAATGTCGTCAATGCAGTCTGCACAGAGTCAACAATCTGCAACATTGTCTGGCAATCCAGGTGGATAAGGCCTTCATTCAATGTCATCTCATCATAATGATCAATGGCCTGCACTGTCTCGATCAAGGCCGCCTTCCATTGCGACAATTCAAGGGTTGACCCGACCATGGCAATGTGGGAGAAGAAGATGGCCAATGCCTCTTTCAATCTCCCAAGAATGGTCTTCTCGCTCCACCGCAATTGGTGTGCGGGCGGATGCGAATGCGTGCCAATATGTCCAATGATCCCTTGAAACTGATCCAATGGGGTCCCGGCAGGCAATGTGGTCGGCGGAGGTCCGACAATGTAGCCGGGAATCGTGGTTCCTGCCACTGCCGCCATGGCAATCAAAGGCAATCACGCGGGTGCTTCTTGCTGTCGTTCAATGCACAAGCTAAGAGAAATCGCAAGCGGGAGCAATCGAAAAGTTCAACAGTTCACAAAAGCGAACACTCCAGACTTCAATCTTCTCCAAACGACTTTCAATCATGCTATATACAATTTCGGCAATGTTCAACCAAAAAGATTTGGTAGAGCACGAAACAACGAATGTTCGGCTCTCAGTGCCAATACTATGTACAACTTTCCCAATCACTGTTCAAACACTGGTCAATCGCAAAAATCAAACAATTCTTGTTTGGTGCAATCGAAAACAGAGGGTCGCACCTCAAATTTAAAGCTTCCTGTTGAAACAAAATGATAAAGCAATGCCAATGCACATGCCAAGCTCACTGAAATTCTCTCAATTCTCACCTCTTCTTTCTTTTGACGCAATGCACACTCTGAGGCAGAGACGTGTGCCTGACACATGCAATCGCCTCAGCGATACGGTCCCTCAAATGAGACCAGTCGAATGTCCTGTGAAACGAAGAAACAATGTTTATTTGGTTTTGGAAATTTTTGTCAGAGTACAATGACTGCCACAATCGAGATCAACTCACGAAAGACAATGAGGACCTCAAGACCGCAGCAATCGATGATTTGTGAAGAGCAACAATAAGTCACGGGCTGATACTGCCTCACCTGACGAAACAGAATGAGGCAATGCAACTGCTTTCTGGAAGAATCCTCGGTGGAGAGTCTTGAACTCAATCCGTACTTGCCTCTATCAGCAAGTTCTTCAATGCAGTAGTAGAGAGTGAACAAACACTCGAGAACGTCAATCGAACCAAAGGTCAGAGAATACAATAACTCATCATGATCACAGACAATGAAGACAATAAAACAAATGTTATGTTCTGTTCTGCATGCTCACACTCTGCTGTACCAAAAGAGCAGGCACCGTCCTATGCATACACTCTCTTTTGCGCTGCAACGGGCAACAGAGCGGTTAGCCGAAGGTGTTGGTCGTTTAAAGCCGGACCAGCCTTTGTCGGGGCGGTTCGCTCCCTTCGGGCATTGGAAAAGCCTCTGCCGCCACCAAGGCCCGAAGACCAGGGAGGGCGGGCGGGCCAAACTTCAACTGAGCCGAAAAGTCTTGAGACACATCGGCTCATTCACTTGCAGAACTCTATGTTATCACTAACGAGCAAGTTCTGCATGCTCACACTCTGCTGTACCAAAAGAGCAGGCACCGTCCTATGCATACACTCTCTTTTGCGCTGCAACGGGCAACAGAGCGGTTAGCCGAAGGTGTTGGTCGTTTAAAGCCGGACCAGCCTTTGTCGGGGCGGTTCGCTCCCTTCGGGCATTGGAAAAGCCTCTGCCGCCTTATCAAATTTATGCAGCGAGTGTATGCAAGAGTTCGGTTCCTTAGAAGACAGGGAAAAAGGGGAGATTACCAACATAACTACCCGCCCACAAGTTCCCGCCCAAGTGCAATAGAATATTGCAATAAAAAGGATTATAAAAATCTGAGTTGGAAAACTCTGACATGAGACTGTTCGCACTGACAAGAAGCGAGCAACATGACTGAATGCAATGCGCGAGCTCCACATGTTTTCACGCTGCCGTGCAACGATTGTCGAAAGAGTGCACGAAAGAGGAAGGGAGGAGAGAAGCATAGTCGATGCAATGCTCCGTCACACACGTGTTGTGCCAACTGCACCCCACGTCTGAAAAAGAACTCTCCCCCTCCAAACAGGGCTGGGCGGGTGGGTACACAAATGAGTCCCCCCCTCCCCTTTTGGACTCCGCAGAGCCGAGCCCAAAGGTTCGGACGAATGTTGATTGTCATCTGTTCCTCCAGCAGGAGGGAACAACAACCGCACATGAAAAATTCATGTAAAACAAAACACTGTGTGACATGAAAATCAATCCATAAAAGAGTCGAAACTCGACTCAACAAATGGAAAGCATTTTCGATATTGGCACATGAAAATGTGAGCAAGTTATGTTTCTTAATCTCATTCTGATGGACAAGTCCACCTCACGAGATTACCAACATAACTACCCGCCCACAAGTTCCCGCCCAAGTGCAATAGAATATTGCAATAAAAAGGATTATAAAATCTGAGTTGGAAAACTCTGACATGAGACTGTTCGCACTGACAAGAAGCGAGCAACATGACTGAATGCAATGCGCGAGCTCCACATGTTTTCACGCTGCCGTGCAACGATTGTCGAAAGAGTGCACGAAAGAGGAAGGGAGGAGAGAAGCATAGTCGATGCAATGCTCCGTCACACACGTGTTGTGCCAACTGCACCCCACGTCTGTAAAAGAACTCTCCCCTCTCAACGAGTGACAGTGGCACATCACTTCCAGGGATCCTTCTCGCGCAACCGTTCAGCCTTCTTAAGCTTGGCAGCGGCTTTGGATACCCGCTTCTCTTTCCACTCAGCAATCTCACCGTACATCGCAGAGCCCGCTTGCAAAAGAGGCCTGAGAACCAGACCTTGGTATTCGGCAAATGAAAATAGTAACCTCAGCTTTGGATCGAACTGCTTGAAATCTCCGTTAGTCAGAGAGTCGGCCAGCATGTTCTGAAGGCGTGGTGCCCACGTAAGCTCGAGCATGCACGACTTCTCAAGGAGCACAGCAGTTAATTCCATCAATACTGCCACCAATGGAAATGAGGTTGTGAGCCAACGCGAGACAATGTGCGAATTGCCCTTATTGTCTGTCCCCGCTGAACAGACTGTCCGCGAAGGGCCCGCTCCCGTAGGAGCGAAGAGCAACACCGCCACCATGGTGGCCAGAAGTTCGAGGGATGCTATGGAACGGTAAGACTCCCCCGCCATAAAGAAGAGAGGAGCATCTTCAGGTTTGATCCGCTCAGCAAACCATCGGCACCGACGAGGATCGTCGGAGTCTGCACATGACCACCCTCCAATATGCATCTCTGGCCCCTCTGCTCTAGCATCCGTCCTGAAGAGCTCCGGAGCCGACTCAGACGAATGTTGAGCAACCTTCGTGACCCTAAGACCTTTTAGCAGCAGCGCCTCCACGAAAACCAGAACCAAGTCGACGGCCTTGGGGAGTCGCAAAGTGTGGCACTGAGACACTGCACTGGTCCAAGCGTACAGCGGCCCCAGGAAGGGTCTCAGCATCGGAAGGACCGTGAAAGCGAATGAGAGGCGGCCCAACACGGATTGCATGTCGGCCACTCGCACCATGCCGTCGGCCCTGGTCTTACGGATCCAGCCGACGATCCAATCAGTCCTTGACTGGCTGATGCCAATCGTCCTCCCGAAAGCGAACACCGAGAATCCGATCCAGCCATGCTCAAGTCCCCCGGCGAACTTATGCCAGGCAAATGGTGTCCCCAGTACCTGAAGCAATAAGATGGTCGCCAGGATCTTGATCAGCCCGTCTCCGGACTGGGTAAGCCATATGAGGTCGTCCACATAGCTCAGGAGAACCGTCGGGTCGCCTTGTAGACAATAGTACAGAAGTCTGCCCAGTCCCGACATGAGTCTGTACCACCAGTAGGAAGCTGAAGCGATGCCGAACGTCCCCACGCAGTTGTAGTATACTTTCTTTGGGTTTGATCCGCGACAAGCTTGCCGGGGCCAGTCCCGCTCCTGCACAAGGTAAAGACGATGAGCTCTGCTGATGTCACCGCTCAGGGAAAAGTAAGCATGTGGCAAGATTTCCACGGCAGTTTGAAGATCAGCGCCCGTAGGATATCGTTGGGCATCCCGGACACGGATGCAATCGTTGACATGCTGCCCATTGCTGCCGTCATGCACGATCCTCAGAGAGCCGTCTGGCTTGGGCACCGCCCCAAGCGATGCGACAGATAGAGAATCACCATGTTTCGCCCGGGCCTCCTCCAAGTCGAGCGCGATCATCGCCCCCAGGCTCATCTCCTTGGCGAGCTGCTCGTCAAGCTGGACGGGGTTGTCTCGCGCCCCGGGATAGTTTTCTCGAAGGCCGTCTTCAAGCGGAGTGTCAGCATCGGGGTACTTCCTGTGCTTGCACTTCCGCTCGAACAGTGCAGGCGTCCGAGGTAGACGCTCCCCTACCCCGATCGGAACCCCTTTTGCGAAGGACACGGATGAAGAAGCATATTGTCTCCAGTCCGGGTCTCCAGCTGCCCTCAAGAGCTCCCCAATGGCCTCGAGGTAGAAAGGCTGTCGGGGAGTCACATGTTCGAGCTCTTTCGTGGAGCCCCAGTCCCTCAGCCGCTGGAAAACAAGCGAGCGCATCTCCACCACCATCGAATCAGGGAAAGGCGAAGACGTGGCCCTCCCCGTTGCCAAGCGACAGATTTCTTTCCTCACGTCGATGTGTTTCTGGAGCATGCGCAGAGCGTCCTCGAAAATCTGCCCGTGCAAAGAAATGTCCGGATGCGTGACACTCGTTGGCCTGTCCTTTGGCAGCCAACGGCCAGGAGATGCTAAGCCATGTCCATCAGAGAAATCGATCCGCTTTCCCACGAGAGTGGCCTTCAGAGGAGGTCCAAAGCCGAGTATGCCATCACCTAGCTTTGCCTTGGGAACGCCATCGACATCCTCTTCAGAAGTTGAGCCACCCTCCTCCTCGTCGTCCTGGTTGTCGGGTTTAGGCCTCCACCACTCATCGTCCTTCGGCACGGCATCATCGTTGTTGTCCTCCAGGATGCGCTTCACCGCGCGTGGCAAGGATGCAACCCCCGGCTGGGGTGGCAAGTTGAACCCCAGCTCCTCCAGAAACCTCCAGTCGGCCGAAGGAAAGGAGGGATTCACCCGAGGGGTGTATGCCACGAGTACTGTTCTAGTTCCTTCCCAAGCCTGCGTGCAGTGCCAAGCGGTGGGATCGAAGCAAGCGTGACAGCCATCATCTAACTCGAGAGTATGTCCCAAGCCTAATGAGGGATTCGAAGGGCACGGTTCTTGACCTCCGCCATCCTGAGTCCAGATGCCCCCGCCCCGAAAGGACGTGAGCCCTGCCACGAGATTTCTCGATCCTCGCTCATTGCCTGTATCTCGATGCGGGGCCGTCTGAAGGTTGCGAAAAATCGCAATGGCAGAGAATGTAAAGCTCGCGTCCAAACCCCGAACGAACCTACACAAAACCCTAACCACCCCGGGAAACAACCTGGAGTTCCTACGAAGGCCGGCAAGGCTACCGCCCACGGCATAAGCCCCGACAGCAAAAGATTTCGAATCCTTCCAAGTGACACCATCTCGGGCCAATTCTTCGCCGGGAAGCAAGTCGAAGATCTGAAGCAAAGACTCCTTCGAGACCGCCGAGTGTTGCAAGCGCCCTGCCAGAGCTTCAGCCTGATGGACCACCGCTGTCGAAGTCGCATTCTCAAGAGTGTCTGAAGAACGAGCTTGCTCCTCCCCCAACACCGATTCGGAGGACACTCTTTGCCTGAAGGTGAGAACCGCAATACTGGCCAGCGCCTCACAGAAGCCCGAAGGGTAAGCAGCCGGCCCGGCGAGAAATTGACCATTTTCGTCGGTGCCGATGAGAGGGGCATGTGCATGACCGCATTTGCGAGACAACGGCCCTCGATAGTGCTGCTGAGGGTCGAGTCGCGGCCAACCGGATACACCAACCGATCGTAGACCGTGCCAGGTTCCAGCTAATCGTGTCGGCCGCCTTTGAGCGGCGCCGAAGGCACAAAGATGAAGGGCCACCGAAGTGGCGCGAGTCTCCTGGAAAACACGAACAGCTTCTTCCCAAGTCCAGATCGAAGCCGGGGTACCAGCCGCTGTAGCACCCAAGAATTCCGGATGCTCGATCAACCAGGGTACATGCTCCTTGGTGGCCAGGGTGGCTAAGGACAATACCCGGCGCACCAAACTCGTTCCAGCTTCTGCCTTGGATTTCCATACACCGGATAGCCAGGGAAAACCTTCCGGCCAGTCCGAGTTCCGCAGAGGCGGCGGTCCTGTGCGATTGACGAACGTGGCCCGGTTGAATGTAGAATATGGCGGGCTCATGAAAAGAAGATTGAATTCATGTCGTCGAACTTGATTGAGCAATCTCAACCAAAAAGAATCTGAAAGAACATCCGGAGCCGATTTCTCGATATCAACTTCTTGATAGCGGAATGACAGCCCGGCTTTCTCGCAGGCAGCCGCCAGGAATGATTTCAAGTCAGCCCGGCGAGACTCTCCCGCGAAGAGATAAAGAAAAGAAACGTCGGATTGTGGAGGAGAATCGAGTCCTTGAGAGACGTTCTCCTCGGTGTCGCCGCCGTCCGAGAGTCAGTTAGATGCTGTAGCCGCCTCCGGACGACGAACTTGCGTGCAAGCATGATAAGGGTGTTTGCCGAGACAACGTTGACATACATGAAGGAAGCGACAGGCGCTGTTCTTGCACCCTTCTTTCCGATTGAACTTCCAACAAATTGGTTTGCCATCTGGAGTCTTCATGAGCTTGGCAGCCTTCTTGCCAGGGGCCTCCTCGGCTGCTGCAGCAGCCAGTGCACGTTTCAGGGCTTTGCCTTTGCCCTTTCCCTTGGACTCACGCTTCCAGTCTGCCGGAACAGACGGGGGAGGCGGCACGGCCCGAAGCGAGAAAGGGATGACAAGATGTCGATTGAGAAGCTCCATATCATGCATGGCCTTTGTAAAGGCTTCCTCGATAGTGCCCACCTCGGCGTCCCTGATCCAGCGATAGAGGGTTTTGCGAGCTTCGAGCTCGAAGCTTAAGACGAGCTCCCAAGTTGGAGTGTGCCCGTCACCAGCCACCAATCCAGCAACTTGTGAGCCCAACACATAATCACTGAACCTCCGCAGGACATCTGTGGAGTTTCTAGACAGCCAGGGCCTGAGAGCATGCTTGGGCATGCCAGTAAGGGTCTTCCCAGGCTTTATTTTGAGCACGTTGGTAGTAGGATCGATCACCGCCGAGTACGCCTCAAGTTCCGAATCCTCGAGAGACGCCACTTCGGTAAGCAGCTCGGCTACCGGCTGATTCTTCTCGATCTGCTCTAGCTTGGCCGCTAGCAAGGACTTGGCAGGAACCTCCTTGTCCTTCAACTTTCCGAGCGATGCTTCAACGGCCAGCCGCATGGCATGATGCTCACTAGGCTGCACAAGTCGCTGCTGAGTCCCCAGCCGCGCTTCAGCTTTGTTTCTCTCCGAAACCTGCAAGTGAAGCCTGGATGTTTCCCAAGCCGCCAATAGGCGTGCAACCACGAGCCGCTCTGCAACCCCCGCTGTAGGATCGATGGGCAACTCCGCAATCAGTGCAGCTCTCACCCGCTCCCGAGACTCATCTAGCCCCGAGAACAATGCCACATTGCGGATCGCCAGTTCTCCCAGCCTAGCCTGCCACACAGCCGGAACATCCGCCTGCTCAAGCTGGAACCTGAGATCCGGCCCCAACGTCTCCAAGTGCCCTCTCTGCGCGGCCGTCAGAGCAGCCGGCGCCGCCATGAGACGCAAGGAAAGCCCTAAAAACCCAAGGCAGGACAATCTCAATTCAGCAATGCACCCTGGTTGAACCGTCACCGGCGAAACCTTTGTGCTGATTTCCGATCTCACCATGCTGATGCGATCACTCGCGCACGCACCGAAGTTTGCCAGGCCTGACACCCTTCCCTCGCGTCGCAGTACACTGTGCATTCAGGAGCCTTGTGATCTCTCGCCGAAGATCCTCCCTAGGCACCGGGTCGACCGCAATCAGTCGCCGCTCCAGAACTGCCACCCGCTGCTCCAGCTCCCACACATGGTCAGAAAGCAGCAAGAAAGTATCATCCGTGCTCTCCCTCTCGTGAAGCTCAGCAGACGGCTCTGAAGCAGGCTCCGGCTCCATGAGGCCCTCAAGACGCGTGATGAAGAAACTGATCGTTCCTTTCCCAGCTCGAGATCACAATCCTTTGGCGTACACTTGCAAGTGGATGCATGATCCCTTGACGTACACTTGCAAGCAGCAGTAGCACTCTCAACATGAACACGATCGACTCCATGTGTGCACACATTTTGCAGTCCGAGCAATCACGATTCGCTCGAGCTCTCTCCTGAGGTCTGTGCCTCATCGGCGGTGCTGGAGGAAAAGTCCTCCGATCCCGAAGCATGCGCCTGTGCTGCCTGCTGTCCCTGCTCAGGTTTGAAGCAGTGCTTGCATTGCCAGTCGTAAGAAACGCCCTCCAGCGACTCAAACAACTCACAGTTTGCCACAGACTCGGGCGTGCTGCCGCATCCACCTACACGATGAAGCCGCCGCAGCTTCTTCTTTCCTAGAACAGATACAAAGAACTTGCATGCGTCCTTGACCTCAGGAGTCCTGGCAGGCATCACAAGATCACCAGGCTTGATGCCGTTCCCGCTGCCTTCAGCAAGATGTTGGGCCCGAAACTCGGCCCAGCCCTCCAACGGCCGCAAGAGGTCAAGAGCCCTGTCACGCACCGAGCTCTCGACACCGGCCCTCTGTAGCGCCTGAAACAAATCATCAAGACCTACCTCCAGAAAGGCGGGGTTGTTGCAAAGGCTCTGAATAACATGTCGCTGCAGTGAAGTGACAATGAACCAAGCACTCCGAATGTACTCATCTGAGGCTTCCACGACATGCCACCGCCCCAAGTAGGAACGACGCTCGCGATCGATACCCGACCATGATGCAAGTGTGGCAATGAAGTTTCTCTCGGAATGTTCGGTAAAAGCAGCAACAACACTCGGATCCTCGAAGAGCGCAACATCAGTATGACGCACACTCCCAGCCTCGGTCAACTCGGGCCGCTTTAGCTCCCACAGGAGCTGCTTGGACATCGTTGACATATCCACATAGCTCGCCATAACTGGCAGGCAGGAGGTCAGTCCCTTTGTAGGCCGAGGCACCAGATAATCCCTGGAGAAGGCAAAACCATCAGAAGCCCAGATCTCATATCCGGCAGCCAGCCAATCGCTATGCAAAAGCCAAGCATCCTTGCAAACAAAGAACGGCAGCCATCTGATGCGTTTGTCAGCTCCCGAGGTTTTCGTTCTATCGAAAACTCCTCGTAGTCCTTGTGAAGACATCGTCATCTGCTCTGGTAGAATGCCCTGAAGGTCATTGGCCCTGCTAGATGTCCATAGTTTCAATAGCCGTGCCCACGCATACGCTCTGACGAACTTCTTATGCGCAGGATTCACAACCACGGCCTCTAAAGACATGACCATGATGAGGGCCAATGCTGGAGCTTGCTTTGTCGGCGGCGCCCCTGCTTCAAGCTCAGCAGTGCGAACCCGAACCAAGTTCCGCACCAGGACATGAGAAGAGATGGAGGCCTCGGCCTTGACTCCTCCGACCCTCTCGAAGAATATCACTGCAGAGAGCACAGACTGTAGCCTGGTCCTGGCACAAGGTTCCTGCGCCAGCTCTTCCACATAATTCATCAAGATGCCCAGATGCGTGGGGAACACTGTCCCCTCAACAGCGAAAAACCATGCCGAAAACTTGGACCATTCCCTCACGTGCCGCCTTAGAGTGGACGCTCTAAGCGTTCCTGCTGACGCCTCCAGTACAGCTTGGCTATCAAGGGCGTAACTTGCCATTGAGCACACCGGCATACCAGCCCTTTTCAGCTCCTTCGCTAAAGCCTGCCTCCAGCGTCGGAGCTCTGTAGCCTCAGCATCGGCCCTCGCACGATCGTGCTTGGCCAAGGCAAGTTTCTTGGCCAACCGACACGGCCACGCTGTAAGTGACCGCTTTGCACCGGCCCTTGTCTGAAGCCATCCAGTGCTTACTTCAAGCTGCTGCTGAGGCCCAGCCGAAATCGATGAGGACGTTTGCGCCAGCTGACCTTGCACAGCTCTAGTCCTCACGACACGATCTGCAGCCGGTGATACATCAGCGCAAACCTTTTCAAGAATCTCGCATGCACTGAACCATTCAGCTGAGCCCATTGTAAGTCCCAGTGATTCCACAAAATCTTTGATGTCTGAATCATCTGAAAACAAATTCGACAAAATCTCGGGAGAAGGCTGTCGCGACTCCTGATCAAGAGCCTTCTTGACACACTCAGGTAAGTCTTGCCACGACAGACTGGAGCCAGCCTCTTCCTGAGGCTCCTCGTCACCCATCGCGCATGACGATCACTCCGACCCATACACAAATGAGTCCCCCCCTCCCCTTTTGGACTCCGCAGAGCCGAGCCCAAAGGTTCGGACGAATGTTGATTGTCATCTGTTCCTCCAGCAGGAGGGAACAACAACCGCACATGAAAAATTCATGTAAAACAAAACACTGTGTGACATGAAAATCAATCCATAAAAGAGTCGAAACTCGACTCAACAAATGGAAAGCATTTTCGATATTGGCACATGAAAATGTGAGCAAGTTATGTTTCTTAATCTCATTCTGATGGACAAGTCCACCTCACGGGGCAGCACGAAAACCCGACCATTTCCGGACCCATCCGCATTGTCCGCTGTCTGAGGCTTTGCCTCCACTCACAAACGACTTGCAAGAAAATAGGGCGGAACGCCAAGCCGCCACTGTACATCGGAGCTTTCGGCTCCTATTCCGGCGGAACGCCTGATCACAGGGCTTACTCCCAAAGGCTCCTCAGGAGCTCTAAAGGTGGAAACCATCCACAGCGGACCGCCGTGCTGAGTCATCAGCGGGAAGGTCGCTCTCGGCTGGGGCGGTATCACCTGCAGCCTCACCTCTCTCAGACGTTGCCGAAGGGGTCGAGGGGTGAGCTCCCGGCTGATCGTGGCCCTGATCTGGATCAACTGGCCGCCCTGCTTCATGCTCTTCTGCAGGATCGGGTCGAGGCGGAGGAGGTCCTGGCCGCCCATCTGCCGTGGTACCCGAAGGCGCAGAGGAGGTCCCCGGCGAAGTACTCGATGTAGGGTCCGAGGGAGGCGGTGCGCCAGTAGAGGGCGGAGCGCCCGCAGATTTGGATGCCGTTGTGGGTTCGGCTCTTTCCGCCTCTGCGTCAGCCCTCGCTTCCAAATAGTCGAGGAATTGCTCCATGGTGTAGCAATTCCTCACCTCCTCTTGGGTCCATGTGACCCCCCGCCGTTCTAGTCGCTCCAGCCTGTTGAGGAGGTACAGGCGGTGAGAGCGGCCTAGACTCATCATGGGCGGTAGCGTCCTCACAGTCTGCAAGGGAGTAGCTCTGGGCTGTAGCGCCACATTGCCCTGGGCCACCTGGTGCTGCACCGCTCGCAGGCGGGAGCGATGTCGTTGGAAAGCCACCGCCATGGAAACCCCCGCGTCCAAGTCCTCGACGTACTTGGGGTCGTTCCGGGCGGTCTCAGCAGTGGCTCTTACCTTGACGTTGCTGGTGCCTCCCTTGCCCTTTTGGCCTCGCAGCTGGGCGGTGCGCCTGATGGTGTCGGCTAGTAAGCCTCCCATCACTGCACTCGAGCTCTTCGCGAGGTTCTCAAGGAGTGCCCTTTGTTGGCCGGCGTTAAGGCCTCGCATCCTCTGCTCCAGCTCCGCACATTCACGTTCGAGACGGGCGACCTCCTCGAGCTCTTCCTCGTTGAGGTCAACCTCGTCATCTTCCTCCTCCTCATCGGACACCACACATTCCTCCTTGGATCGCTGGCACATGGTGCAAATGGTGCGAGTAATAGGCACACCATAGGAGCACCTTTTGCAGTACCAATGGGTGACTCTCTTGAAGGTGTTCCCTGTACCCCTGCTGCTGGAAGCTGCACTTGGGGTGGAACCACCCTTCCCTTCATGAGCTGGCGGAGCGCCATCATCTGGCGGAACAGCCGGCTCGTCACCCAAGATCTGCATGGCCCAACGTCCCATCACGTTCTGGGCCCGGTCAGCCTCCGCGTAAGACTCTGCCAAAGGGAGCTGGCGACTCGGGGCCGTATAAATGCAGGGAAGGGCGGTACGACCCGGTCGCGGTGGCCCTTCGTTGTTCCTGTAGTGCTGCCCAAGGCTGGGGTTCCGCAGGTAGTCTTGGAAAGTGAAAAGCGGCCGGTGGTTTCCCGTAGCGGGGCTGAGGGGCGGTAGGTCACCTTGAGGTTCTGGATGTGCCTCCTGCAAGTCCACGAAACAGGGATTGCCACTGTTGGCCAGCTGGATCCGAGTCAGGTAGCCCTTTCTGCGCACCCAGTAAAGGATATCTTGAGCAACCCGCCGGATGAAGATAACTCCCACACGGCCCCAGGATTGCAGTCCGCAAAGGGCCCTGCGACACATGAGGACGTGCTGAAAGACGGTCCAAGGCAGGACCAACCGGGGGGTCGTCTCGTCGAGGTCCCTCACCGTAAACCACAAGGCTTCTCCGTTCGGGGCCACAATCGCCATGGGACGATTCTCCTCTGTAGGGCCCCTAGCCTTTTTCGGGGCAGGTCCATATGGAGGGTCTCGAACAGGTTGTAGCCCACCAGTTGTAGGGGGCGGAACGGCATCGGTGGGGGTGGCGTGGCTGCCGCAGCCGGGGGCGGTGGCGCCTGCTGCTCACCCTCCATTTGCTCATCTCTGTCCAAGCCAGGCGGAGGACCTCCAGTACACGCTCCTGTGTGGTACGCCTCCCAAGCTTTCGCGGATGCTTTACCACTGTGGGCCTCCTGGGCCACGGCAAGGCCTGGGCCGCCATCGATTGAGCACCACTGGGGCTGTAGACGCCCTCGGGTGCACCAGCAGATCATCCGGTGAGGCGCCATTGTTGAGGAGCTCTCCATGCCTCGGCCGCCAACATCCGCATCCTGCACATTGGTTTGTCCGGACGGACACCTCCTCCTGGCAGTCAGGGCATATCCAATGCGTGGCTCTCTCCTGGACATTCCCTGCTGCGTGCTGCGAGCGGCCACACCCGTTGCATCCATAGCGGTGAAGGCCGTTCGGTTCCCCACAGCCTCCGCAGATCCACCTCATAGCATTGTTGAAGGTGGAGGGCGGTGGCGCCTTGGTAGGAATCTTCCCCTTTAAGGGTGCCTCTGGCAGGGGAGCATCTGACCCGGGTGCCTGGCACAGCTTTGGGGCTGGAGCAGCCTTCTTGGGCGGAGGGGCCGATGACGGACTGCTCGGGCGTGCCTTTGGTGGGGCCTTGTAGGTAGGCCGTGGAATGGCACATAGCGAGCAGTAGTTCTCGACCCAGGTCGAAGGCAACCACACCTGCTGCAGGTCCAGAAACCTTGATCTCCTCCAGGTGGATGTGCGGCACCTGGACCAGAGCTGCTCGAGCTCGGAGGTGGAGGAGGCGGGGCCTTCTTTGCCCGCTCCCACGGGTTGGCTCGGGGCGGACCATATCCACTAAACTGAGGTCCACGCGGAGGTTCTCCATCACCAGCAGGTCCTTTACCTCCAGAGGGGTCGCCAGGGCGGTGGTCGCCATACGGGCCCTTTGAGGAGCCCTTCTGCTGACGGCGGTACCCTCGTGGGGGGCCTTGTGGTCTCTAAATCGCCCCCCCATGTCTCCATCGCCGATGCTGTCTCACCCAGCCGCACCTCATGCACCAGGCATCTCCCCAGTATTGGTGGTGACCACACTGGCGGCAAAACCTCAAGACCCGCCCGCAGCGAATCCGCGGGTGCTGGTCGATCTCCGGGCCTGAGGACTCGGTGTCGGGGCCCGCACTGGAGAACTCCTCACTGCTGGTGTCGTAGAAGGGGGTACCCCATCGGCCTCTGCTTTTTCCCTTTGAGGTGCCTCGTGCCGAGGTGCTCGGGCCGGGTCCCCGTCCATATGGCGGTGGCGCCTTTCCAGCGCTCTTACTCGAAGGAGGGGGAGCCGAGGAACTCGAGCTAGTCGGCGGGGCTTTCGGCGGAGGCGCCTGATTCCACCAGCCATGGTGAGGGGCGGTACCACCAGAGCCACCATCCGGCGCAGCACTCGAGGGAGGAGGGGCTGTTCCGCCGGTGACACCCACGCCCAGCAAGTTGTCATGGAGAACTCGTAGACTCGGGTTGAGGAGGATCTCCTTGGCATTCCCCAAAGCCTGCATGCGCACAGTGGCCATTTCGACCTCATCCGGAGGGCTTTTATCCGGGTGGAGGCGGATCGCCGTGCGCTTGTAGGCGCGGAGGACCTCACTCATAGCGCTGCCAGGGGCCAGGCCGAGGAAGTCCCAAACACTGCCCCATTCCTGAATCCACTCGCGCAGCTGGCGGGTTCCCATTCCGGTCGGCGGTGCTGCCTCAGCCATGGCGTGAAGGGAAGGAGAGGCGGTGCGCCGAGGTGAGCGGAACGCTTGCTGGAGCAAAGAAAGCAGCTCGGGAGACATGCGTGAGCCAGGTCTCTGCGTGTCTAATGGCAACTGATCACTGGACGATGCAGCAGACTGTGCACTCGCAGGGTCCCTGTTAGGGCTGGTTTCAGGAGGGAGGAGCCATTCGGGGGTACCTCCAAACCTGAACAGAAACGAAGGAGGATCAACGATCCCTCCAGCTTCAAGTTGCCTACGAAGCCTAACCCTCTGAATAAAAGTGAGCCCAGTGACCCTTTCCAGATTCTCAAAACGAGCCTGACTAGCTTCCCAATCGGCATCGAAACCCTCGGAAGAGTGTCCAGTCTCCCTATCGTTGCCATTATCGTCATTGGAGGGGCCCCCGACTCTCGTCCCTGGGGCATTATGACCACTCGGATGCAAGTGTTGCTGTGGCTGAAGCACTGGGCGGGACGCCAGCATGTCTTTGGAACGGCTAGGAGCGGCAGCGAGGTCAGTGTACAGGTAAGCATGAATAGCATCAGACTTCCAACCTCCAAACCTCTTAACTATACTCAACATCATTGGTCACTGCCAACATGGCGGTGGCGCCTCCTTTTCGCAGGCTATGTGAGGCAACGAGGTGCGCTGGATATCCCAGTGCCACAGCCGCTAACCTCAGCAAATCGGAAAGGCTTTCGCGTGAAATACCTATTCCTTGCCAAGCGCAAACGGGAAGGCTAACGTCGCTAACCCAAAAAGGGTTGTGTTTAGCGTGCTCTTGCAGAGCCTTCACAGGACAAATCTCCTCACCAGTGGCATGTTGGAGTCTAACCTGCCCTCTCCCGAACTGATCGCCCTTAGAGTCCCGCAACTGAACGGCGACAGAATCAGCTTCAAACACCGAGCAACGCCGCCCTTTGCAAAAGAAATCCAGGTCGCTCCCCCGCAGGACTCGCGTAGGCACCGTGCAGAGGTCAGACCCTGGGAGGTACTCCGAGGCCCGCAGCATGAAGAACCATCCTAGACAGAGGGATGTCCACAAGGCTTTTCGCTCTGCTAAAGGGCGGTCCGACCCATCTAGGTACCGTTTCAACCAAGTGAGCATGCCTGGGGTCACGGGCACTTTGCGGACTGGTGCTCCGTCCCACCGATTCATCCCGGCTAAGGCGGCCCAGAGCCGAACCCGACCGGCTAAAGGATCCTGGTAACCCGCAGCAATGTGGGCGTAACGAATCCCCGACAGTCTTTGCTTGATGCCTTGGGCGGTACGTCCCATCACCTGGTGCAGAAATACCGTAAAACGGATCAACCAATCCTCGTCCTGCTGCTTCTCGACTCGCGTCTCGCCTTGCAAGAAAGGGGAAACCCCTGTACCGGACATAAAGGAAGCCCACTGCTTCCAGCCCGTGTTATACGACCGCCGGGTCGAATCCGCGAGTTTGCTTAACACGGCTTCCTGTCCGACCTGATCCAAATAGGAGACTCCGGCTCCCGGTGTCAGCCCGTGGGTTCCGAAAAACTTCTCCCTTTCATCCCCAAGCAACACCGGAGTAACCAAAGAACGCTGGGCCGGATCGGCTTTCCTCTTGACAGGCCCTCCCACTCTTGTATCTTCTGATTGGTCCCATACGGTAGGCTCAACGCTGGGCGGTGACGACCCAAATGGAACAAGATCCAAAAGATCGCGGGGGCGGTCCGGGCAACGGCTCCAAGCGGTCAACCACACCTCTAACTGGGCTTTGGCGTTCTCCTCATCAGGGTCTAAGCAGTTACCTACCTTCTGTGATGGTGTCTGCCATAATCCTAACACGGCAGCAGCAACCTGCCAGCCCGGCTCCCGAACGATCCGGCGCATGGCCCGGTCAAAGCCTTCTGACTTGAGGAGGGTGGCCCATTCTTGGGAGGTAACTCCTTGGGCGCGGGCGATCTCACTAGGGCTCAGGGGACGCACCCCTCCGGGTGTGCTAGGAATCAGAGTTGCGCCAGGACCCTTTAGATCCCGCGTCGGGCCTAAAAAGGCGCAGGCAGGACCTGAAGTCCGATGGACCAAACACTTGGGCGGGAAGCCTGGGCCCTTCACATGCCCGTAGGGATGGGGGAGCCAGGGGTCTCCAGTAGTAATGATATTGGGCTCCTGAGTCGTAACGCCTCCTAAGTTCACGGCGGTGGCTTGGGCTTCAGGGTCCAAGGGAATGAGCTGCATCGCTGGGGGGGGGTGAACTCGGTGCTGTTCAATCCCTTCAGGGGGCGGGAGCACCTGAGCCGCCCAACCCAAAAGGAGCTTTCTCACTAAAGGCGCCGAGATGAGAGCTAACGTGGAAATCGACCTGACATGAGGGAGGATCTCCCGTATCCCTGATTCCAGCTGAGACGTGTCCATTTGCCGTGGGCAGTCCACCACCAGTTTGCCGAGGCGGTTCTGACTTGATTTCAGTTGGTCCCAGAAACGACTTCTCTCCTTGCCCTGGGGGTCTTGGGAGAAAGTAAACTAAGCGTTACTATGACCCCCTTCCTCCCAGGCACGAAAAAGACGGAGAGCGATAGCGCAGCTGGTGAGCTCCTGGAAATCATCTACGTGCCAGACCTCCCAAGCCTCGCGGAGGCACACATGCTTCAGCGAGGGTTGAGGGGAGTCCGGGGCATGAGTGAGCTGACGAGCCTTCTGCGCGATGGGATCGAAACCAAGGGGCAAAGCCAGAGCGGAACGCTTAGCGTCCTGGAGGAACTCCTCCCAATGGATTTCCCCGGGTGTCTCTTCCCACCCGTCGGCCTTAAGTTGTTCTCGGACCACCCCTAAGTCCTCCCGGCTCAGCCAGTCGGCCAGTTGGTTGCGGTAAGTCCGAATGTAAATGGGGTGGACCGTGAAATTGTGCTCGCACTCCAAGCGCTGGACAAGCCTAATGAGCAGGCTAGCAACCCTATTACCTGGGCGGCGCTTGTAGAGCCAACTCCTGACATTGGAGTTGTCCGTAACATACAGAACAATTTCCCCATCCCAATTTTGCTTCCGATGACAGGCAAGGACCACGAAGGCAAGCAATTCCATGATAGAAATAATGTCGGCCTCGTCTTCAGCTGAGGCCACCGCCCTCAACGCGTCTTGAAACCTGTCAACAGTGGAAGCGTGGAAGACCTTGGCTCCCCAATCAACTGCGCCAATCCTGTCAAGTGTGGCGTCACCACCTGTGATCCGCGTTCGGGCGGTAGCACCTGGCAGAGCGAGCCTCTCGCGGATTGGCAGCAGTTTTTCGAAGACCGAGGCAAAGCTTGACTGCAGCGGGGCTTCCAGTTGGAGCCGAATGAAGTCTAGCGCATCCCAAAAGTTTTCCCATCTAAGGGATTCCTCTTGGGGGTCACTGGCCTCGACCCTGAGGAGAGTCTGGGCCTTACCTTTCACCTCTTTCCTTCCTTGGCCTTGAAGATTGCCTTTGAGGAGACAGTACAGAGACGGGAGATGCGGAGTGAGCGCTGGGCAAGCGACAGTCCAGTACTGGGCGCACCCAATAACCTCCTGAAGCAAGCCAAGTGGGACTTCTCTGCACCCTCGTTGTAAGGCCGGCTCCCCCAGCAGGTACTTGGCTTTCATTCTCTTGGGCTCGGGTAGCCGTACCTGATGCTGCTCAAAGTCCATGTGGAGTCCCCAAAGGAGCTGGGTAGCCGAGGGCTCTCCTTCCTCAGCCATCTTTTCAACATTCACTCCTTCCGGGCCCCAGACCAGTTTCATGGTTTCATCGAGCACTGCCAACGAATCAAAGACCCGAGTGCCGACCAAGGGCTCCACCACAACTCCGTCATCCATCAACCACTTCGACTCGTAGGGCACGATGTCGTTGAAGCGAGGGTCCTCCGGGCGGAACGACCCGTGGTGCGCTTTTGCGGCCGCGCTCCAAGCAACGAATTCCCCAGGGGAGCCGACCCAGCCAAAGGGCATCGCGAGGCTGAGTATAATAAGACCCGCCAGGCGCACGGCGAATTCAGGAACATCCTGAGGGCGTAAGAAGTGCCACTTGAAAGCGCGTGGCACATCGCGTTTTGCACACCGCTGCGGGATGCCAGGGTGCCTCGCCCTCCACCACAATGACTGCCTCGCGACCGCATGGTGCCTGGGCTGAGGAGCGGGGGGGGGGTTGTACTTCGAGCCAGCCTCGTTCTGCCTCCGCATGTCATTGATGGGCCGACCTTCCGACGAGATGGTACGGTCGGGGTTCTGTTTGGGCACACGTCCTAAGGGGCTCTCGACCACGCCCGCGGCCCGAAACAGCTGTTCGACCTCACCTTCGCAGCAGAGCTGCGCCGTAAGCGGCGTCTTTCCAAGCCTTTTGGAGGAGCTCCTCTTCGTATCCGTGCACCGATCCATGATTCTTGGCTTCTTCCCTACGGAGAGGGGCTTCCCTCCGGCTCGGCACACCTTTATCTGCGCTCTGCCGGAGGTACTCCTGATGCAGGGCGGAGACACCTTTGATGGAGCCTCGTTTTGCACCCTCCAAGTGGTCCCCCAGCTTTGCTGTCCTGGCCGAGTTCAGGGCTTCAACAGCTTCCCGAACATTGCCAGCGGCTATCACCAGCTCCGCCCCCAGCTTACCAGCTTCCCTAGCCTTGTCGACCGAGAAAGGTGACTGACAGTGCTCCAGGTACGAGTGCAAGGGGCACCTCCTACCCTCTCAACCCATTCTTCGCTAGTTTCCTCAGCGATTTTTGGGACCGCCCTGCCCCCCCCCAGGGAGGGTGGGAGGGAGTCGGCCCCACTAGAGAGGGGGCCGGCCACACTGTCCGCAAGATGGTGCACCCAGCGAGCGGCCAGGTCCAGAGCTGAAGCGGCCGGTGGAACACCTGCAGTGGCCAGCTGGTGGAACTTCTCCCAGGAACCATCTGGGATGCCCCACCAAACCGAGAAAGTCGCCAAGTGCTGCACGAAAAGCCGCATCCGACAACCCACCAGATGACGCAAGGAGCCAACCGGTTGGGGCGGAAGCACCACACCTTGGCAATGAGGGGCC